ATTCTTTGATTAGGTATGTTTTTTCTTTGCTCAGGATATATATACCATCAGTGCCAACTACCATACATTTTATGTAATAGATGTAGCTGTTGTTCAACTGAATATGATAAAACTGTGGATGAAATAATTTGATTTTTGTACCTTTGAATGTATTGAATTAATTTGTAAAAGCTGTTATGATACAATGTTTGATATTTTATAAAAGTTTTTAGCATATGCAATCAATAAATGTATCAACATTTTTATTTTATTATACTTTTTACCCTGCAAACTTCTTAAAAACAGAATAGTAATGATCCATTTAACTGATACTAGGTTAGTGTCACATTGTACTGGTATATCATGTATACTGAACTGTAAATAAGAAACATCAAAATAGGTAAAATCACAGCATGAATCATTGGATTATGTAAGAAGTGCACTATCTTGTGCTTTGGTATGGTATTAATAATAAATGTTAAACTATCATTTTTTTTTTCAAATTAACAAAGGATATGCTTGAGTGACTGTATTTTGACTAGCAGTAAAAATAAAATGATTTTTAAGCATTTGAATTATTTTGATTCATGGTCTCTGCAAGTTTAATGATAGCAAATATGTATATTGAACATGGCATCCACATATTGCTATACTGGATGGGGCATAACTTTTACTGAATCTTAATCACAACCTTGAAATTTTATGTAGTACATGTACTCTTGGTTTCAACTGGTCAAATGTATTCTTAAATCACAAAGAATTTAAACAAATATAGGCATAGGTCAGAACTTCATCAATTAGTTGGAAAGCGAATGCACTCGGTGACTATATGGTTTAAAAGAAGCTGGGTATAAATAGCAGGAAAAACTACTTGATGTCCACTGTACATGTGAACTTTGTGTCCTCAACAAAACAATATGGAGTATACTATACTTGGTCTAAAGAATAATCTATGTCTGCATTCACTTTAAGGTTAAACTGTTTTGGACATTGAGAGTTTGTTTGTTGTTTAACATCCCTCTGGAGAATTTTTCACTCATATGGAGATGCCAACACTTGCCGATGGAGAGCTGCAAATGACCTATGCTCGGCACTCAGGGCCAATGGACAGTGAGGGATCTTTTTCATGCCAGCATCTACTGCGACACTGGACCTCTGTTTGAACAAAGGACCGGTCTCTACGTCCCACAGTGGGATTCAAACATGTGACAAAAGGATCAACTAACTCCACGACTCTAGAGCAGAGGCTCTTTCCACTGCACCACGTGGGCGACAGCATTGAGAGTTAAATGTGGATATCAGAACAAGCTACTCTGGGCTTATACTCTCTATATATTGATTGATTGTATGTTGTTTAACATTCCTCTCGAGATTTTTTCACTCATATGGAGACACCACCACATGCCGGTGGAGATCTGCAAATTTTGTCCTATACTCGGCACTTACGGCCATTGAGCATCGAGGGATTTTTTTCGTGCCAGCACCTACTGCGACACAGGACCTCAATTTATACGGTCTCATCTGAAGGACCGGTCTCCCCATCACACAGTGGGATTTGAACCTGCGACGTAAGGATCAACTCCTTACTTCGCTACTCTAGAGCAGACGCTCTAACCACTGTGCCATGGGGGCAACTACTCTACTCTCTATTTAAGTCACTTGTGCAATGACTTTAATTCAAAGTTTTGTACTGATCATGTTGAGTCACATTAGCACAAATATCTTTCTGCTGACCTTGACTAATGACCATCCGCAACTATTCTGGTTGGAAACAATATGTTAATTAATGCATAATAAGTGAAATTACTATGAAAGAAAAATGGTCTACTTAAACCACAAGTTATATTTATAAAAAATATACACTGGTCTCCTTAAGTCATATGAGAGAAACATAAAATATTAAGGAGACCATTTTTTTCATATATTTTTAGGAGGCATTTATTATGAAAAAATAAAGCAAGAGTCGACTAAATGGTGTTCTATAGATCTTTGATCTGGTATTTCTTTTTAGAAAAAAGCTAATTTAAAAAATCTGTATATTGTCTCCTTAAGCCATATATAATGGTCTGGTCTCCCTAGTCCTTAAATCAGAGTTATATATATATATATATATATATATATATATATATATATATATATATATATATATATATATATATATATATATATATATATATGGGCACTTCACGAGAGTACACCTGATAGACCAGACGCAATTCCTAGAGCTCCGGATTTCTTTGTTCACAACTGTTCATAAACTTCAAATTAAACATGTAACACTGTAAATATTTAGTGTTTGGTAGTTTAGTAGTAGTGCTAGTTGTTTTTTTTTTCTCTATTTCCTTTGTTTTTATGACTTCTTAACTTTTTTCTTTGTCCTGAGGAAAGGACAGGTCGTCCCGAAAATTTGACAATTATTATTGTTGGTGTCGTTGGTCATTTTTAGTGCTTTATATAAATTTCCATCCGTGACCTTGTATCTACTTAGTAGATCCGACACTTAGGATATACAGTGCTGTTGGTTTTTAGTGCTTTATATATATATATATATACATATATATATATATATATATATATATATAAGTAAAACTTTGATACCCCATTGTGACCCCAACCTACCCCCATACAGGGTTTGCCATATTTGGCCATATCTTTTTAACTGAAGGTCACCGTGACTTAACTGTTATGCGTGACACACCTTCTACCAAAGATGGATCAGCTTACAAATTTTGATGATTCTAGGCCTCATAGTATTCATGGCATGATTGGGACACAAAAAATCTAACAGACAAACAGATGGACAGACAGACGGACATGATTTCCAAACCATAAGTCCCATAAAAGACCGGTGTATAAAAAGCTAATGCATACTAAAGTTACTATTGCCATTTTTTAAATTTCATTCATGAAATTTGGATATAATGAACAGTAATCAAGCTCAAAAGTCTATTGAAACAATTCAGATCGGAAGCAGAACAAACACAAACCCCTAAAAACATCAGAGTAGGGATCTTGTGCCATGGAGGAGTAAGCATCCCCTGTCGACTGGTCACACCTGCCGCGTGCTCCTTGTCATGATTGGGAAAAACGGGAAAATCCGTAGACAATTCAATGTGTAAATAACGGCCTATCAATTAGTATGAAAATGTTGGTCAGTATTCAACTCAATGATAGATTGTATTTGCTGACAAGGTCATTGTATCTACCATAGAAATTGCAATATGTTGACTTCAAACGAGAATGTTGATATCCTTGTTTCATCAACTTGTTTGTCAATAGCTTGCCTTGTTTTAGAAGTTTTAGCATGCTTTGTGTATCGAATCAACTGGGAGACAGAAACTCCACATTTTATAATGTCATAAAGTTTTGTTGCGAGGTTACCATTAACATCTTTTTCTGTGGAATGGACATGGGAAAAAACTGAAAACTGATATTTCACAAAATCTGTCAGTGCACCACTAATTGATTCCTTCTTTCCCCTTTACAGGCTTCACAGAAATCTGCTAATAATTTTTCTGACATACAGTATCTTATGAATCATCAGCCAGGGTAAAAAAAAAAAAAATTAGCACCAGCATAAATAAAAATGAAATTTCCCTAAAATCCGTTATGTTTTCATAGATCTTGTGAAAAAGCGAGACAGAGAGAGTCTTGGGTGAAAACTGAACCTCCCTCCAACTTCAATGACAGATATAACTCCAGCCATCCTCAGCACTCCTCTAAAAGTGATTTCCCTCAGCAAAGAAATTAATAGTTGTATCTTGGTAACATACTGTATTTATAAAGTCAGTCATGACATACAAGGTAATTATTACATAAATTAAGCAAAGACATTCATCACATTTACTTCCTCAGGACTAGGAAAATACTCCATGTGTTCCATGGGAATTATAAGAAACACTTGTAATATTTGACACAGAAAATATCAATATCTTAAAAAATAGCTTATCATTTCTGTAAGTAGTTTGCAGCAATGAAGGTCATTTCTGAACATAAAATTGTTGAATCAACATGATCATTAAAACAAAAGAGGGTTTATTGAACAAGAAAAAAGTGTAATGGTTAACCTGAAGCAAACATAGCTTTCAAAGACATGTAACTGGAATGTACAAATCTTAACTTAAATTCTCAACCTGTTACATGTATAAAAATTTAATTTAAACAAGTCTTGGTTTAAAACCTATGTTACTGTATACATTGTAGGCCACACTTGCTACAATAAATTCACTGATTATCACGAATCTCCTAAAGACACACAGATTTCTAAAATTCAATAATAAATATTCTATATGAGACATTTCAACAAACTTGCATTCACACACTTGACTGTATTTATGAAGTTCAAATAAACGAGTACCTAAAATGAAGCATAAAATGTGTTAATGTAACACATATAAGATCATAAACCTGATTCTTATTTCCAATTCTCACACACTGAAAAAGCTGAATGAGCAAGATATGTACAACTAGGAGAACAGAAAAAAAATATTAAAGCAAATTCTTGAATTAACCTACAATACCCCATTAATTTACAGCAAGACTTACCAAAGCTACTAAAAAAGCACCAAACTGACTTAATGTTAAGGCCAAATAAAAAAATATGTGTGGTTCCGGTTACCCGACCGTCCCTATTTTATACCCCCGACCCTAAACTTTTTTTTTTGGCAATTTTCATACTTTTTCTGGAATTTTCCCCAATTTCCATCAATGGCTCCGGTTTAAGTTTTAGTTTCAGCAATGATGGCCCCCTTGCACAACACAGTGCAAGTGTTTATTAGTGTTAAATCCAAAGCAAGCTAGCATGTAGGTGTCCCCTACCAATATTGACTAGTATATTATCACACCACTTCTAAATGTCATTTGCAAAGTAGTGATAAGTATTATTTAGAAAAATTAAGAAAATCATTTTGTTTAAAAAAAAAAAAAAAAAAAAAAAAAAAAAAAAATCCCTACCTAACTACCCTAATTTTTTTGGAGATGTAACCGGAACCACACATTTTTTTTTGTTTGGCCTAAGCATGTTGCAATCACCCATATTCACTGAATGCAGTAGTAACAGTCAAACTGTGTTATCTCATACTCAATGGGACTGAGAAAAAAAAAACTTTGAAATATCCAAGGGTTTAAGACATTGAGGGTAAAACTGGTTGCTACTTCCAAATCACTTTGACATATCCATGGTATTTGAAATATTAATGTTTGAAATACCGAAGTTCAGCTGTATAACATTCATCGATGTCTCAATACATAATTATAGTTTACAGATCCAGTAGAATCTATCAGTACCATCTACACAAACAATACACATGCTACAATTACATGTTCAATTATTTAATCTACAGGCTTACACTTCCCCCCTCCCATTCTGTACACATTAAAAGAAAGCAACAAAATACAATGATGGCAATCATTCAACAAGAAAGATAGATATAAATGCATCAGCGAGCCAAATAATTCATTTATCTAAATGGTAAACATTTGACTCTACAGTGTGTATTTATATAGATTTCAGAAACCTCGACATTCACTGGTAATAACATTCCTAAAACTTACCCAAATACAATTAACAACATCTTACCCATAAAATGTACACAGTCTCTGATAAGAATTAATAAAAATAATATCTTTGTCCAATCACAGTCTAATGTTTATGACCTATAGACAGAATCACAGGCAGTACAGCACCTAGAATAATGGCCAACAGATCTTTGCTCCTGAATCCTTTATGTTCGTGGATGACTATACTGCCATCTGGATTACTGTGTTGAGTTTTTGATGATGATACCTCTGGAAGGACATGAACTGTGGCCACATACAGAAAAGTCCCAGCACTAAATAACATGGCAATCCCTGTTGTTTTTGTATCATTGAGTGATTCTACACTTCTCTGTAATGTAAAAAAACCCCATAAATTTAAGTGTGTAATTGACCACTTCATGATGAATTAATTATTTTCTTTACATGGAAATACAGCCTTAATGTACTCATCAGTATTTCAAAAAATTCAAATCAATTCTTAAATAATTTTACATCAAAGTGCAGGAAATCATCCTGATTATTAAAACAGATGTATTAACATTTTATTGCAAATGAACATTTCCTTCTAGGTAATTTGAATCCCCAGTGACTGGTGGTATTGATTAATATAGAGTCATTAGAAATCCCACCTGACTTAAAATTACATAAGTAACAATGGCTAGAAAAGGAGCTGCTACGGCAAAAACAAACAAGTGCTTCCTGATTCGATTCCTATCGAAGCCTTCGTGAAGTAGAAATGAGACAAGTCCAAAGGCCGCTGGCATCTGAAATTGATAAATAGGTTATACTGTACCAAATTATTCTGTATTTTTGTCTTGATGTTTCTTGATATTGTAAAACATAATTCATATAATCAAAGCAATGTATTGTTTAAATTCAACGAGCTATTCACACTCATTATTAAAATATTAAGATATTTTGTACTCCTAACCAAAGATGCAATCATTTTCTATGGCTCATAATGAATATGGTTAGGGCATCATAATGTTTGTCATGTATGTCATATCTTTCTATGCTTCCATCTGTCCATCCATCACACTTTGCATTTAATTAGCTTATTTGCAAAGAAATTGTCAGATATTTTTATCATAACTCATAACTGACATATGTAAGACCTTTTCAACTGAATCATAATAAATTGTAATTTTCTAGCCTTGACCTTCCCTATGATCTTTAAAGTTCTACATATTCAAGATATTTGAATCAAATTTCATATAATAATACTTATTGGTGGGAGCAATTTGTCTATGTCCTTTCCCTAGAAATGCACTAATTCCTTGTTTGGCATTTACCTTAGTTTCAAAGAAACTGTTAGAAATTTTTTCATTAAACTTCATACACCCATACTAATTGATGTAAGAAACTCAACTGTGTCTGTGTCATAATTTTCTGACCTTGACTTTCCCTATGACCTTGAACTTCTTTCCTCATTCTAAGAATTCCATAAACAACTCCATACACAGATAAATCTCTGTGAGAGCATATTTCACCATTACCTACTTCAGATATCATATTTTGCTACCTATGAGAGAATGAAATTGAAACAATAAGACTTCATCTAGTTGTCAATTGGGTAGGATGAATCAACACTTTATACCATGCTTCAAAAGCCAACAACTGTATAAAGGTATTAGTTCTATATAATCGTACGGTATATGGAAAAAAACTGAAGAAAAAAAAATGAAAATTATTTATTTTTTAATTTTTCTCAAACTGAAATTTAAGTTTAAGCCAAAGAAACCAGGCACCTATTTTCATGCTGCAGTACCAATATACCAATGGTCCTATGGACATATTTCTAGTAAACTAAACTAAGCTCAGCATCTATTTTGTATAATTCAAAAACTGTACAAGAAAGTATCAATAAATTAAAACTATCAGTAAACGTACCAAAGAAAAATAATTCTTGACTCCATTGGGAAGATTCTGGTAACAATTACTCTATCAATGACCAGTGGTTAGGATATAATACATGGACTGTTCGCATAAATTTTGGATTTTATACTATCTCATGTATAAGACTTTATGTACTATTAAATTAGCTAGATCAGAGTAATATGGGCATACCTTATGTAACATAATGGCTATGAAGACAATCATTGTCAGATGAGTATGAGCCAGAACTGTGGCTGCTCCTAGAGCTATGCCATCAGCTGAAACAGACATGTCTCAATTAGTCTCTGATCTTAATTAATAGAAAATCAAAGAAATGCTCAAATTCTTAAAGATAATAGAAAGATGTTTTAAACACAATTGGTATCATTTCATGACAAGTCATTTTTATAAGCCTGTCACTGAGACAATAAATTTTGTCTTTTAATTAATAAGTTGAAATTTTAAGCAACACTTGCTTCAAAAATGTTGCTCCACTAATTTCTAATGTGAATTTAATTAAGTTTAGCATTTACCTAACATGAAACCAATACCAATATGAAGTCTATATCTTATTTAGTTCAATAATTATGATCAAAGATAAAATAGTGAACACATAAAAAGATTAAAAATAGTATAACTACAATTCTTGAACTTGGAAGCATAATAATTGAATACATAAAGTCAATTTTGTCTATTATGTTTAACACAAGTTCCACCTTACCTCCAGCATGTACGACTAATCCCAGATGTGATTCTTACCTGAAGCATGAACAACTTATCCCAGGGTAGATGTGATTCTCACCTGCAGCATGAACAACTAATCCCAGGGTAGCTGTGATTCTTACCTGCAGCATGAACAACTTATCCCAGGGTAGCTGCGATTCTTACCTGCAGCATGAACAACTAATCCCAGGGTAGCTGTGATTCTTACCTGCAGTATGAACAACTAATCCCAGGGTAGATGTGATTCTTACCTGAAGCATGAACAACTTATCCCAGGGTAGATGTGATTCTCACCTGCAGCATGAACAACTAATCCCAGGGTAGCTGTGATTCTTAGCTGCAGCATGAACAACTTATCCCAGGGTAGCTGCGATTCTTACCTGCAGCATGAACAACTAATCCCAGGGTAGGTGTGATTCTTACCTGCAGTATGAACAACTAATCCCAGGGTAGCTGTGATTCTTACCTGTAACATGAACAACTAATCCCAGGGTAGCTGTGATTCTTACCTGCAGTATGAACAACTAATCCCAGGGTAGCTGTGATTCTTACCTGAAGCATGAACAACTTATCCCAGGGTAGCTGTGATTCTTACCTGCAGTATGAACAACTAATCCCAGGGTAGATGTGATTCTTACCTGCAGCATGAACAACTTATCCCAGGGTAGATGTGATTCTTACCTGCAGTATGAACAACTAATCCCAGGATAGCTGTGATTCTTACCTGCAGCATGAACAACTTATCCCAGGGTAGATGTGATTCTTTCCTGCAGTATGAACAACTAATCCCAGGCTAGCTGTGATTCTTACCTGCAGTATGAACAACTAATCCCAGGGTAGATGTGATTCTTACCTGCAGTATGAACAACTAATCCCAGGGTAGATGTGATTCTTACCTGAAGCATGAACAACTTATCCCAGGTTAGATGTGATTCTCACCTGCAGCATGAACAACTAATCCCAGGGTAGCTGTGATTCTTACCTGCAGCATGAACAACTTATCCCAGGGTAGCTGCGATTCTTACCTGCAGCATGAACAACTAATCCCAGGGTAGCTGTGATTCTTACCTGCAGTATGAACAACTAATCCCAGGGTAGATGTGATTCTTACCTGAAGCATGAACAACTTATCCCAGGGTAGATGTGATTCTCACCTGCAGCATGAACAACTAATCCCAGGGTAGCTGTGATTCTTAGCTGCAGCATGAACAACTTATCCCAGGGTAGCTGCGATTCTTACCTGCAGCATGAACAACTAATCCCAGGGTAGGTGTGATTCTTACCTGCAGTATGAACAACTAATCCCAGGGTAGATGTGATTCTTACCTGAAGCATGAACAACTTATCCCAGGGTAGATGTGATTCTCACCTGCAGCATGAACAACTAATCCCAGGGTAGCTGTGATTCTTACCTGCAGCATGAACAACTTATCCCAGGGTAGCTGCGATTCTTACCTGCAGCATGAACAACTAATCCCAGGGTAGCTGTGATTCTTACCTGCAGCATGTACAACTAATCCCAGGATAGCTGTGATTCTTACCTGCAGCATGAACAACTTATCCCAGGGTAGATGTGATTCTTACCTGCAGTATGAACAACTAATCCCAGGCTAGCTGTGATTCTTACCTGCAGTATGAACAACTAATCCCAGGGTAGATGTGATTCTTACCTGAAGCATGAACAACTTATCCCAGGGTAGATGTGATTCTCACCTGCAGCATGAACAACTAATCCCAGGGTAGCTGTGATTCTTACCTGCAGCATGAACAACTTATCCCAGGGTAGCTGCGATTCTTACCTGCAGCATGAACAACTAATCCCAGGGTAGCTGTGATTCTTACCTGCAGCATGTACAACTAATCCCAGGGTAGCTGTGATTCTGTTTCTGTTCTGTTGAAGTGTAGTTTGTCCTGCCTCTGCATCTGCTCAAAAGAAAAACACACTCAAATTTAACATGTCTACTTATTAAATTTTATTTTGTATCTTTTACAACAAATGAATGCATACATGTATATATTGTGCATTATCCCTTTTAAGTGAATTCAAGGTGATTTAATTGGCTTAATCTACAACTGATGCCATGTTAGAGTACATTAAACAATTTTTTTTAATGATGGCCCAAATCACACATTAACAATAGTCTTACCAATCTTCAAAACACCATATCATAGTGATAACATCTGATTAGGATTCTATAGGGAAATTATTAATTTACTTATTGCTGTATATTTTCTATAACCTTCCGTATAAAGCAGTTTTATTGAGTATTATCTTAATACCTGTTGGTGCATGAGCATGTGCATGAGCTCCTCCTATCTGATCTACAATCAGCATGAATATAAACCCTGCTACCAGAGTGATGCCAATAAGAGAGTGCACATCCGCTGTGGTGTGATGATGTTCATGATGGCCATGTTCTGTAGCACTGTGTTTCTCTGTCTCCTTTGAACTAGATTCATGGTGATGAGTATGGCCATGGTCTATAAAAAATTATTACTCATCATTTTTCAAGTGAAAACTTAATAACAGAATCTAAACATAAGTGCTAATCAAAACTAAATTGCAAGCACTAAAAAAATTTCAATGTTCATTTTGACGTACCCCCTGAAGTGTACATGGCATTGATTCCTTCTGGAATTATAACAGCCAACGCTGTCCCAACAAGTAGTCCAGCACCAAATACTGTCACGGACTTCAGTTTGTCCTAAAATATTTCACTATTTATAAAGAAATTTACTTTACAGGTGATTCAAGAGTAAACTTCTACAAAGGAAAGTTAAAGAAAATATTTATTTATTTATATAAATATAATAAATTCCTGGATTATTTAATGACGCATAAAATATAATTTTTATTGGGGGCAACCAGCATCTAAATAAAAATACAATACTCAGAAAAAAGAGTGAACAGAAGCAGTTGCAAGCAAGTAAAAGATATGAATTTCCACCATGTCATGCCACTATATATATATATATATATATAGTATACTTCTATGGATTCTACAGCAGAAATAAAAAGGGTCCATTTGGGTAAATATATTTTCCCCTCTTTTTATTTCTGCTGTAGAATCCATAGATGTACAGGTCCAGTATAATCAGTACATTTAGCTACATAGCTAAAATTACCTACCGTAGCTATATCTACCTATCTCAGGTAGCTTTATTTAGCTATTTCAAGGCAACTTTTCACAATTTTACTTTTTATTTTAAAAAGACAAAAAATCCCAAATAAATGACTACAAATATCTATACTAGGGATTATTTAAAAAGCAATCCAATGCAGAGATAGTTTTAACATTGCTGCATTTGAACACTTTTAAGGAAAAGATGTATTTTCATTGTTTGAGTAACTGTACACCACCTTGTGTGCAATGAGGCATGGATAAGTATGATTGCTTCTCATTGTGCTCATGTTAACCAAAACTGGTTTTCTTTGTTATTTCATTCAAGAAGTAACTGTTTGATCACAAATTATCTGTTGTATATAGCTCCAAAACTTGTAGAACTTTGATTGAAATTGCGCAGAAAAAGACACATCTCCAAGAGTGATTTTTTCATGAATTGTAAAAGTTGAAAATTATCACTGCATCAAAGTGCAATTTTCTGCACATCCTGAGAAAAATGCTAATTTAAGAAAAAAAGTTTGATCCAGTAGCTAAATAAAGCTACTTCAGGTAGGTAAATAAAGCTATGTATGTAATTCAAGCTACGTAGCTAAATCTAGTGATTGTACCAGACCTGATGTATACAGGTGCAATTGTACCTCTGACAAGGTAATGGATAGTGGAATCATTCCTGCTACGTAACAGCCGATTAACATAGCTAGTGACAGCAAGATAAGGGTCCACAGATCGTCCATGTTGGCGACCAATTCCGATCCGAGAAAACCTTGGTAAAGAACAAGCAATAACAGCTGTAAAATTCTACATGTCGACGACTACATGAATCAATGTTTATAATATACTTAAAATCCCAAGTATGTTTTCTTCGCATTGAAAAACGCATGGGTGATTTGAATTGCGAAAAGCGAAAGTTGTACAAGCTATAGTCGTATTTTTCACGATTCTTTTTAGCCAAATAATATGATGGAAACAAACAAATGGTTTAAGTATATAGAGATAAAACATTATTTAAAAACACATTATTTATAAAATTCATATCTATGATCTTTGCCACCCTTTCGTGATGTACGAATAAGATTAGGTATGAGTTACTATTTTCAATTTTTTAAACTTATCAATATAAAAAATATTTGAATATATAAATTCGTTTTTAATTAACATTCAACAGTATTTTTATATTATTATTATTTATTATTTTTTTGTGTTTACCTAAATTGACAATCGTAGATTCTCGGTCATTTTCTTATCACTGAGAAAGAAAATCTCCGAGGAATCACGATTGCCGAACCAACTGGTCCCCTCTTTACTTCCAGTTTCAACTACCAGTTAAGCTGCGTGTGGTAGCATCTCATCTTGGAAATCTATAGAAGTCACAATGGTAACACTTCTACTATGTGTGCTAATTTGCTTTTAAATAATTGCTTTAAAATAATTGCGGTTAAGATGTTAAAGAACAGAATATCCTGTATTCTTGTTAAGTTGTTATACCCCCTTGCATTTTTCAAAAAAAAAAAAGTTCTTGCTAAACATGCAATACTTTTACATACTGAGTGGAGATTCTATGAGTTGAAATAATATGCATGTTTACTTGTAGACAAATTAATAATGTGATTTGCTAATGCCTAAATGAATCAACCATACATGCATTTTGATTGAGTAAATGAAGAGAACAATGTATTTTCATAGGAAATGTCACTTAAACTTTGTCCAAAGCACGAGAAATTTAATTTTTATCAACAAGTTGCACCAATTCATATCATATAAATGTTAAACAGGGTAGACTTTACTTTACCGGTCCCCAGATCCGCAAGATCCGCGCGCTCATTGCATTATGACATAAGATTTACGTCACTCAACTGATAAGGGTTAGTCTTGCACATTTTTTGACTGGTTAGGGTTAGTCTTGCACCCACCTGAGAGATTAGGGTTAGTCCTTGCACAAGTTTTCAACTGATTAGGGTTAGTCTCACATCCATCCGAGAGATTATGGTTAGTCCTCGCACATGGGTTAGTCTAGCATCCGCCCGGGAGATTTGGGTTAGTCCTCGCTTACCATCCGAGGGATTAGGGTTAGTGTCTTGTTTTTTTTAAAGATAAATTAGATATTCAGTTGCATCTGTATTTTTGCAAGATCTTAATTCAGCTTTAACGACATCTCTTTGGTTTGTTTACATGAAAAAATGGCTAAATACGAAAGAAACGGCACTAAGCATGCGCCGCACGCGCTCTGTTGACAATTATTTTTTGTCTCCTTTTCACTGAATAAACAATATTAATTACTTTTTTCAGAAAACGAGGTTAAAAACTTCGTTTAAAAATGAAGTTTTAAACTAAACTTTTATCTGTAGAATTCGATTTTGGGGTCAAAAAGGCTAAAAACCTCATACTTTTAATTTTTTTCGATCGCTCACGCGATCTCATATATACTGAAGTCGCCTACGGCGACACTATATTTTAGCGCGTTTTTCTGGGGACCGGTAAAGTAAAGTCGTTCCGTTAAACATTTAACAGGGCTCTCACAACACTTTTTGGTACTGTGTCCGGGGCCGTTAAAATTAGGAAATTACCAACTTGTGGGAATTGTGGAAAAAAAATTGATATGTATTAAAATTCATATTTGAAGTTTCTAACGTTAGATATCACCTAAATTTTAATTTTGCAATATGCAGTAACAGAAGTAACAAGTTTATATACTGTTTATCCAAATATATGTTCTTTTATTTTATGGGGGTAATGACTATTGGGAAAAATGACATATTCATTTTGGAAAAAATGTGCCTTTTTTTGAATTGGGAATGAGACCTTCCAACGGCCCCAATGATAGACAATTGAAAGCCCTGAATTATCTAGGATAATGAAATAGAACCTTTTTATTCATTTTATTCAGAGTGTTATATTTCCATAAGTTTATGTAATACAATAATGAAGGAAAATTCAGAAATATCAATAGGTGACTCGTGGTCGGTGACATCTCCTAGATTTTGCCAACTTTCAACAAATGACCTCTTTAAGTTGCCTAGTTTGCTTTTAATTAAGGAATGAATTTAATAATTTATACGGTACAAAATGATTTGGGGCAGTTTTGCTATATAAACTTCATTCCTTATAATGTAATTTTCCATCATTTAGTGTAAGAAAACAGATGATTGCCCTTAAAGGTGCTTAGACACAGATTTGAAGTTTATATTTTCTCAAATTTTCTGTATAATATCACAACTTAAATGTTGCTATAGCATTTCACACGAAAATAAAATTAAAAATTATTTAATCTGGAAATTATTGAATCTACGAATTTCGGGAGGCATTTGATTAACACATTCTTGCACTTTCACAAATTTTAACTCTATCCTTAATACTTAAGAAAAGTAGCAATTTTGTTGTGTATTAATGAATAATATTACATCTATAATTCAGAAAATTCAGAGTAAAAATGTGCGAAAGCAAAACCCACTCACTTAAGTATTGTCAGCCCGTGCTCAGTGTTGTGTAGCTGTGTACAGAGTTTAACAAATTGAATACACCCGCGAAACGTAAACTGGGCACGAGCTCTGTTGTTGTTAATGTTTACGTTTCACTGGGTGTGTTCAATTGTTAAACTCTGCACACACCACTGAGCACGGACTGAGAATACTGGTGAGAGGATTTTGCTTTCTACATTTCTACTCTGGAATTTCTGCATTATAGTTTTAATATTTTTCATTAATAAACAACAAAATTGCTACTTTTCTAAAGTAATAAGGATAAAGATAAAATTTGTGAAAGTGCAAGGATGTGTCTATCAAACGCGTCCAGAAATTCAAAGTTTCAATAACTTCCAGATAAAATAAGATTTTTATCAAATTTTCGTATGAAATGCTACAGCAACATATAAGTCATGAAATTATACAGAAAATTTGAGTAAATATTAACTTCAAATCTGTGTCTAAGCACCTTTAAAAAAATGACTTCAAATTGTACAAAATTTAAATGTAACGTCAGGCGGATTGATGCATTTTTGATGAAACGTTACCAAACCAGACATGTTCACTCTACCACTTCACACAGAAGTCTACCACTGTTTTATTCCATCTTCCACCCACCTCTTTCATTAAAAAATGTATCACCTCTCTACAGAACCCATTATCGATATGTGTGGGTAACCATTTTTGATCATAAAATCTAGTTGGTTTTCAAGGCATAGCGTGGTGTGAACTGAAAGGATATACTTTAAAAGTACTTTATTCCACAGGGTCATAATTCCACAGAATCACAATTTCTGTCTAATCCTCAGGTAGAAAAACGTGTATTTCTTGGATTTTCATTGTTTTAGTATGCTGTGATATATTTCCAAGGAAAATTTGTGAATGCCTACAATAGTATAAATTAATCCCATACAGAAAAAAGTATGTCTACAGTAAATGCTTTTTCCATAGCGATGTTTACATTGTGTTTGACATTTCTCCGAATGCCTGGATACCTATATTTTTTATCCTAAAATATACTTGCTGATCCATTTTCAATTAGAAAATGCGTAACTGGTGCTTTCATTCACATTTCCTGGAAAGTTCTTTTTTTTTTTTGAGATTTGATAATTTTCCCTGTATAATATGATCAACTATAATTTGAACTTTGAAGACGGGTAAATACACATTACTTTGTGAAAACGGAGACATTTTCATGAGCATATTCATTTACTAGTAAGTAATTGCTGATATTCATAACCCGAGGATCAAACTACCTTAAGATTGAAGAAGGTGTACACTCTCTTTAAAAATCATATAAATTAATTGTTAGGTAGACATATCTGTCACCTGTATGTACATATTACTCTTTACAGTCTCACACAATTCTACTGGTACAGCCAAATCCTCGACCTGATACAAGGACATACTCTGACTATGAGTCCCTCAACGAGTGCCTAGAAGGTTTGGTTTCTCTCCATACTAAAAAAGTATACAAGAATGATTAAATGTTTATACCCATAAAAAGGTCAGAATTAAATCAGACCTGCATTATGAAATTGGGAAAAACCTTCAGCTTTTTTCTTAGATTAGTATTATAAATCTATTTTAATTATCCAGGAATCTGTAAGATTTATGAGGAACATCTGAAGAGGCAAAATCCTGATTGTCCCTCAATCACTTACGACATTTCCCAACTGTTTGATTTTGTGGATCAGCTGACGGACCTAAGCTGTTTGGTGTAAGTGGAGATATGGTTACAAACATTATTAAACCAGTTTAGATTCTTTTTTCTTTTTGTTTATCAAATTTATGGTTCTACAAAATTGTTTAATCTTGACAGCTACCAGAAAAACCAGGGAAGTTATGCTCCACACAACAAAGACTGGCTAAAGGAAAAGATTTACATTATGCTGAGAAAACAGGCAGGCCGTTAATTCTAGAGGGAATGTGGAGAAAATGACAATGACGTTACATACACCCATTTCATCATACCTTCATATTCATGATATGTGTACATTGTACTATGTTGCAGCTACAGTAACAGTAGTTTAACATCTGTTGTTGGTTTTACAAGTACCACTATTTAGCATTATTGTTCATGATTAGTTTTATGTTTAACCATTTATAAAATGTAGGGGAAAAAAATCAGATTTTGTTTTAGTTTGCAGAAGAACTTTGTAAAATTTCAGCATGACTGATTGCTGTAGTATAGTGAATTGTACATTTTTTAAAATAAAATAGCAGTCAGAGTACATGTGTGTACACCAGAAGTTTATTCTCAATAACATGGCCTCTCAACTTATGACATTGATATGCAGTTTGCTAAATTTTGCTCATTTTTTTAGGTATGAAAACAACTTGAAAATTTGAAATACATATAATGTATAAGAATGAAAGCTGCAATTTGTTGCTCCATGGCTATTGATGAAAACTTTTTTAAAAAAAATTAACAAAAAAAAAAAAAAAAAAAAGAATGGCAATGGTAAATCCTGAGAATGTTTCCCAGGGCAAAAATATTAAATAAAAACAGGTCTTGAGACCATAAACTGAGAGTATGACTTAAGTCTAAATTCTGATTCTGAATATTTTAATAATTGATTTTTACTTCACATATATGTCTTAAAATATATTGTTTCAATTACAAACACATGATAAAAATTCTTTTTATCAATATTATTTCAAATTTTTTGGACTTAGATCTGTTCTCAGTTTATGGTTTTGAGGTCAGAGCTCTTTAGTTCTACATGTGTATCAAAATCATGCAATATATGACTTTTGAGTTTTAATAACAGTATAATCTTGATTCAGAAAGTTGTACTTTTTCTGTAAGATAGTTTGATTTATTGTGTTGAGTAAAAAAATATATATACTTAAGGGTCCCAAATTAGGATTTGGATGAATTTGTGAGATTGTATTGACAAGTTTTTCATTTTGTAAGACAGTTTGATTTTGCAAAAAGTTTGTAGAAAATAAATGTATCAGTTTTTTTTCTCATGCTCATGCCTTTTTATTTTGACATTTCTTCACTTTTGCAAGCATTATGGTCAAATCTACTTGTATGGCTGTCAGGCAAGTTCTTTCTCTGATGACCATAAGGCATATGGAAAGATGGTAAATCACCTCTCTCAGAGTTCAGAGAACATGGTTTGTTGATTGTTTCCAATGTACATTTGGTAATTTACAGATTTCATGTGTTGAAGAGTCACAAATTAGACATTTTGTGATATAAGCTTGTTTATGTTTATGCGCATTATTACTCTGCATTTTCTGTTAGCTGTACGGCCCCTACATAAACGGTTAATTTGGTCTCTGTTCAGTGTAATAAGTTTCCACCAGTGTCGACGGACGTATTCTACAAAGCTATTGTAAAACTCTTGGTAGCGACAGTAGTAACTGTGTGTTTCTTCCACAGCAAAAGAGAGAATTGCCAAAAAAACATCAGTTGCACAGGTCAGTACAGTACAAACAAACACAAATACTGGGTACTTATAAACTGCAATAAAATAAAAACATAGGTAATGTAAGATAACCAACACAAACACATGTTGTCCATTGTTGCAGCTTTTGATATGATACGATATTTTATAAAGTGATATGCAATATATTGGATTTCTCAACAAGTCTATCACAAACATCATATAAGTCATTTAATGCATAAATTTTATAAAAACTGAGTGAGGTGACAAAGAACGAGGGCGCTTTTGATTGGCATTCGGCAGGAATCTGGGCGCACTTGAAAAGTGAAAATTTCATTGATCCGTCACATGAAATTTTAGCATTCTATTGATGTATCGGGTTCCTGTGAAATAGGAAAGGGAAATATTTTCCCGATATTGTATTTTGAGTTGCTAAAAAAGAACTTGAAAATTGGCTAGATGAGTCATTTGGTCCAAAATGTTACATTTTCAAACACGTTTTTCTAAAAATTTGCTACATCTGGGTCATCTCTCCATGATTTTGAAATGTTATCTGTGTGAATTTTAATTCAAAAAAACTAACAAACATTTGTAAAAAATGGAGAGAAGACCCAGAGACGATAAAAAGTGAACTTTTACCAAAAAAATTCCAATGTGTAAATGCGGTGCTTCATTGTCACTTTAGAAACCATATAATACGTGTAGCGGTGATAGCTCAGTAGAATGCGTTACCCGTCCAGTGCAACGGAAAAGAAATATTTTTGGTTCGATCCTCGCATGGAGCGTTAATATTTTTTTTTATTACAAACAATCAATTGTTTTGTCAGTTTAATTTTATGTACCAATTTATTTTCAGATAGATAAATTCTGATTCTGTTGCACCGAAAGCGAAAGCAATTCTTCCAACCTACTGATACTTTAATATATATATGTCATGTAATTGCATTTATCTATACCCTATATGTATTTATTATTTATGTGAAGCATCACTAAGATTTACAGTAATTATTAAGATAAGCGGACTGATATATTAAATTTGACAAAGTATTTTAAACTAAATGTAACATATTCCCATGTGCGTAACTTTGTAAAGTATGTCCAGCTGTGATCAGCCGACCAAATCGTAGACATTTAAACAGTTAAACTATGAATGTTTCGTACACCTATTTCCTGCAGATCACACGCCAAACACGCCCATCTTCTTTTCAAATTCAAACTTTAATGACTGTATAACCAACATGTTAAAATATAGTTGTCTATGTATTTTGTAATAATTATATAAGATGTGATATCTCCTTAATATTTATATCATTATTGATCAGTTTTAATTTTGAACAGTTAAATATAATCTTTGGTGATTGAAATTCCCAATTTTTTCACAGAATTAAAAGAAAAACTGCCTGCCCAATATGTATGGGAAGTTATTATTTCAATACGATACATTCTTGAATATTGATACATATATCGATATATTGACACAGCCCTAACAGACAGACAGACGGACAGATGACAGATACCTTACTATCGCATAAGGGTGAATTAAAAAAAAAAAATGACCAAACGCATATTTATCAACCCACACTAAAAATTCAGGCAATGAAAATAGATTTCTATGTCTCAGCATATGTCTTTAGATAGTGTCTAAATACCTGCCAAATATCTAGTTGATATCTCAATGAACAAAAAAGTTATAGCCAAAAATGATGCTAAAAATGTCAGGAGTGCAACACCTTTTTGTGACATTTTGAAATTTCAATATTTTTTGGAGATCTCTGAAATAAATAACAATGCTTTATGTTGAAAATAAAGACTTTCCCGATAATATTCAAAGTATTGAGTTTTAAATGTGGACTATAGTAACTTTTGTTTAATCAAGTTATGATCATGGCTGATGTTTAAAAAAAATGTTATACCATGTCAGGAGTGCAACAGAAAAAATGTAGTGTTGCCAAAAAACATCAATTGTAAAATTCTGAAAGAAAATTAAGACAAAAAAGAATTTTCAAAGTGTGAAACAATAACTGATATACATTTCAAAACATAAAAATGTTATATAAATCACAAGCAGCATTAATGAGAGTCAAGTATATGTGCATACCCAATAATGTCAGGAGTGCAACATTTGATGTTTTGCTCCCAAGCATGAAAAAACTATTATCATTGTATGATTTTCTGATTTTTATATTGGAAAATAAAGACTCAAAGAACATTTTTACCAAACAGATTTATCAATTACAGGATCTGTCTGTGCTTCTGATCTATTTTTCCATGGTCAGGAGTGCAACACATTTTTTTTAAAGGTTCAAGTTGTGTGACGAAAACACTCCTATTCATGCTTAGAAGTATGTAATACTAAATTATGGACAGTTTTATTATTAATATCCTTCCTTTTTCAATTTTATCAATTCAGATGTGTTTTTATCCTTTTTGTGATTTTTTAATGACTGTTAAAATAAACACACAAAAAAATTGTCCTAAAATTCAAGTAATTCCTCCTCAACTCTTCACTGAAACAACAGAACAAGTTCTTATGTAGTTTTCACTTCACAATTCTACTTTAAAGGCCCCAATGCGTTTGGTCAGGAGTGCAACAAATATGTAAGAATTATAAATCATCCAATAAGAATAAAAATAAAGAAAAAATGATGAGTAGAATTTTTCTGGTTGGTTACTGTGCTTGTCCTCTAAAGGAAAATATGCTATAAAATATATTTTATCTTCAAAATATACATTTAAACTAGTTTTTTTGGCATAAATAGGGAATAATTCCAGATAAAATGTGAATTTTAAATACTTCCATCTGTTTTAATTATGAAGTATTGGACTATAAATATTGCACAATTTCATCACCAGTTGATGTTGCCAACACTTTATGAATTTTTGTGTTCTATGATTTTAATTTTAAATTTTACAGCAGTCAGGAGTGAACAAGTTCACAAGTTCTTCTGGTCTCTGACCAGTAGAGCTAAAATTGGCCCAACAAACTCAGCTAGACACATGCACCAGCACCACTAGCCAGACAATGTTGATACCAACTTGAGAACACAATGGTGATCAAAAAGTTTGCGAACTATCTCTATATTTACAAAACCACGATTCAGATCAGAATGAAATTTGACACACATATAGTCATACACATGTTCTATAAATAGCAGATCTTATGTTTTGCTCCGTGTTTGTGACGTCACAATGTGAAAATGACATCAGTAGGTCACTTGTGACAAAAAATAGTTGACTCAGTCGTACTCGAGGAACGAACGGCTGTAAAGTTTAACGTACATCTCGGAAATTCATTTGCAGTAGAATATATTTTGTACAAGGTTTATGAAGACAAAAGACTTACCAGAAGTTTAATCATTAATTGGATTGATTGTTTTAGTGAAGGCAGGGAGATGGTTAAGAAGAGGCCCATGGGCCACAACGCTCACCTGAGTCAATATGGCCCTGCTGTTCTTTGTCAGCAGGTTTCTTCTTCTATATATTCATATGTAAAGCTAATTGATCGACTGTTCGAAGCATAACCTATCCCCAGTTGCCATGTTTTGAATGAAATTGAATCTAAACTTTCTGAGGATGCTTCTATAATCAATCATGGTTTTGCTGTTCTTGAAACGGAATTTTAAAGATATCTGCCATCCTACCCTGGGGGTGGGGGGTGGGGGGTCATGATTTGAACTTGAATCTACACTACCTAAGGATGCTTCCATATCAATATGGCTAATTATGGATTTGTTGTTCTTGAGAAGAAGATTTTTTAAGATATTTCTTATATATATTCTTTTGTTAAACTTTGATACCTGATTATGGCCCCACCCTACTACTGGAGGATGCCTTGAACAAACTTAAATCTACAATACTTGGGGATGCTTCAATATCAAAATGACTTATCATGGCTTTCCTGTTCTTGAAAAGATTTTTCCTATATATTCCTATGTAAAACTTTGATCCCCCATTGTGGACCCACCCTACCCCCAGGGGTCATGATTTGAACAAACTTGAATATACACTACCCGAGGATGATTCCATATCAATATGACTAATTGTGGCTTTGTTGTTCTTGAGAAGAAGATTTTTAAAGAATTTTCCGATATATTCCTATGTAAAACCTTGATCCCCCATTGTGGCCCCACCCTACCCCCAGGGGTCATGATTTGAACAAACTTGAATCTACACTACCCGAGGATGATTTCATATCGATATGACTATTTGTGGCTTTGTTGTTCTTGAGAAGATTTTTAAAGAATTTTCCTATGTATTCCTATGTAAATCTTAGACCCCTCATTGTGGCCCCACCCTAACCCCAGGGATCATGATTTGAACAAACTTGATTCTACACTACCTGAGGATGATTCCACATCAATATGACTAATTGTGGCTTTGTTGTTCTTGAGAAGATTTTTAAAGAATTTTCCTATATATTCCTATGTAAAACTTTTATCCCCCATTGTGGCCCCACCCTACCCCCAGGGGTCATGATTTGAAAATATTTGAATCTACACTATGTAATGAAGATTTCCCATAAGTTTCAACTTTTCTGGCCCAACGGTTCTTGAGAAGCTTTTTAAAAGAAGACACCAAATTTTCACCAATTCTTAATTATCTCCCCTTGGAAGAGGGTGTGGCCCTTCATTTGAACAAACTTGAACCCCCTTCACCCAAGGATGCTTTGTGGCAAGTTTGGTTGAAATTGGCCCAGTGATTCTGGAGAAGAAGTCGAAAATGTGAAAAAATTACAGACGGATGGACTACGGACAAAATGTGATCAGAAAAGCTCACTTGAGCTTTCAGCTCAGGTGAGCTAAAAATGATGTTTGTTCTGTTACTCAGCAAAAGCAAGCCAGTAAAAAGATGTATCCTTAGTTGAGCAATTTGTTTTGAAAGATCGCCAAGTTACAATTAGAAAAATAGTTGAATATCTGAACAATAATATAATTATTAAATCCCTAAAATATCGTTTACTTTAGACTTTAAACATGAGATATGAAGAAAAAGAAGGCACCCATACTTTTTCCACATTGGATAAACGACGCTCCCGAGACAGAGGACTCCGGTTGTGATGGTCACCATGCTAATTCCGGGAAGGGATATCCTTATCCACCCATCCTATTGCAGAGATTTGGCCATTTCTGACAGTTGATCTGTTTTTTTAATAAAAAATTACTTGCATGGTAAGAAATATAAGACTCGGAAAAATCTCTTAGCTTCTGTGAACAGACCTCTATGAAGCATGTCATGTGACCACCTGGATCACATGATTTGTGCATGGGCAGAACAATGGCAGATGTGCATTAAAATTGGAGAGGACTACTTTAAAAGATAGTGAACACTGAAACCTCATTTTAATTCTTTTAAGGAAGTAATTCAATTAGTTCGCGAACTTTTTGATAACCCCTCATATGTTTTCATATGAGGAAAAGACAGCAAAACTGAATATGAATTTATTATTGTGATATATTGCAATACCACATTTAATATTGCAATATATCGTGATTTGTTGCAATACCCAGCACTAAACTATAACACTACAGAAGATCAACAGTCATTTACTTAATTAACAACTGACTTTTGAAGCAATGGAGAACTCAGAAGAGAGCATGTTAAATTGATATTTATTCTGCATTTGATAACACCAGACAAATCAATATGGAATAATCAAACAAGCACCTTATGAATATAGATTCCTCCAAGCAAAATTTTGATCACAATAACACTTGAGAGTAAATTCAAAATTGTGTGAAACATTACAAGTGGTGGAAATTTCATTTTAAATATTGGGTCTTTGGTATTCCTTACAATTATTGCTGATTGCTCTGATATATACAGGTAAATGTGTAAAACACACTCTTGACAGTGTAAGAGTTATGTAGTATTCATATGCAAAACTTAGTTTCATTACATGGTAAATAAACACTTTTAGACACATAATCACGATAATTAATGAAACTCCTACACCAAAAAAAAAAAAAAGAAAAGAAAGAAAAAGCAAATAAAGTCTACACAACAATACATTATTCCATATGTACAACCACAAATAATTATGCACATGATTTTTTTTCTCAATACAGTAACAGTAAGCAATAATTGTTTTGGTAATTACACATGATTTAAAAGCTAAAACACCACTTCCTTCTTAGTAAAAGCCAATAATGTTAAAGCAATATGCTACCATAAAACAGGAAGGCAGATTTTTTTTTTTCACTCAAACTTAACTGAACCACAAGTCTCTGACAAGACCGTAGCTCTATTGGTGTGTACTAACAATAAAGAAAGATGTATCTTAGTATAGTCTACTTGTGTACCATGTCTTATTGATATCGGACCAAAACTGATGAAAGAGTAGCATTTTGAAAGAATTTCAAAAATTTCTATTTTTAGTAACCATGGCAACATCATTTATCAAAATCAAAAAATGATAAATGTTTCTTACTTTTCTGAGTGTAGTCTACTTGTGTACTAAGTCTTATTGAAATTAGATCAAAACTGTACAAGGAGTAGCATTTTAAAAGAATTTCTCAGGAATTTCTATTTTTAGTAACCATGGAAAAATTATAGTCTACAGTACCAAGTCTTATTGAAATTGGACCAAAACTGTTGGAGGAGAGGCATTTTGAAAAATTGTTTAGAAACGGACAACATACACCTTACAATGCATAAACTTTTCTGGTCTCAACCCCCCCCCCCCCCCCCCCCTTCAAAAAAAGTGCAATATAATTGAGAACATGAAATCATCAAAAGGGGCACTGGATGGATAGATGGTAGAATATGGTACCAAACTGAGGCTAAAGACATCTTTAAGGAGATGTTGGTAAAACATAAAAAACTTTTCTTTAAAAAATGAGGTGGAAATTTTTTTAAGTATTACTTTTCTTTGCATGTATAATATTATGAAAAAAACTTCAATAATCATGTCTTCTACTCTTCTAGGCAATCAACTCTTATGCATTATCTTCAATGCTAAGCTCAAATCCTTCAATTTCTGAGAATTCGGAATTCATTTTCTCCATCCATTCCTCCATTTTGTCATTCTGAAATATTCAAAGTAAAAAAAATCTATAAAAGCAATCTTATTCCTCTAAATAAATTGTCCAGGAGACATATTGTGGAATAATCATTATTTGTAGAGGATCAATGATAGTGTATTCCGTGGGTCATTTTTATGCAGAAAAATGATATATCTGTTAATGTATCAGTTTACTGAATCTTCTTCTGCATATACAGTATTATGTATATGAATTATCCACAAAATTACATCTGCAAAAACAGTAAAATTTTGAATGCTCACCAAATAATTAAATTAATCCGCAGTAAATGCTCCACTTTCATTACATTTGCATTACAAAATCAATAAATGTGAGATCAAGGTTTGAGGGCATGCACATTTGAAATGCTCTAACCAAACTGTGTCTTTTAAATTATAGATTTAAGGAAATGAGCTTAAAACAAAAGCAGAAAAAGTTGAGGTGTGCATTGCCTTGTACTTCTGCATGCATATGCATTAGTGAATAGCAACAGTCAAAAATGTAAAGCAGATTTAAAACTTCTCACTTTTATTAAAATCTCACTTAGACTTCGTGTCACTTATTAATGTGTTTCCTAAATCTAATCAGAATTAGTGATACATACTGCTTTGGTGATTTTCTTCTGCACATGTTTCCTCTTGGAAGGTTTGTATGTGCTTTGAAAGCTTTTGTTGACAACCATTTCTTAAAAAAGAAAAGAATTCAATTTTATATACTTTATAACTATACCTCACAACAGATTTATTATAATCTTTGTATTTCAACAGAATCATATTTCCCTTTACTGCACTGCTTCCTTTAAATCAAATAAACTTTCATAATTTATATTTTTTTTTTACATTTATTTTAAAAGGGCAAGCTAGCAAAGGGAAGCCTGAACAAACAAAGATCTACATTGCAAATGTTAACTTTTAGCAATCATAAAGAAACTAGAAATATGTCTATAGGACATGAATGCCCCACCAAAGGTTCATTAGTATTGCAATAATAGCTCTAATCAGTATCAGCATATGAAGTTTGATAAAAATATTTTGAATATTTTCTTTGAAACTGAGCTAAACCACAAATTTAAGAGTAATGAAGGTCAAAGGAAAGCTCCCTACTTTTTTTGAAACATAACTTTATTTGGCTTTGAAATTTTTTTCTCTTTCTGTCCCCTTTCAAAAACGATATATTCATGGCATGAAAAGTTCTTACCATCCCCTGTTGTAAACAGTTCTATGTTCTTTGATTGGCTTTTATCATCTGTAATGCTGTCATCAAATGTCAGTTTGTGTGTAATGGAGTCCATGGAGGCATAGTCTGACAGTGGAGTGATGGGGGGACTAGAAGTCTTCTTCACCGGAGACACATTAAGGAGGGCTGGGTCACGGTAAGCATTGAGAGAAGACTTCAGAGGGATACTGGAAGAGTTAAATGGGGTGGACACAGCCTGGGCTTTAAAGTCTTTCTCTGCAACAACTTCTGGTGAGAGAAACATCCCACTGTCCCTTGAATTTTCTTTCTTCTCAATGTTAGCTTTTTTACCAGAATTAGCCCTTCTCACTTTGGGAGATTTGATAATTGTTCCAACTGGTGTATCACACTTTCTCTTTCTAAGCTGCCTCTGAGAACTGTCAACATTGTCAACATTTATTTTTTGTAGAGTCACAACTGGAGAGAATTTTGCTGGAATAATCTCAGAAACATTGGGAGAAAAGGATACATTTTTTCCTTTTAGACCTGACCTTGTACTTAAGGGACTCTCAATACTGTTTGACTGTGGTATTGGGGATACATCCATAGGCGTAACTTGTGTTAATGGAATTTTCTTGTGCTTTGAATTGTTACTCATAGCTTTGTGATCGGTTGTTTTTTTGGTAATTGGTTGTGAGCCCTTTATTTTTGCTGATTTGGATTTTTCTCCAGAGAAAGGTATAGATGTCTTTGTAGTAGTTGACTTTTTCTTTTTGGCTTTGGGTTTTTTAAGGGGGGATTTTACTGGTTCTGGGTCCTCTTCATCAAAGTCGTACAAACTACTCTTACTCTTGGAGGAGGCATTGCTTGAGGAGTCTGATCCACAAGGAGTAGTATTCTCCTCATCTCCCTCATAAGCTTGGTCTGGACTCTGAAAATTACAGCAATACCAATATTTCAATGCCATTAAATGAACTGTATAGGCAGTATGCAGATTTGATTATGAAGCAGTTTAAAGTACATAAACCAGTAATAACTGTTTTGAACTTATAATAGTGAAAGAGAAAAGTTGAACCTGCATTTGAAGAACTTATTTTTAGTTCAAGTGACCTGTTGCTTTTAAGCTGGAAAACTGAAGCTCTCTGGGAAATAAAATTCGCACAGATATAGATATTAACTTTCAGATCCACTTGCCCTTCATCTCGCTAGCTAAGTGTCTCTGATCTGCTACACTCTTCACAAACCCTTCACCTATCATGCTGTCAAAAGTGGGGATTTTTCTCTCTCAAGATGCGATTGGAGTTTTTTGATATCCTCCTACCAATCGGTTAATGTATTGCAAAGCTATAGTAAATGACAATATCTCTGTTCAGGATTTTTCTTGACTCTATAGTCTTGGGAATGAAAAACAATGATCCCTAAGATGACATGCCATTTTATAAATAGTTATGACATCATCCAAATTTTAGTTTAATAATTTAATCTTGAATCTTTATTACAGAAATAGACTTGCACCCAAACTAACAAATAAACATTGCTTGATAACTGCTTGTTAAATATTCTTTTAAAACTTCAATTTTTACAAATGCTCTTTATTACTGTCACTGATGCAATATAGGTAAGATTTCAGATCACATACTATAAACAATCTGGACTTTTGATAGCACTATATCACTGTATATGTCAAGGGTTTGTGAGGAGTGTAGCAGATCAGAAACACTTGGCTAGCAAAGATGCTTGCCCTTTGAGGAAGTGAACTCAAAACTTGGTTGCCCAAAATTAAGAAAAACATAACACCTACGGTAATTTTTTTTTTTTTAATTTTCATTACAATAACTTTAGAATAAGATGGGATTGAGAGGTGATTAACATTTGCTAAAGTTATTTCAAATCATAAAGAAGTTTAAAAAGATTTTTCCTATGTATTCCCACATAAAATTTTGATTGCCCATAGTGGCTACACCCTACTCCCAGGGGTCATGATTTGAACAAACATGAATCTACAATAACAGAGGATGCTTCCATATAAATATGACTTATGGCTTTGCTATTCTTGAGAAATGGATTTTAAAAGATTATTCCTAAGTAAAACTTTGATTGCCCATAGTGGCCCCACCCTACCCCCAGGGGTCATGATTTGATTGATTGTATGTTGTTTAACGTCCCATTCGATATTTTTCACTCATATAGAGACGTCACTGTATGCCGGTGAAGGGCTTCAAATTTAGACCAATACTCAGAGCCTTTGAACAGTGAGGGTTCTTTATCGTGCCAATGCCTACCGTGACACGGGACCTCGGTTTTTAAGGTCTCATCCCAAAGACCTGTGACTTTAACTTCTAGTGCCGGGTGCTTGGCAAAGAAACAGTCACTACCTATGTGAACTTCTTAAGTTTGACGTGGCGCGATGACCGAGAATCGAACCCGAGCCTCCTGATCATGAAGCGAGTGCCCTACCACTAGGCTACCGTGACCAGTAGGGGTCATGATTTTAACAAACTTGAATCTACACTAACTTGAATCTACACTATCTCAGGAAGCTCACATAAGTTTCATCTTTTCTTGCCCAGTTTTTGAGAAGATTTTTTAATGACCCCACCCATTTTTCACTATTTCTGAATTATATCCCCTTAGAAGAGAGTGTGGTCCTTCATTAGAACAAACTTGAATCTCCTTCACCCAAAGACACTCTGTGCCAAGTTTGGTTAAAATTGGCCTTGTGGTTCTGAAGAAGGTGAAAATAAGAAAAGTTTATGACATGCCAATAGACAACAAACAAATTTCGATTAGAAGAAAAGCTCACTTGAGCCTTTGGCTCAGGTGAGCTAAAAAGTTGCGTACTCAATTTTGTCATACTGAGTAATGGATGGATACAACAGCTTATTTTTACAAATAATTATAAATCATGTACATGCATACAAATTTTTCATAACACATAGGTAAGCAAAATTATTAATGTGAAATTTTAACTAAGTATTTTCTTGGTTGTTTTTAGTAATAATTCACCACATGATACTTACATGCTTACTTCTTAAGATGGTACATTTCTTCTTTGAGTCTGTTGTGCCCTGTAAACCAAAAAATGAATGCACTTTAATACTTCACCATTTCCATGTGATTATTGAAAAATGTTCAACCCCATCCTCACAAGCCTATGATTAGGCCAAGATAAATAAATAGTGTGTTTCAGAATTCCTATTCCAACCCGAGAAAAAAATAGGGTAGGTAGGTAGGGAAAACATTTTATTTTATTTTAACATTTAATTAGTTAAAATTCAACTTTGACAATAAACAAAATGAGAAAAACAAAGAGTTCATTTCTTTTTCCCAAAAGGGCAGCTTACTAATGGCATTTCTGTTTAATGTGCATAGGATATGAATTTTCTCAAACACCGAAGCAATCGAGATTAAGATTTCTACCAGTGAAAATGGAATTATTTACTTCCGGAAAGATATAGGTGGATAATTTTTTCAGAATCGGCTACTAATTTTAGGGTCAGTCGGGGAACCAGAAACACACTATTTATTTATCTAGGCCTTCAGCTAATTTTATACAAGAAGACCATGCCTGAACAGATTACTGCAAATAAATCTGAACATTAGTAGGTCCTGTATTCTTGAGATATTTGAAAATAAAAACAATTCTTATATACCGTTTAAGTGGGAGCACCAGGGCCCAACTCTCATAGCTTAAGTGCACTGATCTTTTGATTCAATATAGTAGAAGTATGTTTACATATATCTGGTTAGTTTGACAATCTGCAATCTTGAAGTTCTTAAATGAAAGATTGTTATTTTTCTTACACATTTCTATGAAGAACTTTCCAACATTAGAATTACATGTACTTGAACTTACACTACATGAGAAATGATGCTTGCATAGAAAGATAATTTTGACGTATTTTCTGTTTTTTAATCTACAACTACACACTTATTTTGACACCTTTTATAGTTATATAGTGAATATTTACAGCAATAAGTGCCCACCATACCAATAAGGTATGAGGAGCTTGTGTTTAACGGGATTTAATGGAGATTTATATAGATGAAGATCCAAAGAGCGATTGAAAGTTAACACCTCAAGAGTAAAACCACTGGTCTAAATAGAATCTTTATCCAACTAGACACAACAAATATTTTTGGGATTGATTTAGCAAGAAGTTTGGCTGTCACGGACAGTTTTAGGTATCATTTATACGAGGTTCCACAGGAATTACACATGGAAAATTGACAAAACTTTATTAATTGTGCGAGGAATATGTTTACTAAAATTCCCTGATGCCTATGCCAATGCACCTTTGCTTAATTTAAAATAAAAATTGGATCTGAATAAAAAAGACCACCAGTTAGTCAGTAAATACCGACTCTGATATGGGTGATTGACCACCAAATGAGGGTTAAATCACCATTTGGTGCAATCTCTACCCGAGTTATTGTTCTCGCTACACTCCATTAATATCTCTGTCAGGGGCTGAGAAATAAATTTTTCAAGTACTTGCCCATGGGCAAGTACATGGTCAAAATTCACTTGCCCTATCTGAATTTTTACTTGCCCCACCTTAACTTATGAAATTAGGAAGAAAAAAAAAAGATTATTACAAGTGCCCATTTCCACTTAATATTAAGACTTATTATTTTTTTTCTTGAAAAAGTCACTTGCCCTCGGGCAAGTGGTTAATAAAAATTCACTTGCCCATTCCCAAAATTCACTAGTCATGGGCGTCCGGCAATGGGATTTGTCAGCCCCTGCTCTGTCAACGTCTAAAAAGTAGTACAGAAATCGGAGACAGGTGGCTTTTATCACAGGATGATTAACAAGAGGCCCAGGGGCCTTAACGGTCCCCTGAGTATAAAACAACAATCCACAGAGGATCCATAGAGTATAAAATAAACTGATAGAAGAAGCTTTTGTAAATCTTTCATTGTCCATTGCAGCCCTATCCCCAGAGTCATGATTTGAACAAACTTGAATCTATACTCCCTGAGGATATTTCCAAGTAAATATAACTAATCATGGCTTTGCTGTTCTTGAGAAAAGAATTTTTTCAAGATTTTTCCTATGTATTCCAAACAAAACTTTTATTGTCCATTGTGGCCCCACCCTACCCCTGGGGATCATGATTTTAACAAACTTGAATCTACACTACCAGAGGATGTTTCCACATAAGTTTCATCTTTCTTGGCCCAGTGGTTCTGGAGAAGAAGATTTTTTCAATGTATTCCCATGTAAAACTTTGATTGTCCATTGTGGGCCCACCCTACCCCTGGGGGTCATGATTTGAGCAAATTTGAATCTACACTACCAGAGGATGTTTCCACATAAGTTTCATCTTTCTTGGCCCAGTGGTTCTGGAGAAGAAGATTTTTAAAGATTTTTTCTACGTATTTCTATGTAAAACTTTGATCGTCCATTGTGGCCCCACCTACCCCTGGGGTTTATGATTTTAACAAGCTTGAGTCCACACTACCAGAGGATGTCTCTAGGGGTGAAACGATACACCTCCTTCACAGTTCAATACGTATTGTATAATTTTGTCTCGATACGGTTATTTTCAATATGATACATTTTGATAGAAGGAAACAAATTCAACCTTGTTTTATGCTTTCTTTTACTTAATCTAGTCACTTAATTTACAAATTTTTATTTGCAAATTGACTAGAAGAAATTGATTAGAATTCTTTGACTGTCAAAAATTATTTTACAAACTATCCGTCATCAAAAATTTACGTTTTCTATACTTATTTATACTGAGTAACATGTTTTACCTTATGCCAAACCCGACTGAATAACGATCCCGACCGTAAAATGAACCGAACCGAAAATTAGAGATTTTGCACCGTGTATCAAACCGAGAAAAAATACCGCAGTGATTTGATACCACGGTGAACTGTTTCACTCCTAGATGTCTCCATATAAGTTTCATCTTACCTGGTCCAGTGGTTCTTGTGAAGAAAATTCTTAAAAGATTTTTAAAAGATACCATTAATTTTTCACTAATTCTTAATCATCTCCTTTTGAAAGAAGGTGTGGCCCTTCATTTGAACAAATTTGAATCACCTTTACACAAGGATACTTTGTGGCATGTTTGGTGGAAATTGGCCCAGTGGTTCTTGAGAAGAAGTCAAAAATGTGACAAGTTTAAACATGATGCTCACCCGCATGACGCAGCCCGCACGATGATGGACGAAAACAGATAGCAAAAGGTCACCTGAGTGACTCAGGTGACCTAAAAAGCGTATTACTTTTTGTTTATGTTTCAATGCTACAAGTTGTTTGTCTTTAACAACTAAACCATGTTGATATTTTCCACGTTCTCTGAGTCATATCTGTCTACATTAGTGATGCAAAATAATCCCTTGTAGTTGTAAGATACGGTGATATAGATACATCTTTTTCTAATTTTCATAAATAAACTTAACTTTAAAATTTTAAGCTAAAATATATAACTTTTAGATTTTTAACTTATGATGCAATAGGTCAAAGTAAGTTTTGCCAAGAATCTTGACATTTAGACATTGACAGAGGTATTGTAGCGTAGCATAATACACCCTCTGGTGAGAGATTGCATTTGGTGGTGTGTACATAACCTGTATAATGGAGCATTCACATGCTCTGTCATTTCTGGCCTCATGTTATTGAAAGCTACTTTTTTCTTTTACAAAACCCTACCTTATGTTCATATGAAAACTTTCCTGGAAAGAGACATATAGATAGCCTTTCATTCCAACAAGCTTGAATCGCCATCATCAAATTGGCTTTCACATGAAAGTGGCTCTGTGGTACTTGAGATGAAGTAAAAATGACATAAGAAGGGCTGATTATAAAATAGTTGTACTGATCACTTACCAAGTATTTCTGTGACAACTTTGTAATGATTTTTAGCGTCTTGGAATATTCTGAATCACTGGATGAGGATTCATCTGAAAAAACAAAAAAGGACCACGGCTATACATATCTAACAAATGACATAAATTTGAAAATAATATTGAATACACTTTTAATGGGCTTTTCAACAACCAGAATGCCCCCGACTTATGACATGTTTCGATATAACTAGGGAAACGCGATATTGAAATGCAGAAAACAATAAATCTTCTTTGTCATATCTTTAGCATTTAAATCTTTAAAGAATTGAGTTTTTTTAATAACCTGTTTTCGCCGTTTTCAGCGCACTTTGTCGTGTCTTACGTCGAGTCGTCATACTTTTTTAATATCGTGCACGAAAATCTCGATTGTTTTGAAACAACTTGAACTTCCGCGCTTTAGGGTTTTAGCGATTACGCATGCGTACTCATACTCTTGTTGAAGGTCATTCGTTAACTCATTCGTATAATTTTGTTTTGTTTTTTGTTGTTTTTTTTTTGGGGGGGGGGGGTACAATATAGAAAAAAAAAGAGAGTTTAAGTTCAATCTCATTTTTTTAAAATTTGTTCTAACTTGGAAAAAATATAGAATTAATCTTTTGCTTTTAATTAAATCCCTGGTATCTTTTAACTTTGTGGGGATACCAGGACTCAAACCTCTATTTTTCTAACACACATCAAAATATGCAAATTTAAAAGAAAAAAAAACTTAACTTCTAAATGCCATTTTGCATGGGGGGGGGGGGGGCTGAATTTTGGGCTTTAAGAAGAGAAGGGTATGTGTGAATTGCATAATAGTAAATTTCCAATCATGATTTAATAATTTTTAAATTATTCTTGTAACATGTTATTTGGTTTGATAGAAAAATTCATTTACATCTGTAACCTTTGTTGCCGCTGTTTGACTTATGTCAATAATAATACATTTTAAATTTGTACAATTTGAAGGCATTTTTGAAGAAAAGACTTTTTTCTTTTTACACTTAATGATATTAAATTAATTTATAAGGAATAGATTTAATAGCTACCTAAGTTATAAGGAATAAATTTACTAGCTGTACCCAAATTAGACTTCTAGAATTTATTCAATCTGATTAAAATCAGATCTTTGTTATGCTCCGAAATTCTGATAGTCGCTGTACAAAGCGACTATCAGAACTTCGGAGTGTAACAAAGATCTGATTTTAATCAGATTGAGAATTTATTAGACTTCCAAGGAAGTTTGTGCTTTTTTGTAAACTGACCAAAACCCAGTACAATACAGTATAATTTGGATGGCTACTAAAATCATACCTTACAAAAATTTAAATTGATCAAAATTTGTGCAAAACAAAAAAACTTTTACGCTCTATTTCTAATTGAAAACTTTAAAGCACGTGGTTGAGCAAGTTGATGATCATACCCTTTGGGCATCATGATACAATACTGCTAGATGTTGCTTGACGATTGCACATAAACTTTCCAAAGCCAAGAATGACAGTCTTTTCATTCCTTTTATATGTATTTTCCAAATTCAACAAAAATATGGATATTTCATTCAATACAAACAAATTGAAATAATTGAATCATTTTTGGATGTTGATTTAGCATTTGTTAATACTGAATTTCTTTACATTAAGCGATTAAACAAAACATACAAGTATACAATATACATGTATGTATATGTAAAAATTAAAAATAGCATAGGTTTTTAATTCATGACAGAAACCAATTTCAATCTCCTTGATGACAAAGATATTCCTGTACATAGCTCACTCCTTGTTTATGGTCTTGTTTTTTGTTTTTGTTTTTTTTTTTTTGTACAATAAGGTATCATTTGAACTTATCATTTGGGGGGAAAAATTATGCAAAATTCTAATGAAATGGTTTGCTGATGAATATAGTAACCCACTGTGTAAAAAGACTGATGACAAGACAAAACAAAACATTATGTTTAAATTCTTTATTACAAACAAGTTTAAAAAATTTAATTGAATAGATAAGTTTCTTTCTATATACACATAGTTGTTTAATGTACCATAAACAGTTCAACTGTGAACAATTTTAAATCGGAATCCACCACTCTTTTGAAAGTATATCATGTAAGAGGTGTCCCTTAAACCATATGGTACAAATGTATGTCTTTGTCAAAACCTAAAAGATCCTGCAGCTATAACCACTGCATTTAGATACTTTAAATATTGGTGAAATTCTCATCAAAAGAATTACAATTAAAATATATATTTACTCACAAAAAGCTCACAATTACATACCCCATCTTTAAAATCATTATGAATTTAAATAAACACAACAATATCACTGTGTTCAATATCATTATGTTTAAGATTTCTAAAACTTCTCTGTCCTTCATTTGAAGATTTGACACAACACTGTTCACACTGTTCTATTCTCTCAGACTGAGGTCTGTCTGTAGTTCTTGGTCTCTATTATCTTCTTCCCACACATGGCACATATACCTGAAATATCAATCACAATGGAATCACAGAATCTCTACTGTATGAACATGTAGATTTCAGCAATTAATATATAACTTTTTTGAGGAGTAGAAAGTCATGTCAAACTGAACGAAGAACAAGAGGCTCATGGGCTTTTCCAACTTCATTCAAAGGAGTGTGGCTCCACCCTAGCCATGACATAACATACTTGAATTGAATCAATACATCCTTGGGATTTGAACCTCCACCCCACCCCCCCCTCCCCCATCCCCCACCCCAAAAAATCTACACAACTTTGGCATGATTTCAAATGAATCCGATTAAGTGTGACCCTGCTATTTTTTCAAAATAAGTTTTTAAAATATTTTTTTTCAAAGATGTGCATCCATATATGGACATCCAGAGCATCCAAAGCATGTTTGGTAATTTGCATCCATTCATGCAAGTTGGTTCCCTTAGAGCTTATAGTTATTTGGAAATGTATCTCCTACAAAAACTTTAAATCAGGTATGCATCTGGAAAATGTAGGTCAAATACAACATCAGTCATGTCTGGTAGTGTGCATCCCTAGATGCAACATGCATGCAAGTTTTGTCCCCATAGGACTTATAGTTACTTGGGAATGATCCTGCTCCAAAAACTTTTACCTGGTCTCTCATCTGGAAAATGTATTTAAATACAGCATCTGAAGCAAGTCTGGCAGTGTGCATTCCTAGATGTATTATCCATGCAAGTTTGGTCCAGGCATGGCTTAAAGTTACTTGGAAATGGACTTGTTCCAAAATCTTAAATCTGGTCACTCAATTAGAAAATATAGGTCAGATCCAGCATCCAAAGCTTGTCTGGTAGAGTGCATCCATAGATGCATCATCCATGCAAGTTTAATCCAGGAAGGGGTTATTGATATTTGGGAATGGACTTGCTCCTGACTCCATTAACGCTGACACCAATGCCAACCCTGGGTATATAGCTCAAGATCATTTTGACTTCATAGAGGTGAGCTAAAAACTGATGCACAGAATTATGTATCTTAGATTAGTCAACTTGTGTACCGAGTTAATTGAAAGCAAAGCAAGAACTGTCATCAGGGTAGCATTTTGTAATTTTAAGTAACCATGGCAATAGCACTTATAAAATTTAAAAATGCTAATGACAACAAGAGGCCCATGGGCCACAACACTCACCTGAGTAACTTTTGCCTTGCTGTTTTTCACCTGATTTCCCCCCCCCCCCCCCTTCTAGTACTTATTGTGGCCCCGCCCTACCCCGGGGGTCATGATTTGAACAATTTAGAATCCGCATTACCCAAGAATGCTTCCACATAAGTTACAGCTTTTCTGGCCAAGTGGTTCTTGAGAAGAAGATTTTTAAAGATTTTTACTACATATTTCAATGTAAAACTTGGATTCCCTTTTGTGGCCCCACCCTACCCCGGGGGTCGTGATTTAAACAATTTAGAATCTACACTACCCCAGAATGCTTCCACATAAGTTTCAGCTTTTCTGGCCCAGTGGTTCTTGAGAAGAAGATTTTTAAAGATTTTTACTACATATTTCAATGTAAAACTTGGATTCCCTATTGTGGCCCCGTCCTACTCCCGGGGTCATGATTTGAACAATTTAGAATCTGCACTACCCAAGAATGCTTCCACATAAGTTTCAGCTTTTCTGGCCCAGTGGTTCTTGAGAAGGAGATTTTTAAAGATTTTTACTATATATTTCAATGTAAAACTTGGATTCCCTTTTGTGGCCCCACCCTAACCTCGGGGGTCATGATTTGAACAATTTAGAATCTATACTACCCCAGAATGCTTCCACATAAGTTTCAGCTTTTCTGGCCCAGTGGTTCTTGAGAAGAAGATTTTTAAAGATTTTTACTACATATTTCAATGTAAAACTTGGATTCCCTATTGTGGCCCTGCCCTACTCCTGGGGTCATGATTTGAACAATTTAGAATCTGCACTACCCAAGAATGCTTCCACATAAGTTTCAGCTTTTCTGGCCCAGTGGTTCTTGAGAAGGAGATTTTTAAAGATTTTTACTATATATTTCAATGTAAAACTTGGATTCCCTTTTGTGGCCCCACCCTAACCTCGGGGGTCATGATTTGAACAATTTAGAATCTATACTACCCCAGAATGCTTCCACATAAGTTTCAGCTTTTCTGGCCCAGTGGTTCTTGAGAAGAAGATTTTTAAAGATTTTTACTACATATTTCAATGTAAAACTTGGATTCCCTATTGTGGCCCTGCCCTACTCCCGGGGTCATGATTTGAACAATTTAGAATCTGCACTACCCAAGAATGCTTCCACATAAGTTTCAGCTTTTCTGGCCCAGTGGTTCTTGAGAAGGAGATTTTTAAAGATTTTTACTATATATTTCAATGTAAAACTTGGATTCCCTTTTGTGGCCCCACCCTAACCTCGGGGGTCATGATTTGAACAATTCAGAATCTATACTACCCCAGAATGCTTTAACATAAGTTTCAGCTTTTCTGGCCAAGTGGTTCTTGAGAAGGAGATTTTTAAAGATTTTACTACATATTTCAATGTAAAACTTGGATTCCCTATTGTTGCCCCACCCTACCCCCGGGGGACATGATTTGAATAATTTATAATCTACACTAGCCCAGGATGCTTCCACATAAGTTTCAGCTTTTCTGGCCCAGTGGTTCTTGAGAAGAAGATTTTTTAATAACCCCACCCAATTTTTGTATTTTCTTGATTATCTCCCCTTTGAAGGGGACTTGGCCCTTCATTTTAAACTCCCCTTTACCCAAGGTTGCTTTGTACCAAGTTTGGTTAAAATTGGCCCAGTGGTTCTTGAGAAGAAGTTGAAAATGTGAAAAGTTTACAGACGGACGGACAGATGGACAGACAGATGGACAGACGACGGACAACGGGTGATCAGAAAAGCTCACTTAAGCTTTCAGCTCAGGTGAGCTAAAAAGCACATTGCAAAGAATAGTTTACTTTTAATAAAGTAGGCTAATTGTGTACTGAATTTTATTGAAATCAACCAAAACTGCAGGAATAACTTTTGAAAAAATGTTTACAAACAGACAGGTGGACAACGAACACCTTAACATTGCATAAACTCTTCTGGCCTTTGAAAAGTATAGCTAAAAATCAGGTTAAAATAAGGTCTAAAGAAAAGAAAAGTTATTATGTACATAGAAACCTTCAGAGTCTGGTAAAATGGTCCTTGACAATCTACTTCTAGTAATTGCTTCTAACACTATTTAAAACCAATTTGTTTTAATTGGCAATATTAATTTGCATAATAAGATTCTTCTACCTTTTGAAAGTTTATGTAAAGATAAACAATACATACCTTTCTTGTAAGCACATCCTGCAAAAGAAATGAACAGATACTGACCAATATTTTCTACACATTATCAATGCATGCAGACTTATCTGTGATCAATTTGTAAAACAGAGGTGATAATTACACTGTGCATCTACACTGAGGTTCAAAATTCAACCTTTGTATCTTACAAAAGAACACACAATATACATTGAGATGTATACAAAAGAACACACATAGACCAAAAATGAAAGCCATAATTGCATAATATTTGATCAAATTAATGCATGTTCACATATGGGTTCAACATGTCTAAGAATATTTAAAGTTACATAGTGAGTCAATATTATGTGTTTCTTTTAAGATAATTGTATCATAAAACTAAAGATTTATGAAAAATATGAATAGGGCGAAGTTATGATAACTCATCTGCATGGTAAAAGCAAAAAAAGACTGCAAAATGTAAGTGCCGGAGAAAGAAAAGTTCTATCTTTGGTTGTTATTGTCAATGTCAAGTCTTTTATTTTTAGCATGAAACTTGTAAACAACAATGAATTGGAGCAATCAAAAGTGAGGAATAAGTTCTGATCATCTTTTTTGAAGATTATATCAAAATCCTAGGTCATCTGACATTTATATCTATGGAATTGACACCATGGTAACTTCAACTTTTCTGCGCATGCGTACCTTAAAGAGGAAGAAGTGAAGCAATATTTTCGTGTTGTGGCAAACTAAAATTATTTTTACTTGTACTTTTCTCCACAAAAGTAGATTTTTTAAGTTCTGAAACCTGTAATTTTCTGAAACCTAATACTTTCAAGAATTAAATAAAATTTGCATGTGTCTTTCAAAAATTCTACTTTTGTCAATTTTCCTGTTTTTCCATCATGGCATCTCTTTAATGGACACTTTCAATTTCTACAAAACAATCTACACATTGAAATGATTTAACACTTGCCTTGGCAGTAATGTGATCCAGCTTGATGGACAGATGACTTACAGATCCTGCATTTTGCAAATGTCTGGTATGGAGTAAACCTGTTAAACAATGAAAATATATACATTGTATGTATATCAGGGATGGGGTAATGGTAATGTGTAATGGTAATTGACAGTAATTAATTACAAATTTGGATGTAATTGAAAGTAATGTGTAATTGGCCCAATTTTCAATTACATGTAATTGTAATTTAATTAATTACTTTTGAGAAAAGCATGTAATTCACAATTACTTTTCAATTACATTCAATTACACTGGTGTTAAATAAATGAGAAATAGCCCCCTCCCCTTTTTTCAAATCCCAAACACTTTATTCAAGAGAGGTTAACTGATTTTTAGTACAAAATGTTCTATAATATATTAAAAAAATATATATATTTTCTTTATTTAGTGAATAGCTGTTTCCTCTTTAAAATGCATTTTCTTCAAAACTTTTTAATATTATTTATCTCCTTGTTTATAAATATATTATTAAATAAAATTAATAATTTCAATTATGTTGTTTATGAATTGACACTTAAAATATCTAGTCCAATGGCTTCTAATCCTTTGTTTGCCATACCTACAGCTTGTGTAAGAAGTGATTAACAGGTGCTAATTAGTGCCCTAGGGTTATGTACATACTGAGGAGATTTTACACACATTTTGACTTTACCTATTGGTAGTTTTATACACATACATTGACTATGTCTTCCCACAAATCTTTTTTAAAATATATCATTTGGTGTTATAACATCATTTTTTCTATTTTAATAAAAATTTGTGGGAAGACAGTAGTTTAACACATAATGTCAAATACTATAGTATTTTGAGATGTATAGCTTAGGATGATGAAAAAGGCAGGAAACAAGGCAAAACGCATCCATTGTTTTGCATAAATATATCAGAAAGCTAAAAAACGGACACATGAATTAATGGAAAACAGCATCCAGGTTCTGTAAAAGGACCGTGTCCCAGTTGAAAATTGGCTCTTTTTTCCCCAAAATCCTGGCAGGTAACAATTCCCAACTTATGACCAAATTCAATTTTTTGATATTGTTTATATATAGAAATAATATGTTTTGAAATTTTGATCATTGTTAAAGATATATATCATGTGTATATGGGGAACAAGTCCACTATCTAACTCTTTAATCAACAAATAAATATAAGTCAACAACATTTCCCAATTTTGCCACTTTTTCGATTAAAAATACACAATTAGAAGGGTACAGGACCCTGTACCAAAAAGGGTCAATTAAGCCCTGAAATTTGCTATTAGTCAGTATTCATTTATTCCTGTCACAAATGCCCCAGTGTAAAATATCTTCATTGTGGCAGAAAAATCTTTAAACCTGATAGATGTAGGTTAGGGGACACAATATTTTAAAATTTTATTAACATGCATCTACACATTTATTAATGTTTACTTAATGTAAAAAATAGTAATTGAATCTATATGAATATAAATGAATGTGCATGACTATTTATCATTGTTTATTTTTATAAATTTTTTCTTAATGTAATTTGTAATTTAATTAATTACATTTGCAAAGTAATTGTAATTTAATCAATTACATTTCAAAATCCTTGTAATGGTAATGGTAATTTAATTGAAGGTTTTGGGCAAGTAATTGTAATTTAATTAATTACTTTCCTTTGTAATTGACCCCATCCCTGATGTATATATATGTAAGACTCCAAAGTGCGATGGGACTCCAAAGTCTGATGGTCACGCCAAAGTCCGATGGTCTGCGCCAAATCCTGATGGTTTAACATGCCAAAGTCCAATGGTGCAAAAAAAAATAAACGTTTGTGTCGTCATAGTACTACTGCACCAAATAGCAATGCCGCACCATGCCAATATAATATGCAAAGACTAACCCTAACCTCTCAGATAGGTGCGAGACTAATCCTAATCGGTCGAAAAGTGTATAAGTACTATAACCTAGATATAGTTATATATGGGTGGATCAGTCGAATAGTGTGTGATGCCTACCCTAAATCTCTCGGGTTGGTGCGAAGCTATCCCATAATCAGTTCAATAATGTGCAAGGACTAACCCTGATCAGTTGAGTGGTGTGCAAGGACTAACCCTAATATCTCTGGTGGGTGCAAACAATAAGCAAAATCAGTAAAATTGTGTGAGAGGATGAATACTGAATTGATGGCTTTGGAATGCAGGACAACGACATCAGGGATTGACGTTGGACTATTGTGACGTCATAGACGTTGATTGTTTCTCCTCACCATTGGATTTTGGCGTATCAGACCATCGCACATTAGCGCAGTGCGTCTCATAGGAAACGAGCCATCATACTTCGGCATGACCATCGTACCTTGGCGTCCGTATCGACATCAAACCATCAGGGTTTGGCGCTGACCATCAGACTTTGGCGTGACCATCGGATTTTGGAGTCTTACATACATACATATATATATATATATATATATATATATATATATATATATATATATATATATATATATATATATATAATATTAAATACTGATAATTCCTGTTCTATTATGGAACTCAGTAAAGGGCATTACCTGTTTTTCTTTGATGTCAGGGCTTTGTTTTCATTAACCACTCTACCTCCACTTTCTATAGTTAGAAAAAGAACAGATAAAGCATTTACATTGTACAGGAATGAAATGATCAAGTCTTGCATTACTTTAATTGATTGTAACTCTAATATTTATGATTTAAATCAGCTTTTAAACACAATGTTAAACATGTACTTTTGACTTTTTCTATATCTAGTCCACATCCACTGAGAGTATGACAAAGACTAAGTTATGATCTCCCAATAACCATGCATAGAATTACAGTAAGTACTGTTTTGTTGTTCATGCACTTTGGAATTAAACCAATATTTATTGAATTTTGAGTACAGTACTAACAGTAGTTTAGTATAATTTTGATTGGTCACAGATGGACATTACCTGTTGTGTTTCTGGCACCTGATTTCCATGGATCAGGAGTGATAACTTTCCCCAGCTTCTTCTGACCTGTAATTATATCAATATACAGTGTATATATATATACTATATATAATATTTTCAACAAGAGCAAGATACCTTTATGTATTTCATTTCAATTTTGATAGGAAAAAGATTTAAGAAACCCGTGAAACATGCCTGAAGCATCAGATACATTTAAAACAAACAAGAAAAGATGTTACGCAAGTTCATTCTAAATTGTCACCATAATCAAAACTAAGTCTGAACTATCGCTTTATTTACAATGTTTGTTTAATATATACTTTCAAAGTATACCGGTATATTAAACAAACATTGTAAATAAAGCGTCTTTGATATTTAACTGCAAAGGAAAGAAGAGGTAAGATACAAATTATTATCAGTACACAGTACTCTTTGATATTTAACTGCAAAGGAAAGAAGAGGTAAGATACAAATTATTATCAGTACACAGTGCTCAAGGATCATTCAAGGATCATTTAATTAAAATCATCAACGAATAAAGAAACACAAGACAGGTTGGGTAATGACAAGGTATTTACACAGCAATTAACATCTTGAAAACTGACCAATTACCCCTACGAAGTCAATCCGGAGAAGCTTAATTATCTCCTAATCAGTTTAAATAGATAGGTGAAAATTTGAAGATTTCAGAAAAACGATTCAAATACTTTTATTTGTATTTTCTTAATCGAATTTTCTGGAAATTGTGTTAAAATTTACACAAATATTTATTTCTTCCAACTAACCGATTACAGATTTTGTAACCGATTACCATTGTTCTGACTGATTACAATTTGCCATCCCTAAAATTTACACATCAAATTATTGTGTTCAGTGTAAAAGTCAGTGTGTTTAACACAATCATGATGATGACTATTCTAATATTTTTCGGTAAATCTGGAGTCCTTTTAACAGGTCAGGGCAGCCTCCATTTTTTGGAGGATAGCTAATTTCAATATGGTGGCCAAATTTTTTACCATGTAAGGAAAATCGCTTTGCAGTTTGCATCGTGGGATAGCTTAATCCTCCAATTTCAGAGGATAACACAGGTAATTTTCAAATGCCCCATGCCTACCTTTAGTGGAAAAGTGCATGCACCAAAATACATGGAAATAAAAGTTCAAACATTAAACTATCGATGTGGCGATTTGAGATTCTATGTCAAGATGTTTTGCTATTTATTTTCGAAGTTGGCACATTTGGAGCTCCATTTTTACCAAATATTTCTTGTTACTTAGTTTTATTTTTGTTTTTCCCTATTAAGACAAATAAAAAGGGACTTTAGTATTACTTTTATATTTTCTTTTATTAATTTAAAAAAGGAAACACAGAAGGAAACATATTTAAATGCAAAATATACTCTGCCTTATAAAATAAGCAACTAAAACAAATAAAGGAATGAATGAATAACTATAAATAAATTAATAAATAAAGGGGAAAAAATAAATTGAATAGCATAAATAAAATAGATAATTTAACAAGTTTACTAAGAAATTAACATATATAAATATATATGTGTATATTACAGTATAAACAGGATATAAATAAAGAAAATATCCAGCAATCGTCTGCTTCAAATACTTTTTGCTATGGTTCATTTCTATAGGAAATCATAGTAGATAAGTATTTGAAGCAGACTATTGCTGGAACTCTTCAGTGTCAGAGGTTTAAACGAACATGTCAGTGGTATGAAAATATCAAGAACTTAATTTTGGTTGGATATAAACCTTTAAAAGGTAAGAAACAAAAGTTTTATAGTGATAGGGAGTTAAAAGGATGTCCAAAGTGAAAAGTTGAACCAGGCAGGGAATTCATTTCAGCCCGTATTGATCGAAACAAGCCGTCAAAGTCCAGGCAAGATTTCCCGAGTCACTTTGTGTGTCATTGGTATGAGATTCGGAAGAGAAGTCTTTCCAAAATTTTAAGTTTCGGCGAATCTCACTGAGATTAACCCTACAGTTAAGAGGGAAAGAATCCGCTGATGCTAAAACAAGTCCCACGGAGAGAATAAATCCCACATAAGTCTCACGTGAGTTCCACAGCAAAGGAACTTAAAAATATTTAAAATAAATATTTATCAGACAATGGGATGTGCTCCAATGTATGAATTCACTGTGTATAAAACTTAAAAGCAATCTATGGATTGCCATTTGACTTGAATTGATTACAAGTTGGAAAACACGGTCTCGACCAGGTGAATGTGACGTTTACATTGTGTACTTCCATAAAACTCCAACCAAAGTAAAATTAAAGCATGTAAATTAACAAATTTTAAATAAACGTCAAACTTACATTTTTCACAAACCATTTTCAAAACAACAGGAAAAGACCAATAGGAAAGTAAAATAGAAAACCGGAACAGGAAAATTTAGCATATTCCGGGAATTTCTTCGAACATGTGTGACCAAAAAGAACGTATTTTGTTGGTACAGACAGGAGGTAATTTTATTAAATGCTGTAATAAACCTGTGAAAAAAAATTAAAGTTGCATTGTCATATAATATTGGACATTTTTGACATTTTATCTTATATATCACCATCTAATTGCTTACGTGAATGTAAGTCAATGCTCCCCCTAACAAAACCGCCCCCTGAAAAACGATGCACCTTTTTTGTTTTGCTTGTCAAGAATTTCTGTTAGATTTTGCACCCCTTAAAAAAATGTGGAGGGGGGTCTTCTCCGTCTCTCTTCGGACAGCCCCATTCCCGGTACCACAGTTATCTATACGTCCTGGCGCAAAATTATTGCATCCCGTGGGGCGGATCCTGGATTTTTTTCAAGGGGGGGGGGGGGGGGAGGTGTCCACATGTAAGACTCGGACATTTTTTATTTTTTTGACAAAGAAAAAGACGTAAACAAACTTGAAAACCCCATTTTTGTAAAAAAAAAAGTTTAAAAATTGCATTTGTATAAATACATGTAAATATATGGTCTACTACAAATACAAAGTAGCATTAAAAAAAAAAACAAGATGTGTTTGTGAAACACTGATGCCTCCGTATGACAGCTCATGGCGAAGACTAAAGTTTCTCAAATGCAAGTCAAACTACAAGTCAATGTCAAGAGATCAAAAATGTTGGTAACAAAAGAAAGGTCTTGTCACAAGAAATACACCTGTGAAATACGAAAGCCCTAACAAGACCTGTTGAAATGTTATGACCAAGTTTTTCTAATTAAAGTAGGTCAACCTCCAAGGTCAGGGTCAAAGGTAAAAATAAATGGAGCCCAAGAGAAGGTCTTATCACAAAGAATACACATGTGAAAAATGTTTGTCCTAGCACCAACGATTCAAAAGTTATAGCCAAGGTTATAGTTTTCTAAAGTAGGTCAAACTCAAAAGTCAAAATAAATGGTACACAAGGGAAGGTCTTATCACAAGGAATACCCATATGAAATATGAAAATCCCAGCAACAACCATTCAAAAGTTATATCCAAGGTGAACGTTTTTTCAAAAGTTGGTCAAACTCCAAGATCAAGGACAAAAGGTCAAAACTATTGGTACCCAAGGTAAGGTTTTTGTCACAAGAAATACACATGTGAAATATGAAACCCCTAGCACCAACTGTTCAAAACTTATGGCCAAGGTCAAGGTTTAAGTTTTTCAATAGTAGGTCAAACTCCAAGATCAAGTTCATATGGTGAAAATTGTTGGTCTTGTCACAAAGAATACATATGTGAAATGTGAAAGCCCTAGCCCTAACCACTAAAAACATATGATTGGTAAAATTTTGCAAAAGTGGGTCAAACTCGAAGGTCAAGAGGTCAAATATGTTGGTACCCAAAGAAAGGTCTAGTCACAATGAATGAAATGTGAAATATGAAAGCCACAGCTCCAATCAATCAACAATTATGGCCATGGTTAAAGATTTTGTGGACAAACAGACAGACAGAGCAAAAACTATATGCCCCGAATTTTCGAATACGGGGCCATAAAAATAAATTCTTTATTAAAATATACGAAATATAAATTTTCATTGTAAAAAATTGAGTTTTTTTTTTTTGGGGGGGGGGGGGGGGGTCTTGAAAAGTTTAGCATTTTGTACATGAGTAAAGGACACATCCACCCATAGCATCAAATGTACATCTATAACGTACAGGTTATTCAATAACAGTAGCTTATTCATTAGAGAATGCCTTGCCTTTGCATAATTTTTACAAAAGAAAAACAGAACATTAATTTCGGACTCAGTATTAAGTTATAACTGTCGCTGGTTTATAGCATAAAAATCTTGTCCAAAAACTTAATACTATCCTGAAAATTTACCATATTATGTATTCATTAGAATTTGCAGCATATTGTCTGTAATTTTTTTTATCAAGTTTGCCAACGTAGTTTCAATGCAATAATACTGTAAACGTGTTGTAGATCTACGTGTACATATGATTTGGTACTATTTTGACGTTTTCTTATTGGAATATATAGAAAATAGTTTTTACTAGAAATTTGGGAAGTTTCTTTGGAAAAAAATCACATAACTTTTTCTAAAGACGATTTACTCAGGAATTTCAAACCGTTAAGAAGAGGTAAATTTAAAACTATTTAGTATAGTCTTCCCAGAGACATAAGTAACATTATATGTTATTTATGTCTCTGGTCTTCTTGTCTTGTTTTGTTTGTTTGTTTTTTTTTATGCCCCCGTAATCGTAACTTTGCCCATAACTTTTGATTGGTTGGAGCTATGACTTTCATATTTCACAAGCGTATTCCTTGTAACAAGATCTTTCTTTTGGTACCATCATGTTTGACCTTTTGACCTTGACCTTGGAGTTTGACCCAGTTTTGCAAAATTTTACCCAACATTAACCTTGGCCATAACTTTTGAACAGATGGTGCTAGGATTTTCATACTTCACATATGTAATCCTTGTGACAAGGCCTTCCTTTGTATACCAACAACTTTGACCCTTTGACCTTGACCTTGGAGTTTGACCTTCTTTTGGAAAACTTTAACCTTGGCCATAACTTTTGAACAATTGGTGCTGGGGCTTTCATACTTCACATATGTAATCCTTGTGACAAGACCTTCCTTTGTATACCAACTTTGACCCTTTGATCTTGACCTTGGAGTTTGACCTTCTTTTGGAAAACTTTAACCTTGGCCATAACCTTTGAACAGCTGGTGCTAAGGCTTTCATACTTCACATATGTAATCCTTGTGACAATACCTTCCTTTGTATACCAATATCCTTGACCCTTTGATCTTGACCTTGGAGTTTGACCTTCTTTTGGAAAACTTTAACCTTGGCCATAACTTTTGAACAGTTGTTGCTAGGGCTTTCATACTTCACATACAAGTATGTAATCCTTGTGACAAGACCTTCCTTTGTATACCAACAACTTTGACCTTGACCTTGGAGTTTGACCTTCTTTTGGAAAACTTTAACCTTGGCCATGACTTTTGAACAGATGGTGCTAGGGCTTTCATACTTCACATATGTAATCCTTGTGACAAGACCTTCCTTTGTATACCAACAACTTTGACCACTTTGATCTTGACCTTGGAGTTTGATGTTCTTGTGGAAAACTTTAACCTTGTCCATAACGTTTGAACAGATGGTGCTAGGGCTTTCATACTTCACATATGTAATCCTTGTGACAAGACCTTCCTTTGTATACCAACAACTTTGACCCTTTGACCTTGGAGTTTGACCTTCTTTTGGAAAACTTTAACCTTGGCCATGACTTTTGAACAGTTGGTGCTAGGGCTTTCATGCTTCACATATGTAATCCTTGTGACAAGACCTTACTTTGAATACCAACAACTTTGACCTTTTGACTTCGACCTTGGAGTTTGATGTTCTTGTGGAAAACTTTAACCTTGTCCATAACTTTTAAACAATTGGCGCTAGGGCTTTCATACTTCATATGTGTATTTCTTGTGAGGAGGCCTTTCCTTGAGCACCATTAATTTCGACCATTTGACCATGACCTTTTGTTTGACTCACTTTTGAAAAACTTTAACCTTTTCCATATCTTTTCAATGGTTGCTGCTAGATATAGGGCTTTCATATTTCACAGGTATATTCTTCGAGACAAGATCTTACTTTGGGTACCAACATATTTGATTTGCATTTGAGAAAGTTTAACCTTCGCTATAAGTTGCCATCAGTGTTTTACAAACACATCTTGTTTATTTATTTTTGCTTGTCAGACTTTTTTGTGAACCCCCCCCCCCCCCCCCGCCCACTTTTGAAACCGTTGCTACATGTACGGACCTGTGTTGGCGTCGATGTTAGAATTGGTGATACAGTATGCTTCGAGCATTATATTATTTATAAACAGCAACACAGCAAGTGTAAATACTTTTTATCAAAGATATCGTCAAAACTTGAGTTTATGTTAATTTGGCACTTCGTTGCGAATAGTATTTCTTAGAGACTCTAAGGCAATCAATTTAAGAGAATTTATTGTAATTTACATTTCAAAATTGTGACTTTTTTACACGTAGGAACCATTGATAAAGACTATCCAAAGACCAATTTAGGATATGCTTTTGAGATAACAGAGGCAGCTGTCCGGCGAATCCTCCCTAGAGCCCGAGTGGGCGTCGGCTATGATATCAAAACTATCTGCCAGAAGGACAGCCAAGATATCGAAGATGTAGATAGGTATTTCATTTTTGATAGTCTTCCATCATGATTTATACTCAGAATTATGATGCATAATACATTTATCATTCAGGACATTTCCTTCTACAGGGAGAAACTGGCGATAGCCTGTTTGGAGACGCATTCGAAGAGAATTCTTGTTACCCATGGTACAGATACAATGTTAGAAACAGCAGCATATCTGTCCACTCGAGTAGTAGACAAATTCGTCGTGTTGACAGGAGCATTCTTACCAGAAACATTCAAGTCAACAGATGCCGACTTCAATGTGGGGTTTGCCATGGGAACACTTCAAGCTTTGACAAAACACGGAATTTTTATAGCTATGAATGGACAAATAACCTTATGGTCAGAATGTAGGCGTAACAAGGACACAGACATGTTTGAAAAAGTGTGATAGAGTTTCTTACTATTAAGAACAGACTACACGTTCCCCAATAATACATATATAATTTTTTCCAAGAATTTGTCATTGAAGTACTGCTACTTTAACAAGTTTCTTCACAAAATATTGAGGTACGTTACCAGGCATTTGTGCAAGATACTATAGAATGTTATTTACTATATAATCCTATTGGAAATCACTGGCATTGCCAATATTGCATTTTTTGGTGTCTTTATCTACCAAGACATTTTGAAAACAGTTTAAAAATCACAAGATAATGGTAATTATGATTAAATTGTTGTATATTACGATGAGATACAAAACAGGTAATGGAACAACGTGTCTTCAGACCTTAAATTTACATTTTCTGGTAGAGATGTAATTCCAATGTGCAAGACAAATATTTATATGTAGTTAAATTATCATGAAAACTAGTGGTATTAGAAAATGATTCTTAAAGTGGTAATTTATATTTAAAAAAAAAAAGACATATGCACAATTATGTAGATATGCTTGTGTAATGATTGTCAAAGTTCAAGCAATACCAGTTTACAATCATTTTCAGATACATAATTGCTGATTTTCAGAATCTCGGGGATGGACTACCTTAAATAATCTTATTACTTTCTTGTCTAACAATATTTATCATACAAATTTTGGGGTTGAGAGGACCATTGATTATGTTAGCTCCCTAGGGATGAAATATTGCCCAACAGAACGTGGAACAGAGGGTAATATATTTCTTATTTGTATGCTGCACTTTCTATTTAGTCATATACTAAAACAAAACATACAGTTTACTGATTCATTATTTTAATATAAATATTTATATTTTTTAATACAATATATATTTGAAAATAAAAATAATTGATGTTAGTGTGATCAATGATATACATCTACACTACTGAAGCAAACATTGATGAACATTTGTCATGAGAAGGAAAATTGTGCTCTGAATTTCTATATTAAACTGTTATCATACAGGTATACTCTACAGCTGCTGAACATTTAACACTTTGTCTTATCTAAAAACAAACTTGTATACCATTGGCACAATTAGAACCTTTTCATAATTTGACAATCTCTTTAAACATCTCTTTCAATTCAGTATATTTACAAGATATGATTCCACTTTTTACATCCCAAGGTATATACTAATCAATGAAAATGTGCCTAACTTTATTGCTCTTGGCTATGATATTTACAATTATACAGCATTTCCCGCAAAAGCCAAATTTTCAAATAACAAGAGATAAACAGCGAGTATTTTGATTACATTTGTAGTCAGGAAAATGGGCACAAAAAAGATCAGATCTTTACTTTTCATTGCACTTATTTTATAAGAAAATGTAATTTACGGTCTAATCTAAAATATTTTGACCAGAGAAATTTTACATCACTATCACAACTGTGTAAACCTGACAAAGTGTTTCTGGAAGTCAACAGTTTTGATCACGGCATTAACAGGAAGCACTTTGACAAAATGTGGAGACAAAAATGATATACAGACATCAGCAGGACTATTGCTGCTATATTTTCTCATGTCCAAATAATATAAATGTATTTTTAATCTTAAAATATCTTAAAAGAAGAAAACAATCAATTGCAAAATTTTGCATAAATCTTAACAATGCTTGGTACAAAAAACAATAATTCTACAAAAGGAAGCACTATATTCTGGGTATATAAAGAAAAACAGAAGAAAAAACTGCAATTTGATTTTTAAAAAGTTCCAGACCTGAATGATACAACCAAACTATTTAACATGAAACTCTCCAAAATGTACATTCTTATGTTAATTCTGCAAAACACTGTATTGAATAATAAATCAGTATGGTAATTGCCTACAAACTTTAGAATGCACAAAATAACACCAGTTTCTATATATACAGTACATACACTTACTGAAACTGTTTATGATAATCACTGGTTACAGAGAATCAATAATGAAATGTATAGCTGCAGAGAGTCAACATATATAGCTTGTTATGTAAGCCATATCTATGCCCATACAAAACAACATCTTAAATATATATTTATATATAAAACATACAAAAAAAAGCATAAACAAAGGTATATGTGTGGTCCATTAAAGATCAACAACAAAGTGAATCAAATTTAACCTTTACGTCAACAATCACAGATACAGCATATACGAGATCTCCGTTAACAAAAGGTGTAATGTTCTATACAGCTCAGTAAATATTGTTACAGTTGGTAACAAGTACACTGTATTGGCAACTATGACAAAATCACTTGGATGGATAGTGTTAAGTATAATTTGGATTTTGTTTCCAATTTTACTTCGTCTATTTGGCTTGCATCATAATTAAGAGAATACTTACATAAGAATATAGAGGTATATGATTCACCAACAAGTACTTGTAAATCTCAATTTCCTATAAATATAACAGATTCCTAATAAGTTTTTTTTCCCTTAAGTAAGTGGCAGCTCCATTTTAGCTTCTCAACTCTTTGATCCTGGGATTCAGAACTGAAGGACATGGCTGTTTTGTTTTTTTTTTCCATCAATGGAACTAATGAGCCTCGGCTTTTTTGTCTTTCTTGTGTTTTTTATGTTCCTCGTGATCTCCATCCTTCTTTTTCTTAAACCGACTAAAGAGACCCTTCTTTTTCTTCTCATGGTCTCCCCCATCATGATCTTCCATCATCATCGCAGGTTCTGACATGGGGCGGTCCTTTTTAGGGGAAGCTTTAGTCCTCTTCTAAAAGTCATATATTCAAATGTAATATCTTCAAAGTCTTAATTTTTTTCTTCTTAATTTTTCACATAATATATATATATACATACATGTATTATAAATGTAAGCTAATATATCTGATATGGATCCAATTTTTTTTCAGAGCTCCATAATAAATACAATAGTATTTTGACCTAATATTACAAATATACCAACCTTAATGTCATCAGTGAACTGATCTAAAATAGAAAAGACAAAAAAAATAAGTGACACTTTCTTTTCAAACAAGAAATCACACAAAACACATGTAGCTAGATTGCAAAGCACAATTCAATATACTAAAATTTTGATAGTTGATAACAGACATCTGATGTTATTTGCTCTTTTAACAACAAACTGAGATGGAAAAATTTCCCTGCAAATTATTTACAATAATCATTTGTATTCTTAGCTGTCAAACTTATCCAAAGTAAACTTCAGAAAACAAAACTTCAAGCTCTACTGCTATTAAATTTGTTTCTTCTTGACAACAGCTCTTATTTTGAGTCTCTTGTAAGGCATCTGAGCCAAGTTTTTACATAATTTTCAAACAAGATCTTACCCTCATCTCCATTCATTCCTCTGTGACCCCCATTGTGTGGGGAGGATACGGGTGAAGGATCATGCTCCTCTTCACCTAGAAACAAACATCACACGTATATTACAATTTCAAAAGTATTTTAAAGCTTTTCTTGGGGTATACAAAATTTTAAATATTCATTATCTACACAAACCCGAAGAATGATGACTGCCTGCACTGCTTGTCCGCTGCCGTACTGGAGTGGCGTTATTTTCAGCTTGGAAGCTGCCTGATCGCTGCACACTGTCGTTTTGGGCACCTGTGGCATGAGGAGGGATGGCTGACCCTCTGTCTGGGGACCAGTGTTTACTGGCCATAATCCTGTCCATCTCTTCCTCACGGATTTCCTGAGATTCTCGGTGTGCTGCCATGGGAGACACACTACGTCCCCTCTCACCTTCTGGACTTGATGATCTATGTAGAACAGCTGCATGGTGCTCATCAGGTGCTTGTGCTGTGTAGAACAAAGTCATTAATTAGATTTAATAAATTATGTCTTCTTAACAAAAACTAAAAATAATGAGAAACTGTAAATAGTGTGTGTTGTGTAATTTTAAATTTTGCAACATATTCTTTCAGTTAAAGCATAAAACAGTAGCATATTATTAACTTCCACAACAGGTGGTTCAAATTCAAAAGCACTTTAAGTTTGTAGTTTGGTGATAACAATTAAACACAATCAGGAATAAAGCCACCGTTAAGCTTCATACCAGAGGGGGAGCAGTCGTAAAGCATGGTATCTTACTCAATAGTGCCCTCATTTACCTGCAAGTGTCCAAAGCATACACCTATAGGGCTCTCTACATGCCAATGCAAGCATCAAGATAATATTCTCCGACATTCATGTAATTTAATTTTCATACAACTATTTTGTAGGGATGTGAACTTAACATATATCTGTACTTTTAAATTTCTTGGAACAAATAAAAACTTGGAATGATGTCAACCGAGGCACCAGAATAAGCAATGATTGTGTAAATTGATTGTTCTGTGAGCATATCTATTTTTCATAGGGGTGTTTGGTCTGTGTGCACATTTTTGTAAATAGCCTAGTGAAAACTAACACAGTTGGGAAAACAAGTGTTAGAAAAAGTGCAAATTGCAATATTGGGTATGAAATTCCACCTCTTCAAGTTCATTACATGTAATTACATAATACTACAGAAAGAATAGAAAGACATAATTCAGTATTTTAAGACCAATTTTCCTATTAGTTATATGATATTCTACATTAGTTTTACCTACATTTATGACTAAACTATTTACTTTTCAGTGAATTTGAAACACTGATTATAAAGAATTTAAGATTAAAAAAAGTATTAAAGATTGGGTCACATATTTCTACATCCTTATTCTTTCTAATCAAGCTGCAAGATTCTGAGATGATCTTGTTAATCTAATTAATATAAGCTGAAAAACAAAGAAATTCAATTAAGAAAAAAAAATTGTTAGTAATTTGTTATTAAGCAGCACGCATTCCAAGAATTCCATACCCCAAAATGGGAAAAATGACGGAAAGAAACAACAAAACAAAGAACTTTCCATAGTGATGAAATCAGGTGATAATCTGGAAAGCTTTCTAAAACCTTAAAACTTGTGTAGCCTAAAATAAATACTGTATATTTCTTCAAATAATTTTTTTTCATGATTATTTAACTATCGATTTCCACATCTTTTTTTTTTTTTTTTACCTAACTGATGTGTTCTTTAAGTTAAACTGTATGTTTTCTTCAAAAAAAAATATATATATATATAAATACGGTAAATAAACAAATAAATTAAAAAAAAAATTCCTTCATCTATTTTTTACATACTATAGCCTAATCAGTAATATTAGCAAAATACCTCTAAAATGGAAGAAAATGAGTAAGCTGAAAGGCCTCAAGACATTAGAACTCTACTGTTACTGCACTGACGTACATCTTTGTTTGTCAATCACAAAATGACATTAAAAATTAGCAATTAATTATTTTACTACAAACTAACAATTAAATATATACTAAATAATGAAGTGCTGGCCACACAAGTTTTATTCAGGAAAATGCAAAATAGTGACAAGAAGCATATGGCACAAACTCTAACGTGTAAAAATCACCTCCATCGTCAACCGCGCTATCCTCAGGCGGTTGTTCGGAACTATGAAAAAATTCCAGGTCAGCATGGGATGGAGTTTGAACTGAAAGCAACCATATACATTATGGGACCACATTGGCACTTGATACATTGTAAAGAACAGATGTGATACTGCTATATCTTTAATGAGTTAGAATTTATATCAATATATGAACTAACAGGAAGACTGTGATATTCGCATAGTTTTGTTCATACATAATAATTTGGTGCTCAAGTAACAATTAATACATGCAGAGATTTACAAGATACATAATTACAGATATATGCATCCTCTAGAAAGACTGCCTATATTTTATAATTATAAATGAACACAGTATGCATGGGATTATTTGGAAATAAACATGTAGTAATTGTAATGGTAAAAGATGCATTAGATCAGTCAACTACTTTAATCTGAATAATATTGGAGATATTCTATTCAATATGACACAGTTCTTCAGTTTAGCTATTTAGCATATTAAGCAGAAAATTATTATTATAGTAAATATATTTTAAAGCTGGTTAATTCATATGTTTATTACTTCCTACATGGATATACATATATAATTGTTAAGCTAGTTTGTGAACCACATCATACAACACCTGCCTCATATAATTGTGAAAATAAATTTAAATACAATTTTTTTAAACACATCTATACAATCAAAATTTGTAATATTTATATCACAGAAATAACTATACTGTTGTATGATGACAATGTCAGTTTACCTGCGTAATGTTGGATTTTGCTGATCCATTCCTTCATGTCAGATGCAGATGCTGCCTCCAGTAACGATTCAGCTCCATCTGCACTTTTTAGACGGAGGACATGCTTCTTTTTATGGTAATCTGAGGCTACGTCACAGTAGGCATTATGGATGAACACAGGAGGGGCAGCTGGAATCTTCTCCATGGCAGCTGTATAATCAAACAGAAAATAATCAGAATATATATATATATATATATATATATATATATATATATATATATATATATATATATATATATATATATATATATATATATATATATATATATATATATATAAAGTTTTTCCCTTGAATATGAAAGGGAGAGTTTTGGGAATGCCAGCACTCAGGGAATTTTTTTTTAAAAAGGTACAACATGCCAGCTGTTTCCTTCACTGTACACAGGTATTTACATGTCAATGACCCCAATGACCTGTTGAAAATTTTAATTTATCACATGATTTCTGGACTAGGAAATTGTGAATACAAAAAAAAATCAATAAAATCATGTAGCTGTAGGTTCTATCATTTCCAAGAGACCAACCAACTCTGACCTTTTCCTTTTAAGTAATAAACATCAAATAGTATTTGTCTTTGCCAAATAGTGTTTTCTCTGTTCTGAGGTACCGGTACATGTGAGTTCAAAATTAAGACAAGGTCCACATGTTAGTAATTGCATCATTCCTCAAAATGTTCTGGACTGTAAAAGGATTACCACAAGAACTGCTATTGAGCTTATTCTGATGCTAGCATTCTTCCAAATACATGTAAAACAGAAGCTAATTTGAATTAAATTAAAATACAAGCTTCATAGCAAAACTAAGCCACATGTCTGTGGTCAGATATAAGTACTTATGCTTTTTTGAGGGAAAAACAAAAAAAAATTAAATTTATCATTAAAAAATGTGTATAGACACTACATGACATTATGTCTTTGTTGCAATCTGGCTAAAATAGTTCTTAAATCAACTAAATGCTTACACATTCTTCCTGGGGAAAAAAAGAAGAAAAAACTAACCTTCTTTATCTTTGTAGAAAACTAGAATCTGTCCATATAAAACCATGTAATAATTCTTCCAAGATCGTATTGTAGCCCGTTTTCCTCCGCTCTGCAATTCCACTTTCCTTTCCACTAAGCCCTCAAAATCTGGAGTAGGTAAATTATCTGGAAGTCTGTACTTGTCCTTAAAACTCCTCGTTCTTCTCCTTAAATTGAAACTAGGAGTTCTCTTTTTCTTTTTATCATCATCTTTTAAATGTTCCACACGTTTTTGTTTTGGACTAACAGGGGGAGATAATTTCTCCTTTTTATGTAAATCACTAGTAGTAGGGGTAGCGGGTGCAACTTGAATTTCTGGAGGTGGCATTTCTGGTAAATGTGGAGCATCCTCCTCTGTAGGGGTAACGGTTTCATTGTCTGTAGGTGTAACATTTTCATTTGGATTGACAATGCCTTCTCCTTGTCGAAACTCGTAGGCTTTCTGTAGCACAGGAGGTGGGGAGGTGGCCCCCTCCCCTCTCTGTTTGAAACTGATGGCACGCTTCACTTCTGCTCTGCTTGTCGATCGACCAATCAAATTCTTGACTGTACTAGTGTCTAACCGGTCATCCCTAAGTGGACAAAGTAAATTATTATATTGTAGGTCATACATGACGGAATGCTCACTCAATAATTTAGTTACCATACACCATTCTATTTCTTACAAAAGGTAAGAAGCAAAACAGAAACAATTACAAATTCAAGAAGATTTTTTTGGTGAATCAAGAATGTGACAAAATTTCTATAAATCAGTTTGCAAGTAAAATTTACCACATTTTTAAATGAAGCCCATAGGCCAGACTTGCCCGAATCATTTTTCACTTCCTGGCTAATGAATACCATATCCAGATATATTTATTCTCTCAGTGTAGTTAGAAACTTTATTTCTCTGATTTCAAAAATTTGAAATTAAAATATTCATGATAAGGCAAAATTCCCTAATGTGCCCACATCCTAGTCTTGGGAGCATATATGAACAAATCTGAAGCTACACTGGGACTACAAAGGGATGTTTGAACAAACATACTGGATACAGGGTTATTTTCGCCCTTTTACACCTTGCAAACAATTTTGCCCCGTTTTGAATTCGCCCGGTCACAATTCTATTGAAGAAATTATACTGTGTTTTTTGAATTCACCCAGTTTTAAATTCACCCATCTGTGAGTAGGGCGAAAGGGGCGAAAATAAAATAGGGGCAAAAATTTCACCGTAAATTAGACTATGAACAATCTAAATCTACACTATCATTATGCTTCCTCATTCATTAATTAGAATAATTATGAACCTGTTCATTCTGAAAGGACCTTTAAAAGATTTTCCTATGAATTCCTATGTAAGACGTTTACTTCCACAATTTGAACAAAATTGAATCTACCGTATATACTCGCCTATAAGTTGGTCCACCTATAAGTCAGTTGTATTTTTTGAGGTAAATTTGGTAGGATTTGCCATTGACCTGCTTATAAGTCGGTACAAATTTTTGCCGGAATTAGTTGACAATTTCTAATCAATGCTCTGATGTTTTAACCTGGTTTTAATTAATATTTTTATAAATGACGCCAATATTTAATTCTAAGTCATTAAACAAATAAAGAATTCACACTTAAGGTAAAAATAAACTACAATACAATGAACTAAAATATGTAAATACTTGTACTTTATGTATAATCTTAATACATAAATGATATACTATATCCAGAATTTTTTCAACGATAATCGTTGGAAATGTTTATAAAATACTACATTTGGTTGTCCAGAAAAATGCCAGTTTTTTCAATGACTCGCCTATTAAGTCGGATATAGAGTTTGGGACCAATATTCAACTCCCCAAAAACCGACTTATAGGCGAGCATGTACGGTAGACTTAACAAGTTAGCTTTCACTTGAGTTTTTGTCTTTTTATTACGTTATGTGTCCTCTGACATTTTATTCATAGAATTATTTCTTGAAAAGGGGCTTGGCCATTCATTTGAACAAATTTGAATCCTCTTCACTTAAAGATGTTTTATGGCAATTCTGCAGGCTATGGCCCATTGTTCTAACAGAAGATAAAATTGTGAATCACACAATCAAGACATATGGAGAAACAAATTCATAACAGTTCTATTGGAATAGCTTTGGCTCAGGTGAGCTAAAATTGTCAGATAATACCTGATACATGCTTAAAAATCACTAACTTTTTGTCCTCATCACTTTCTGAGGAATCAGCTCCCTTCTGCCTCCTCAATAACACCTCCCTAGCTTTCCGTTGTTCTTCTTCTCTCTTTCTCTCCTGTGAAAAATTTGTCCATCAATAGATGTCATTCTTGACAAGGGTCATTGATATTGATAGAGAAATAACTAAGCTTTACAAATGATAAATTCTTAATTTTACTAAGAATTAAAAACAAGCATGCATAAATTGTTTATATCTTAAAAATAACATTAATTAAAGAGAAAGACCTATACCAGGTTTTTGCCTAACAAACTATTATGAAATCTACAGTCAGAAATCCCCCAGAATGCATTCCTGCTCAGCTCTCCAAAATCAGTCCTGCACAAGTGGATTTATCTAAACTTCTATTAACTTAGCCTCATTTTTTTTTTTATATATAAAGCACATTCTGCACTATACTAGCAGCATCTCTCTTTCCACTAATCCTTGTGAACAACCTTTCATGCTAGCTGCTTTAATATCAGGTATTTATGCAGTGCCATCTTCTACTTATCCACCATGTATCTCAAATGTGCCCCCCCTCCTCCCCCCCCCCCCCCCTAATCATCCTTATCGAACAGCTATACCATAACAATACATGTATTTTCATAATTTCGCACATATGCAAATGTAAGTTACTCTTTTGTGTAATTAATTCAGAATTCCAAGGATGCCAAAACATGAATCCCACTAGACTTGGTAAGAGTTCTTAAATTTAAATCTTGAATTCCCCATTTCCTTCACCAGATGGAAGCTATTTTTGTTATGCCCTATATATGCAATAAAATGTCTCACAGTTAATTTAGTGAATCAGATCAAACTTTTCATTGAAGGAATATATTTATATTAATTTGTTATTTGTTTTCATTATTATTTATGTGATTTGCATATTTCAGATTAATCAAAAATATATTTGAAGGATAAATATAGTCTTGTAATTTAATCCTATATTAAAGCATTAAATCAACAACATATCATTAATGCAAGCAAAAGAACAACTAGGTGATACGCATAAAGAAATCACACAGATGAATCTTTGCCTACTTAATATACCGGTATATTTTAAAAAAAAATAAGAAATATAAGTATTGCCCAAAGTGATAAAATGGTTAAAAAATTTCTCCTGAAACCAAACAATATAATAATTAAAATTTACTGTATAAGAGTGTTAAATGGTAAATTTGAAGGAAAAAAAACAACAACTTCACAATTACACATAATAAAGGTATAGACTTATAAAATAAACTCATGGTGAGACAAGCATAGACAGCAACCAAAAATCAATGTCAGATTAATGCTCTTGAAGCAACAGCTAACTAAATAAACTCACTAGGTGTATTTTGAACTATACACAATATTTTTATTTATGAATACAACTTTTAAAGTAAATAGATGTGGTTCAAAATACACCTTAGTCATTAGCTTTGCAACAACATTAATTCAATACAAAGCAAGAAACCAGCACATACATTTCTCTGCGTCTGCAAAGAAAGGATTTTATACAAATAATTTTATACATAAATTTTAAAAACATTTAAGTATATCATTATCCTTAAAATAACTTTAAAATAAATGAGCATTTTAAAATTTCCTTATCTTGATGTCCTTATTTTAGCAGTTAGTCAAAAAAAGTTTAAATTGGCAGAAGCAATAGCTGCACTGGAGGGGCAGTGGTTTAGTTGCCTAGCAACTACTTTTTTTGTTGCTTGTGCTAGATTGCTAGTGGACAATCAAATTGTGGAAAAAACTTCCAAATCACTTTCAATAAACTTCTGTGAAATAAAGACATGAATTGCATGGGACATCAATTTCAAAAGCACAGTATCTGTTTATGATTTACATTTCAACAAAATATATTAGTATCAAGTGTCAAAAGAAAAAAAATTAAATTTTCTGACTTCAGTGTAGCTAACCTCCAAGATTCTCTCTTGTTCTCTTTTTCTGATTTCATCCATACGTTCAATCTCTTTTTGTTGTTTCTCAGCTAAGGCCTGCTGTTGTTTCTGGTCTAATAATGACTTCTCCAGCTAAAACAGTTTGCAGCGTAAAATATTCATTAAATGAGAACAGAATAATGAATATTGTACTAGATATTAATTTGATGAGATATTAGAAAAAAAAAAAAAGGCTACCACCATGCCACTTCCCACAAGACTGCCACAATGGTAACCAAAAAAACAAAATTCCTTTCAAAAAGCTTCCTTACAGAGAATAAAAAGAAATCGAATTCAAAAATTACTCCTAGCTCCCTCCGAAAAAAAATTCAAAATAAAACTAGAGGATTACCAGTTTATTAAAATAATGTAAAAGAGAGGTGATTATAATGAGATACATGTAGAAAGACTGTAATGTAATGAAATGAATATCTTCACAATATGAAAAATAAATTTTCTGCATGCATGATATATAAAACAAATATACATAGAGATATATGTTGAAAAAAGCCAATAAAGATGTACCTTGATGTTAGGGGGACAAAAGTGATTTATATTAGTAATATTTACCCTTTCAAAGCTTTTCTATAACCAACACACACATAAAGGGGTTAAATAAAAGTATGAAAAGAGACTTGCAATCTATTTTTTTTTTTATGTACAGAATACTTTAATATTAACTGTTTATTATAAAAAATCATAAAAAAAAAAATCAATAAATAACAATAATCTTTAAAGACTTAAGATTTACACTGCAGTTAGTATCAATACAAAATGTTATTAGGATGCATGAATGTTGAGTGGGAATTTGCCCATATCCATATTAATTATTATTAGTTATTTTATCTTTTTATGAACTCATAGTAACCTACCTGTGTACGCCGACAAATAGCATTGAATTTTTCTGATTGTGCGTCCACAGTCTTTTCAAAGTCGTCCTGTCGCCTGAGTAATTCCTCCACAGCCTGAATGTTCTCTCCCACGTTCTTCTCCTTCATCAGAGGTTCACGGATATTCATCCAGGCCTCCAGCTGCTCCATCTCATGATGTAATTGCTAAAGTGAGGATGATAAAAAAAATAAAAAGTTTTAAATACCAAGATATCCCCCCCCCAAAAAAAAAAATCCTGATGGTGTGAAAACTGTGCAAATTTTATTGAAAGTTAATATCTAATAGAAAACTTTTTCCCAACATTATGAATTCTGCACACACCTGAGCTTCTAGATTCTGTTCACAAAGTTCCCGATACTGCTCAAATGTTTTTATTAAGGCTTCCCAAGCAGTGTTCAAGTCTGTCACTTTCTCCTTTATCTACAAGTATTCCAAAGTGAATAAAATTTCAGGACTTGAAAATAAGAAGTGATCCAAGAATTTTAACTTTCTACTGTATCTGAAGAATCGAAAAAGAAAATAACCTCTTCAGACAGGAAGTGTCCATTCTCGATCATGACTTTTCCCGTCTCTAGGAACTTGTTAACAGCATCCTGTCGACTGTCTATTTCTGCTTTATGTTCTTTACATCTTGTCATCATCAGTTCAGCACTAGGGAGATCTCTGGCAATCTCTTCTGCCAGAATGATAGCCATCATCTCGCTTATCCAGGCTCTGTAACAGATTCAAGTACACACTTTGTCACAGAATAATTCATCATGAAAATGCCGAGTTGTTTTCCAGACTGACAATGCCTTTGGTTCTGAGGTCATTTTGGTCAAGAGGAAAAGCAAAAAAACAAAAAAACAAAAAAAACAAAACAAAAAAAACCCCCCACTAATAACAATCAACTTGATTGAGATAACACACTTGATGATTACATTTTTAAGGATTGTAGCCCTTCCCCTTTCAGATCCTTCAGTGATCACTTACTGTAACTCTCTGTAGTCATTGAAGTATAACTGTAACTGGTCACTTACTGTAACTCTCTGTAGTCATTGAAGTATAACTGTAACTGGTCACTTACTGTAACTCTCTGTAGTCATTGAAATATAACTGTAACTGGTCAGCCTGCTGGAGTTTCTCCTTCCTCTGGGAGGCTTTCTCCACCAGGATGTTCCAACACTGTACCATTTCCTCATGTTTGACTGCAATGTGTTCCTGAGCATCTGGGTATTGACCAATCAAACGCTCAGCTTCTTTGGTGATTGCCTCCACTTGCTCACTAATGGCAGCTAGGTCTCTCTGTAAAAATGACATCAATTTCACTGAACTATTGAATTCAAAACAAATCATACTCATTAAATTTTATCTACCTTCATCCAATTTTTTCCATGAATTTGATTGAAAATGGCCTGAAAACAATGTCATCAGAGTTACCTCAAAGCCCTCATGTTTACTGATGAGTGACTGGACAGATTCCAGGTCATGTCCATAGTCCTCTGTACTGACTAAGCCCTCCTTCTCTTGAATCCAGTCCAGAGTGTCATCTGCATCACGTCCATACATGTGTACTTCCTTAGCTGCTGCAAGAGCCTACAATATATGCAGCACATACAATATCACAGTTTCCATATAAATGTCATTGCCTCTATACAGATACCACTGCAATATGGCTGAAATACTGTTGACTTGGCACTAAACAATCAATCTATAGAGTTAATTCATAGAAACTTAAATTTCCACATGGATTTGGCAAACAAATTTTTAATGGCCAAAATTTGAAATAAACAGCATACAAGTACATTTTATTTAAGTACAGTCAAACCTTGTTATCTTGAACTCAATGGGACTGAGAAAAAAAGTTCAAGACATCCGAGGATTCAAGATATCAAGGGTAAAATACTTAAGAAATGAGTATTGAGACTTCCAAATCACTTTGACATATCCATGGTGTTCGAGATATCAGTGTTCGAGATACCAAAGTTCAACTGTAAGTTGGTTTTCCTACAAACCTCTTGTCTGGCCTTGGCCACCTCCTTCAGTTCACTCCATTGTTGTGTCACCTCCTCAGACTTCTTTTTGATTGCTTCTGATTCAAAATGATTGGCTTCTATCATCTCTGTTGCCATGACATTGATATTTGTGACTCTCTCTTCACTACTATTTAAATCATGAAGGAAATCCTCAAACTTCTGTTGTAGAACCTGATGAACAGATTATCATTATTATTAATTGATAGATGAAATGTTGCCATGATGACATCAGCAATGAATACATGTATGTACATGTATGTCTAGTGAGCATGTCTTAATTCTATAAAATACGTACTTCCACATGCTCCAGATCCTGTCCGTAATCCTCTGATGATGCAATGACGACCTTGTCCGCTATCCAGTTAGTGACATCATCAGCCTCTCTGTAGAATTCAAACAGTTTCTTTGTTTCCAGAAGTTTGGTTCTTCTCTGGCTGGCTAGATCCTGCAGGGTGCTGTACTTCTGTTCTACAGATGCCTGATGTTTCTTTATATTCTCCAGGTCAAAATTCTCTTTTTCAACTAAGCTCCTACTTAATGCAGCAAGCTCTGCAATATTACTGCTAAAGTTCTCAATGTCTCTCTCCAAGGTGTCCATTTTTTTCAAATTAACCTGTTTGAAAATTTACAAATGTATTTTATATTATAGGTCCTTTCATTGTAAAATAAAGACCAATGAAATGGCTGCAATAAAGTTCAATCTGAAGATATAATTTACCTGAACACTGTCTTCATCTTTTCCATACTCAGGACTTTTCAAAACAGGAATTTTTTCGTCCATCCAAGACTCAGCAACCGAAATCTCAGCATAGAACTATTAAACATAGGTAAAAAAAAAAACATTCAAAAAAAACTTCATTACTATTCATTAAGGACCTGGAAGACAAGATTGTGAACCTTGGTAACAATGCTCCCTAACATACCGTTTGAGATTCCAGCGAGGCTTGGAGTTTAGATTTGCGCTCCATTGTTAATTCCTGGAGTTGATGAAGCTCTGTCTGCAGTTTATCCAGCTGGGCTTTAATGTTGTCAGAAGCAAAGTGTTTGGCCTGCATCATTCTCTGGGCAGCAGTGGCTACTGAGTCAATCAGAGGCTCATGAGCAATGATTTCAGATTCCAGGGCCTGATCAATATACCATCAAATACTTCATTAACATTATAAAACTTTAACTCAAAGAATAAATTATTTGTTCATGATATTGAACAACAATAAAATTATTTGTTCAGGACACCATAACTGATTTGCGCAGATCATTTGCTTGTTCTTTTTTCCCATGATTCAATCTTTACAGAAACATGCATAGAGAAAAGAAATCTGTTGACCTGATGTTTCTTCATAAGATTTTGGACGGCATTCAGTGAGTTTCCTAGATCAGTAGAGGCTGCAACAGGAAGTTTCTCCTGTATCCATGACAACTCGTCCTCCACATCTCTGTAGTATTGATACATCAGCAGGGCATCTTCCAGGTTATCCCGTCGGATAGTGGCTGGCTCCGACAATGACTCATATCTGAATATCATAAAGCAAACACATTAAAATGATGGAGATACTGCAAATTCTTCATCTTGTAAAGGATTTTCCTTTATTATTTACGTCAGAGATGTATAGAAATTTTAGAACCATGCACTTATCCTTAATCAAACTGAGTTTCCATGCTGTCGACCTATGAATTCTAACATATACATGTACAACATCTCACAATGTGTTGGTGATCTGTCTATATTGTTTAAGTTATAACTTTAGATCTAGACTCTATTGAATACCACATGGTGTCCACTCTTGAGAATCTTCTGTATTTTAACCTTAAGAAGGTCTCTGATTTTGACTTTTGTTTTGTATAACATTTGTGAGGAAATACTTGCAATAATTGATGCATACTTTTCTTGAACAGCTTTGGCTCTAGCCTGGAGTTCTTTGTTCATAAAATGTTTTGCTTCTTTGAACACGTGGGCGGCATCTTGAACATCTTGAACCTTTTCTCTGTGATTTGCTATGTCTTGCTCCAGTAGCTATGATGCAAAAATATTCTGTCACTGAATAAAATCTCACAAAAAATGGTTTGAAAATGGATAATTATTTAGAAATACATGCAAGGTATACTGTTCACTGAGTTGTCATTTCATGTTTGTGGTTCGTCCTACCTGATGTTTTTTGAGTAATTTATTGACAGAATATAAATCCTTCCCATGATCCTCTGACATAAGCTGGGATTCGACATCATCCATCCATGACATTAGGTCATCTACAACTCGATTGTACATAAGAGCCTGAAAACAAAATATAAATAAAATACTTCCTATAATTATACACTTTAAATTGCATTTGCATTTTAAAATATCTTGTACTACTACAATATTTGTCCTTTTTTTTTTTTTTTCAAGTTTTACAAATGTTTTAAAGAGAAACAATGGTGTAAACAAGTATCAGAAAATTTGAAGGAAAACAAACCTGATAGGCATCCTGTAGTCTGTCTTTCTTCTCAGCACTGGCTGCCATTAGAGCTTCCCAGCTTAATTCCAACTCCTCCAGACGTTTTTGAATGTCTGCTTTTGCATAATGATCCTTATCAACTAGTCCTTTACCTTCCTACATAGCAAAGTAAAAAAAAATAATAAAATAAAAGCATAAGCTTTCCTATTAATCATCAAACATTTTCTGTATAGAATTCATGTTTAAATATCAAAAACATTGCACTGTTACACAACTTTTAATTGTTCATATTGACAACACTGTCAAAGCCTTTATTACTGTGGAATACACCTGACATGCAATACTGTACGTGTACATAAATTGGCGTATTTAAAATTTAGCACAATCACTGGGTATGGAGTTGTTTGCAAAATCATGAATTAACACTATACATGTCCATGCCGTACATTGTTTTATAAATGATTTCTTAGCGATAATCATGAATCAGCGCATCGTTGTCTGCGCCAAAGCATCTAAAATATGAAGCCCGCTTTTTTAAGTACGCATACGGTACATGATGGCTATACTGGGCTCAGCATACCTCAACTACAGCGTCTACTCTGTTTCTGTTTGCTGTGACTTCAGCTTCAAATGCTTGGTGTTTCTGGAGCTTGGCCTGTAGATTGGTAGGATCTCTGTAAGACTCATCTAACGCCACCTGCAGCTTTTCATTTATCCATCCTGTTACTTCATATAAATTCCTCAAAAACAACTGGTAGTTCCTAGAATCATTCAGTTTCTTTGTTCTTGCTGCACAATGATCCCAGAAAGCATTGCACCGACTCACAACTTCCTGGCACCTATCAGTAATCTCACTAGATGCATAATGATCTTGGCTTTTCAGATTCTCTGCAAATTGTTTCAAGTCTTCAATTTTATCCACCTGTTTTTTTGTTGTCCTCACAAATCCATCATGTTTCTTTTGAAGTGTTTCTACACTGTGTAAATTATTCTGAAATCAAGGAATACAATAAATTATCAAGTAACTTGAATTCATGTCGATGCTTTTCCCGAAACATTTTAGAAGAAAGAACAGTTTATCCAGAAAAATATTGCACAATGAACAACTTACTCCTAAATCTTCATTGGCAAGGAAGACTTCTTTGGAAGAAATCCATGCATCAGCCTGTTCAGCGGTCTCCTTGAAAACCTGTACAAAAATAAATGGATGTATATTGTTTATTAAATGCACATGTGTCAGGTTAAAAACTGCTTTAATATTCCTATATACTGTGATATGGGTGCTTATCATTACCGCTACATTTTCAAAATTGTCATTACCGCTACATACTCATTGCCTCTACAAAAGACTTTACATTACTGCTACATTTAAAAGAATACATCAGCGCTACACTGCCTCTACTTGCCAGCGGCTCATGCATGTACAGGTTGATTAAAAGTACAAAATAATACATGTAAGACCCGTTTCCCCTGCTCATCACGGGGAAGTGAAAGTAAGAATTTGAGCAGGATGCTTTTTTTTTTTTTTTTATAATTTTTATTTAAAGTCTATTTTATTTAATAAAACATTTTACAAAGTTTTGTTCTCGGACAAAACACATAGTCTACAAAATTGGTAGAGCTTTGAAGGTCATTTGCTTGACGTACTGCTGTCTGGAAATCACTGGTGATGAATCATAATGAATCGAACTTATATTCAGTGGCATTGCTGGCTGATCAAATATGTAGTAGTAATGACTCGTAATCGGTACTAGCCTCATTCATGAAATGAATGATCACACGAATATAGCGGTAATGAGTTGAAATTTTTCGCAATGTAGCAGTAATGTTGACCTCCCTCTGATATGCAGTGATGAATAGGAATATGTAATCTACATAATACCGGTAATTTAAATGTATTTCAATTATGCATTTACAAATTAAAAACTGCATTTCCAAATATTTTGTTATGCAGTCAAAGAATAAGAATGGACAATATCTTATAAACAATAAAAACAAAATTGAGCTGATTAATACCTGGAGATCATGGCACTGAGTGAGAAGGTGGTTCCGTTTCTCCCAGGCAGCATTCAGCATTAATTTGGTGTGGTCTAACTGACCAATAGTTTTCTGGATTTCTTCCGAAGAGTAGTGTTTCTTCTCTACCAGCTTGTTACCATGCTCACGCACGGCAGCAAAGTGGGACTTTCTGCCTTCTATTTCTGCCTGTAAGATATTTTTACACATACAACTCTCTTCAATTACATGAATTATTAAATGGGATAAGTCAATGAACAATAATGTCAAAGAACAAGAAGTGCCAATACCTTGCGTTCATGGTGAATTTGAAGAAGACTTTCAGCCTCCGGAACATCTTTAGCCAATTCTCCTGCATTCATTCTTTGCACCATCTCAGTGGACCAGGAAACCTATAAATGTACATGTACATACAGAAGTTTCTTTAGTGATTCACGGTATTGTCCAATAGAGTAATTTGTTCCTTTTGGAAATCATGATTACTTACCAGTTCCCTGGCATCAGAAAGGAACTTCTGTAGTTGATAAGAGTCAGACAGTTTCTGTTTCCTGTAAAAAAAACCCACACAATTACTATCTTAACCTCAAACACTTTGCATTCAAATTTAAGCTCAAAATAAATGGACAAAGATTGACTTTTCCTGGAAAATATTATATAAATATTGCCTGTAGTTGAGTGTAACATTAAAAATTTTCACCCCAAGAAAACCATTGTCAACCGAGGCACAAACCTCAAATATAAGAAATAAACATGCTGAAAAATTCAGCTTTTTTACACTATTTTACATTATTTTTCACATTATTTTTTTTCAATAAATTTCTTTTTCTTTACGATTTTACCGGACAACCCTTATACACCAGTGTTACCTGCTGTCAGCCAGTTCCTCCAATTTTTCCCAGTTGTCCTGAGCCTCTTGCTGTTTCTGGTGAATAGCATCAGCCTTGTCTGGGTATTTTCTACATAACTTACTTTCCAAAGCCTCCATTTTCTGTACAGAGAAAAATTACATTTCATTTAACTTTTAGTATTCTTAAATAATTATCTTTATCCAAAAAAAAAATTATTCAAGCTAAAAAAATGAAAGAATGAATGTTGTCCATTTTAAAGAGGTCTCTACCCACCTCCAGCTGATTCTGTAAGGCTGTCATATCCCTTTCGACCTCCTCCTGTTTCCTTTGGAGGGCCTCCACACTGGACAAATCCTTCCCAAGGTCTTCACTGGACAATAACAGAGCCTTCTCATTGATTCTGTCCAACATCTCGTCCACATCTCGGTTAAAGGAGTGGATTTCTAGGGCACAGGATAGGCTCTCCTTATAGTGTTCCAGATCAGCATTTACTCCTTTCCATCTGTAAGCAAATGTGTCAATTTCCATTTATGCAATTTACTGTTCTCTTTTTACCCCGATTCTTCAAGTGATAACTCATATATGTGTAAAATGAATTATTTTCATCTATTTCTTGATCCACCACAGCTGTCATCATTAATCAGTGAAACAGCAAACTAATGAATAGGGGAGCTTACTTTTGATTGAGATTATTGCGTTTCTCCTTTACAGCATTTGTGTCTGTTCTTCCCTGAGATATTAATTTGTCTGCCAATGCATTAATCCCTGCTATCCTCCTATCATCCACAGTGATACCCTAACAAAACAGACAAAAACGTTGATGAAATAGGAGTTACATATTACCTCATTTCTTGATGTTAATCAACTGTCGTTCAAAGAAAAATACCATTCCCAATAACCATAATCCAATAATCAAAATGCAAAGAAAAAAATAAATAAGATTCTACCCAATACACTCCATGCCCCAAGAGACCTTATCTCCGTCAATCAAACTTCAATGTTTTTCAAAATGCAACCAGTTTTCCCAGCTAAGGTTATCACAAATTTCATTTATTTATAATCGTTCACAATAATTGCCTTCTTTTAAAATTTGTGGCAACAATATCCTGCTCCTTGAGAAGTTCCATATATATGTACATCATTTACATGCATTATTAACTTTAAAGTTCTTATTCCATAAAATCATATTGGACATTTTTCTAAACATCAAAGAAGAATGGTTCTATGCTATTAAATTGTAAAAGAAGAATTGTAATTTTTTTTATTCACATATAAAAATGATGACCTGAAAATTGAAATACATGACAAAACAGGATAAATACAAGTTGAAAAGATTTGCATTTTAAAATATTTCAGCTATGGTTTGGGTGATCATTTCAGTGAATAGTATGGTTGCAGATACAGAATCTGAAAAAGCTGTAGGGGAGATGACTGACAAAGGGACATTTTGAAAGAAAGGCCGTGTTTATATTTACATTATATGTACAATGTACATGCAAGTTATAGAAGTAATGAAGTATTGCAAAGGAAGATGTTGACCATGCGCTTACACATACTTGTACATTTGTCTGTAAAAACCAGTCATGAAAATCTGTTAGCTACATGAACATATCAGTCAAGCTAATGCAAATGATTGTATATGACGTTAGAAAACAAAACTGAGTAAAATGTGAAAAAAAATATAATTGATTAACAGATCAATATAAATAAGCAATATACATGAATAACAGAACAGTCTAAATAAGATGAAGAATATCATGGTCTACTTACTGCTGACTCCAGATCATTGGCTTTTTTCTGAAGTTCTAGACAGTGTTCATAGTCTCGTCCCATGTCTCCTGCACTCACCAGAGCTTCCTATCAATAAGACATTATTACATGTACACAAGTCTTTACTTATTGGAATATTGTAAAACACTTTCAGAAATCCTTGGATCTTTACAGATTGTCATTAAATATACGTTGTAGAACAGCAGTTTTCAAACTTTTTTCTCTCCTTGAAAGTTTGTGTATAGATTACTTGCAAATGCATGAATGTCTGTAGGTCAAATTCTTTATCATACATGTAGTTACTGGAGTTTGCATCTTCTTAATTAATAGAGACTGTACATGAAAACAGTTTCCTCTTATGATATGTCATCATCATCTGTCTATGTTCTAATTCTCAGAAAAACCATACTTGTTATTTACATCTCTATTCTTTAAGAGTTACATGTTGTGTTTTTACTCAAAGTCTTACTTTTTCTCTCATCCACATTTCCACTTTATCCACTTGTTCGTTGAACATAAGGATGTCTTTCAGTTCTACCAGACCTTTACCACGGTTGTTGGAGGCTTGTAGGAGCTCGTTCCACTTGGAGGTCAGTCTCTGTAGGCTTCGTCTTACATCATCTGATTCTGGATGTTTCTTCTCCAGTAAAACATCTCCTTGCTATGTACCATAAATCACAAATAAAAATAATATTTTCTCTTCCAAATGAAATATGCATACTACAATCTTTTAACTGATTTTGTTTATGCAATTCAAATGTATTTGCCAGAATGCTTAGCATTTAAAGCTTACAAATCCTCAGAGGTAAATCTGTAAGCAATTAGAACAGATCCTTGCTTGTCTGACAATTTTTTTTTAATAATGTACCTCTTTAATTTTATTGATCTGGTCAGTATTGGCCAAAATTTCTGCCTCAAAAGCCTGATGTTTTTGCAGTTTCTTAATCTTGTCCTGCAGGTCTGTCACATCCTGGAAGTCATCTTCATAAGCCACCTTCAACTTGTCATCAATCAGCCCTTCAGCCTACAACATTTTAACTTAAACATGACATAATGGATCTGCACAAAATCTTCGAGTTCAGACTTTCAAACCAAATTTTCAAGGATTTCAACATCACTGAATAACTAGATATTGAAATTAAGATTACTCCTTACTATGATGCAAGTCAATTATCATATCATATTATGTTCTCATGTTAAAATACTGGATATAATGCTATGTACCTCTGCAACATCTCTGTTGAATTGAGCATACAAAAGTGAATCTTCCAGTTTCTCTCCTCTTGCTTTGCTCTGAGCTCTCAGATTAGCTCTCCTAATAAGAAATAATATAAATTTGTCATATCTGAAGTTTAAAATGAAAACAAAGATTTAACAATAATTCACATATTTTACCTTTTTGTGACGTCATCAATAGTCTGTTTGATAATAGGTGCTTCAAAATGTCCTTCTTCCACCATATTCAAACCATTGGCAGACAATGCTTCCAACTGAAAAATAAGGGATTCAATGAAATCACCCACACGACATGCTAGCATTGTAATTAAATGAGTTTTTCTCTTTTAACTGATATATCATGAAATAGTAAAGTACTGTACGTGCATAAATTGGCGTATTCAAAATTTAGCGCAATCAAGGGTAATGGAGTTATTGGCGTAATCATGAATTAGCGCTACACTTATCCGTGCTGTGTTTTGTATTAATAAATGATTTCTTAGCAGTATTCATGAATTAGCGCATCGTTGTCCACGCCACAGCCGCTAAAATAAGAAGGCCGCTTTTTTAAGTACACATACAGTAAGTTATACATGTACCTTATCTTCTTGCACTTCCAGGACTCTGTCGAAGGCTTCATGCTTCCTAATGAGAGCTTCAACTTGATCCACAGTACTACCAAACTCACAACTGGCCAAGTATGCCTGTATCCAATAGCAATTTAAACTTGATTTATAAATAACCTGTTTTAACTATTGCCCAGAGATTACATTTTTACTGTATATATTTTTTTATTCAATGCAGACATAGTGTTAACCTCTTGTGATGAGCTAATGGTATCCAGTTGCTGGGCATCCCTGAGGAAGGTGTGAAGATCATACAGCTGATCGTAGAAGTCTCTCTTCTCATCCCATACCTTTCTCAGTCTATCCTGAGTGTCAGCTACCAACTTCACCTTCTCTTCAATCTAAAATCAAAAGAGGGAAAGCTTTAACAACATCATGATACATGAACCACCAATGATACATTTAAGTAACATTAAAATACATGTACATCCAACAGTGTAATCCAGTTTTCTAAATATACTTTTTTGCTGTTGTGTTGGTAGTTTCAAGTGACAAATAATGAAATGTTGATATTCACCAAGTTCCACCATAATTGCAGTGTGTTCTGGTCAGAACTTTTCTAACATACCTGTTCACTTAAAATAGATATTATTGTGACTTGCTTCTGTACAGCTTGTAAAACTTCCCACCTATTTAGATAGTTGTATTTGACATGTGGACAGTACCTCTGTCTTGGCATAATGGTCATTGTTGATCATCTCCTCTCCTGTCTGTACAATGGTGGTGAAAGTCTCTGCCCGAGCCTCAATCTCTGCCTTCAGTTCTTCATGTCGGGTCTTAATCATGTCCACCCCATACACATCTCGAGCCGTCTTGTCAGATTTCATTTCCTGCTCGATCTCATTGGCCCAGCTCATGAGATCTCTCACCTAATTATCAAAGCATAAATAAAAATTTATTAACGAGTACATAAGCAAGTGAGATGTTGAGCACTCTTAATTAATCATTCAATTTCCAATATTCTACTCCAATATTTTAATAAGTTTTCTCAATAGACAATATGACCTCAGTCTATAACATAGAAAACACATTATATGTGGACTTACATCTGCCAGGAATCTGTGTAGGTCCATGGTATTAATGAGTTCCTCTTTTCTCTGAGCAGCTCTGTCCTGTAAAATCCCCCAGTTCTCTACCACTGTAGCCTGAAGCTGCTCTATCTGTTCAGCATTCTCCCCAGGGTAAGTTTCTTGAAGTCTGGTGGAGTCTTCTATCAAGACTTGTAACTGGAAAATAAGTTGTGGTCCACTTTATTACTTTCAAAACTCTAGAATATGATGTGCAGCAAATTGAAACTAAATTTAACTAGTATGCTTTACACATTTAAAAAAGTCTCTAAGTTGCAAATGACAATTAAAAATAGATGCCTCTAATTCATTGCGTTGCTTCATAGTCCCTGAATAATTTCATTTACATAATTATGTCATAACTTAGAGAAGCTCAAAATAATAAGAAATTCTTCAGAAAACATGAAGCTAATATTTGTAGAATAGTACCTGAGCTTCTAATGCCACCAGTTCATTCTCAAATCTTTCATGCTTTTTGAGATAGCTCTGAGTGGCAAACAGATCTCTTCCCTGATCCTCAGGTATACTGGCATATTTCTCCTGAATTCTTGTGAGAGCTTCCTCAACATCACGATTAAATCTGTGAATCTCTCCAGCACCATACATCTTCTGGTCTCGGTTCTCTATCTGTTCCAACAGCTGGTTCCATTTCTCCCTGAAATATAAAATCTTCCAGATAAAATAAACTTGGAATTAAACATGCAATACATACATGTACATGCTACAAGATCCAAGTTTTTCAATCTTTCTATAAAAATGAACTTTTTAATATATGATATATTTGTATTGATGGGATTTCATCCCAGATCAATGGTCAATGTCCCTATTCCTGTACCTGAGATGTGCTTGTCTCTCTTTAACTTGGTCTTCATACTGTGTCTTATCTTCCAGCAGCCATTTAGCAAGTCTCTCACACCTGTTAAATCTCTCTGTTCCAGCTTCCACGGTTCGTTTGAATTCCTCAAACCTGTTTCTTAGTATCTACACACAAAATTAAAAGAAATTCAATACTAAGCTGTCTGTAAAATTCGGCAATTCCAGCTGACATATACATTGTACATACATATTTACATAATAGACACTATTCATAATCAATATACATGTATAAAAAAACAATATCATAATAAAAAGTAAATTCACCTAACAACTTATACTGTATTTAAAAGTTTAAATTTACATTGTATAATCAGCTTAATTTTAGAAATGTAGCAGTCATATAAATGGCTTTTTAAAAAAAAAAAAAAAAAAAATTCTTCCATACAACAAGATGTTCATAATCAGATCCATATTCTTCAGAGGCGGCTAGCTGCATCTGGTCGTCAATCCACTCCTCAAAGTCACTGCTTTCTCTGTTGTAAGCATGCAGCCATTTGGACATTTCCAATTCATGGGTCCGCTCTGCAGCAAGTCGCTTCAACTTGTTCAAATGGTCCTGGAGATTGTCCTAGGATGGGATAAAAATATATCAAATTGTGTTTCAACATGTATTTTTATGTAGACCATTTTCCCCCCTTTGGATAAGGACCTACTTGTGCTTTGCGTAGAGTGGCTGGATCCTGACATCCAATTTTAAACAACCTCTGAGCCTCTTTACCAAGTCCTGTTACAATTCCCTGATATGTCTGAATATCTGTCTCCAATACCTAAAATTTTAACATTAAAATTTAACAGTTTAGAAAGGACTTTACTATATGTACATTTTAAAAGTCATATACAGTAAAACTCATGTATTAAAAACTATTTTATAAGAAAATCTCTGTAAAAAGGTAACATTTATTCTGAGTCACTGCGACTTCCTTTTAACCAAATTTTACTGTATATCAATTCTCCCCCACCTTATTCTTTGTCAGAAGTTTGTCGGACGAGTTCTCATCCTTGCCGTAGTCTGTACTGGTGGCCAGGGCCATTTTATCATTGATCCAGTTCTCCAACTCCTCAACATCATTCAAATACTGCAAAATATGATATCAAAATTCAGTATGACTGATAGTAATTAATACATTTATCACATTTTATCCCTTCATCCAGTTCTTATCACTCATTTGATAAATTTAAGCAATGCCACAAATTGGTTTCCTATGCCCCATAATGTCCAACTCATATGTGTGCATTTGTAAACATAAATAAATGATGGAGGCAGAATTTAAATAATTTACAAAATAAAATCACTGAATAACAGATCCTATTCTTAAGAAGCACTTTTGTCTTTATTTCATTGTGCACTATCTAAACACATAATACTGTTGATATTATGCAGCAGCTTAAAAACAGCAAAAAAAAAAAAAGGTTACAAATAAAATAAAATATGTGATAAGAGAATCTCACAAGTTTTACGATATGATATTTATCTAACTTATGAATTGTGCGATCTCTATTCCCCAGCCAAAGGCTTCGGAATAGAAAACACACAAGTTGGATGCAAGTTATTTCCAATCATAAACCATAAGTAATCCTTTAGGTTTCAAAATTTTTCGTTGTGTACAATTCTGTACATGTTAATATGAAAATAATGGAGGTCTCTTGATTAAGAAGTATAACAGGGTCTCGTAAATAGGAGCCTACCTTCTGGATTTGGACAGAGAGATCCAGATTCTTTTTCCGGATCTTACTCTTATTCAGGAGGTCATCCCAGGACACCTGGAGTTCCTGACATTTGTCCTTTATCTGCTTTCCATTATAGTGTTTCTGGTCAATCAGTTTCTCCCCTGTAGCTAACACCCTCTCCACAATGGGATGGTGACCATTAATCTCCAGGTCAAGTTTCTGTAAGAATTTAAAGGTATTTTTATCTTTAGTATAAACTATTTTACAGTCACCGTTTGAATCTTTAAGATTACTCGTCAATTATTCAGTATCAGTGTACACAATTGATCATCTCCATTCTATGTACATTGTTATCTTCCACCCAGTTATCATTCAAGCACTGACCTTGAATTTCAATTTAACTGAATTTTAATTTAACTTCAGTTTATTCTTCAGATTTTTCAACAGTGTACATTCAAAACAAACAGACCTGGTGTTTTTTCTGGAGGTTCTGGGCATCTACCAAACTCTTTCCATAGTCTGTAGAAGCAGCTGCAGGTAGTTTCTCCTTAATCCACTGGACTTCTTCATCCACATCAAACTTAAACTGGAAGAAGTGCAGCGAATCCTGCAACTTGTTCTTCCTTTTTTCTACTGCTGGCTTCAGCTTCCCAAATCTGAAATAATAAGACAAGCCTGTTTACCAAATTGACTTTAAAACATCGGAGATGCACAACTTCCCAAATCTGAAATAATGAGACAAGCCTGATTACCAAATTGACCGAAAAACATTGGAAATGCATTATTTTTTGTAAAACAGCCAGTTTGTATCTCTTTCCAATTACTGACTTTTACGTTTCAACACTGAACAACTTCCTCACCTGCTGTTGAAATCCTCCACAGCTCTGAGGATGTTGGCTTTATCAAAGTGTCCGGACTGTGCCAGCGCTTGTCCCTGTGAGACAATGGATGAGATCTGATCAGAAAGAACCCCCAATTCATTTTCCAAGTTCTGATGCTTCTTCAACAAGTCCTTGACTCCACGAAGGTCAGATCCAAGGTCGGGGTTTGCCACAGATTTCTCCATTTCATCCAATTTGGCCTGTCAGATTAAAAAAAAATGTAAAAACGTTACTATTTTCAATTCCTTTATTTAATTAGCAACTTAAAGAAAAAAGGGTCATCCATTAGAAATATTTCGTTATAAATGTAACTAACAAAAATCAGGGTGTTTTAATTTTGTGAGCTTTCTTTTGGCTACAAGCTTACTGAATTAATTATTTTTAGCAACATTGATTATCTTTTCATTTCTAATGATGTACTAGTTGTTGACCTGTGCATCAGCCAGTGCCTTATTAAGAGTTGACTGGTCAGCTGCTTGCTGGAGTTTGTTCCCTTTATCTTTGGCTTTGTCACACATGTCCTTCCACTGAGTATTGAGGTCCTGGAGGATTTCTTGGATCTCTGGAGATGAATAATGTTCATCCTTAACCATCCCATCTCCTCTCTGTAAACCATATATAATAAAACATTTACTTATTTGTACAAGTCCTACATGTTTATATTTTTTAAAGTAAATATTTGTGCATTTGAAAATCAATTGAACCCTTTGTCTTAATCATAAATGAGACAGAAGAAGTTGTGAATTATGATCTGTGTCTGGAAATACAAGGAAGAGAAAGCAGGATAAAAGGAACATTTCTATTTTGAACAAATATGGAAAAGAAATGCAAGCTACTACATGTATTGTACCAGTACATTAAATATGTCCGATCTCCTATGACCAAGACAAAGACAGATGTGACAAGAATTGATACCTATTTTGAACAAATAAGGGAAAGAACTGCATGGTCCTAAATGTTCATGTATTGTACCAGTACATAAAATATGTTTTGATCTCCTCTGAACAAGGCAGAGACAGATATGATAGGAATCGATATCTATTTTGAATAAATCTGGGAAAGAAATGCAAAGGTACTGCATATCTTGCACCAGTACATGAAATACATCTCTGATTTCCTCTGACCAAGGCCAAGAGGCACATCTGACATGAAGTGATATCTATTTTGAACAAATGATGGGAAGAAATGTGAGATCTTACATCTATGCATAAGGAACATTTGTTTATACAGTTCAATTTCTAAACCTGTGATTGCATGGTTGTTTGAAATGCAGTACTTATCCAAGATATAGTTGAGAAAACCTTCTGAAGGCTCAGATTTCTACACCTCACTGTTTCTCTTTATATAATCATTCTTAGGATAATTTGATGTAAAAATTTTCTTGCAATAACTTATTTGGAGTTGAAATGCTAAGTTCACTATATCAACTTTGATGATGGTGATGATAATGATGGTGTTGATAGTGATATTGGCAAGATGATGATTGTATTGCATTTTGTCACACTGATTGGAAATAAAAAAAAAATCTTAGAACACTTTGCCTCCCTTCCCATACAATGCTTTGTACTGCAGTCTTTTACGATTCAATGAGTAAAATGAATTAAGAGCATAATGTATCAGTGCATCCGCACTCTAACCTTTTTCTTTTCATAATACATGCTTATAATGCCATCGAATTAAAAGAATCAAAGTTAAGTCTGTATAAGCAAGTACTGTATCTAAACAAAGACTTTTCATGCAGATCTGAGAATCTTTGATAATAAGACATTTGCATTGATGCACATGCATAATATTATAAAGATCTATTATTTCAGTACTTGTTTTTTGCATCATGCAGTATAAACAAATGGAGCACTTGAAGAAAAGATGGGTACTGAAGTGGAAAATTGATTATAAATTTGATGGATAAATTTAGGATGATAGGTATTGGCACTGAGAAGCCTTTAGCTGGTGTACAAAGAGGGAACTGGAGAGGACATGAAGGCATTTCTAATATGCTTTGGAGGAATTTACTTACGACCATATATTTCTGCAAATTTGAGATTATTAGTAAAGCATCTGCACACATATTCTTTTGTCAAAAAATAAAAATATAACTTAAGGAACACAAAGAGTCTAACTTGGCCCTGTAAATTTATACAATTTTGCCAAACTCATGATAAAATTTGCATACTTTACCCATGAATAAACTTCCTACGAAGATATTATTGTGGTTGATAAAATTTTAAGACAATTTATTTTTACACACAAATGTTAAACATAAAAAAAAATTAAACATAAAATGACATATCATACAATTATGGAGACTCTTTAGGTGGTTAATATGGTTTGATATTCACAAGAAAAATATCAATATTGACCAAGGTGAAGTCTTGGTCAATTTTGATAATTTTCTGGTGAATATCAACGCATATTAACCACCTACAGAGTCCATAATTATTTTATTATATTGTACGGTATGGAAAGAATACAACATTGAAGGCTGCAAGACAACACCATTTTCATTAATGAATTGTCCTCGCAGAAAGATAAAAAAAAATGACAGCGAGAAATTTTATTTCGCTAGTCGTTTTTCTCATAATACATTGTACATTTAGGAATATACAGTACATGTTCATGTAATATATTTTTAACACATTTTAACATCTTACAAACATTAATTGTTATGAATCTTCTGCAAAGAAGACTTAATTTTTTTCCCCAAATACATCTCTGTTTTAATTTGGCCCCATCTAAAATCCTAGCCTTGGCTTCTGAATAGTGATGATGATTTTTGAGATGTTCCATGTTACCTCAAATATTAAATTACTTTTTTCTTTGACTATACTCATGTAATTTAGCCCCCATGGGCTCAACATTTATTATACACTACAAATATTAATTTAAAAAGCTCATTAGTTCTGGTCTTGTAGGTCTTAAGAAGAATATTTTTTTTATCTATAATAACTAGCTACATGATTACAGATTGAGTCTCCAAAGCCTCTGACACAGGGGATTCAAACTTGAGTAACTAAGAACTATGTTGTTAAAAATATGGTCCAATCTTGTCATTTGTTTCCTCAGGAGGAGAATACCCATATTAACATTTTTTTCAAAATTATCTGCCTTTATGACACATGGTCATTCATTTGAACGAAAAAATGGCCCTCTTTAAGTCAACAGGTAACATTGATTGCTAAAAGTTCATAATGTAAAAAGTTTAAATGGACAACAACAAAAAAAAAGACTGACATTGATCAGAAATGCTAAGTTTAGAGTCAACTTAATACAACTCATAAAACAACACCAAATTAGATGATTAACCGCCACCAAAAAAGTGAAATGTAAGTCAAACATTCCTAATCTACCAAAAGAAAAAACATACTGTAGTATTAAATAAGATTTAGCCTTACATCATTTAAGTCTTGAAGTCGTTCATTATTTGCTTTAATTTCTGCCTCAAATGCCTGATGTTTCTTCAGCTTCTCGTGAAGGTTTGCCAAATCTCTGTATGACTCATCTGTAGCTGTCTTGTATTTGTCTTTTATCCAATCCGAAAGCTAAAAAACCAAAGAACAACTCTACACTTCAAAAAAACATACTATGCTTTCCAACTGGCAGTAAACAAATCTACATGCATTTTCTTCGATATCTCATTCCATATTAATTTGCAGCATCACTGCAGTTCTAAACTTAAAAATTCATTATACTGTAAAATCACTTATTTTTGTGGGGTCAAATTTTCATGATTTGAGGAAAAATCACTGGTTTGAGGGGATCTGATTTCTTGGTTAAAGGAGAAAGATTATAAAGCAGTATGAAATTTTCACATTTGAATTCATGGGTCTCTTTATACCACAAAAACCTCCAAGAAAATTTGTGATTTCACAGTAATCTGCATCCTACCCATTTGGATACGCTAACCTAAGATTTTTTTTTGGTTTAGTGAAATTTTTTGATGAACTAAAACTGGACTCACCTCGTCTGCGTCCCTCTTGAACTCCTGGAATCCTTGTGCTGCCAACAGAGCATTGTGTCTGTCTGCTGCCCGCTCCTTTATTTTCTGTCTCCTCTCCAGCACCTCATTTCTCCTCTTGTCAATACTGTAATTATAACAGTATTAATAATTCTAACAGACAGATTTTTGTACAAAATATCCTACTACAATTGAATCATGATACATTTATATAAAACATGACTGAAATGTCAAAATATTCATCAATTTCAGACATGCTTGAGATATGAAAGTTGGTGCTCAAATTCAGAATCAGGTGGAACTATCAACTTATTTTGATATATCCCTGGTATGCAAGATAATAAAGTTCAAGATGCCTAAGTTCAACTGTATTTTGGTCATTTGAAGGCATAGGAATCATTTGCCAGTATTTATAGAATTAGTCAGTTTTAATTTATTGCTTGATTCTGTGACGTAAGCCTTACTGATCTTTATCAGGATGTCCTTCTGCAATCCTTTTGTCTGCCATCTCATCCAAGTCCTTCAGTTTTTCATCTTGTACAAGCAACGTGTTCTCAAAGTCTTCATGACGTTTGAACAAAGTTTCAACATCATCCACCGTTTCCTGTGGGGAAAAAAAATAGTAAGGTCAATCCTTAAATATATTTTGCTAGATTATTTACACTTAACAAAGTGTAAACTTACCCCAAGGTTAGCAAAGTCCAAGAACTTCTCATGACCACTGGACACAGAATCAATGTGGTCAGCCTCTTTGTTGAAAAACTGGAAAGAAAAATCTTTGGTAAAATAAATGGTGATGATCTTACACTAAAAATCTTCAGCATGAGTTTGAAACTGGAATGAAAAATCTTTTGTAAAATAAATGATGATTATATTACACCATACATCTTAAGCATAAGTTTGAGAGAGATTTCTGATATATGAGGAACCTTTTTTTTTTTGGAGGTGAGAGGGTTTTTTACCTGTAGTTCATAAGCATGCTGGAGTTGTAGATTTCTGTCAGCCCACATTCTGTCAATCACTTCCTCATCCTCACCTAGCTTTTTAAGTTTATTTTCAACATCAGAAGCATCAGGGTCTTTGTCTAAAATACTGCTGCCCAAAACGCGTATATCCTCAAACCTAGAAATAAAATTATCACACAGGTCTTCATGGCATAATTTTAGTAGCAACAAGACTTGTCACTCATTTTATTGTAAGCAGATTGTCATACTAAAAGAGGTTATGGGTAACATGTGCTTTTACAGAAGACCTGTCTTACTTGGGTTTGTGAGCTTTGATGTCCTCTCCTAAGTCTTGATGTTCCTGGATCATGATTTCAGCTGTCTGTAATTCTCTGGGCATCTCAGCATTCTGGAGCTTGGCTTTAGTAGCACTTGTCCACATACCCTGTATGAGACCAAGTGTTTGAATGCAACAGCACTTACATGATGTACAGCATTAAGAAACAGATGATGAAACGATCAGAATTGGAATAAAATATCAAAAGGCTTACAGAAGTCTGAATTGGCTAGGAAGTTAAGTAACATTATAGATTTGAGGCTAACAGAAAAAGTTGACAAACTTTTCTGATTTAACAACAGTATTACATGTAGCTTTATCAGATATATACATGTATGTATGTATATTGAAGAAAATTCAGGCAAACTTTAATATAAATTCTCATATGGTATAAGAGGGAAAAGAGTTTATAATGATGATTGATTCAAAGAGAAGACAACACTTTATCTAGACTCTTGTTAAGGGGATAATATATTATTTACCAAGTCTTTGGCATCAATGTTGAACTTTTGCACTTCTTCTGAGTCTTCTAATCGTCTTCTTTTCTGGGCAGCTTTATCCTGTTGAGTTAAAATAATGCAACATTACTGAGGATGCAATGAAATTAATGCAACATTACTGAGGATGCGATCAAAATAATGCAACATTACCAAGGATGCAATCAAAATAAAGCAACATTACCGAGGATGCAATCAAAACAACTTGAAATTATATAAAGGATGCAATCAAAATAATGCAATATTATGGAAGATACCATACAATTAAAATAATGCAACATTACCAATGATACAATCAAAATAATAACATGAATGTAGCTGCAGCTCTCTGCTTGAGAAAATTCGGACAGACAAAGCAGAGAGCTACAGATTCAAGCGTTGTAAAAACCTTCGATTAACGCCGCGGCTTTTTTGTCGCTCGCTTCGGGTATTATTTCTTGTATTTAATGCTTTCCCCCACTTTAAAAACAGTATCCAATAATTAACCATATATTTTACTCATATTCCTGGTACTTTATTTACCTTTCAAAGGTTCCAGGCGGCCGTATGTGGTTTTTGAATATTAGTAAAAAAAAAATGCATTCCGACGTCGACGTTGGTGTCATCCTAAAATAACACGCCCAAGTTTTATTTATTTAATTTCTTTTTTACATACGTATTGTATTCTTTGTAGACATTATACATGCTATTTGAACGTCCTGAATTTTTTATTTACATTTTCTTGGCAAGTATATGTTTTTTGAAAGACATTTTTTTCTTTCGCACGACCCCAAACATGGACGTCAGAATGGGAATTTTTTAAACAGACATTCCAAAACCATTAAGGGCTGTTTGGGACCTTTGACAGGTAAATAAGGTATCAAGAATAGGAGTAAAATATATGGTTAATTATCGGATACTATTTTTAAAGCAGGTGAGAGCATAAAATACAAGAAATAATACCCGAAGCGAGCGACAGAAAAGCGGCGGCGTAAATTGAAGGTTTTTACAACGCTTGGATCTGTAGCTCTCTGCTTTGTCTGTCCGAATTTTCTCAAGCAGAGAGCTACAGTTCTGCAGCTAACATGAATGAAGATGCAATTTTCAAGTGGAGAATATCAGCATAAAAGACTTCTTTAAAAAGAAAATCTTTCATTAATAAGCAAATTAAATATACATTTTGCCAAATATTTAATAGTAAAGGTTCTCCATACAGTAACTCACAAGAAACCTAACAATTTTCTTCTGAAACTCTATATTTGCCTTCCAATATCACCTCATAATAACTAGGAAAGTTGCTTTGAAATAATCTTTGCAACGGTGTCAACTTTCAGAAATGCTGTTGGGGGGGGGGGGGGGGGGGGGGGTGGTCATGTCACAGAATTCAGAATTGAATTGAAATGGAGGGGAAAGTTCACAAAACAACATTTTGGGATATCAGAATTACTAAGTTTGCACTTAAAGTAAAATAGCTGATTATGGGGAATTAAAGCAAACACATACAGTATTGCACCATTATTGACAAATAGGTAGGCTTGACTTGCAAATATACATTCTCCATTCTAACTTTTGTTGTTTTTTTATATAGGCTTAGACAGTAAACAGTTATACCATTAAAAACATGTTTTATTTTGCATGCATACGAAAAGTCAACAAACGGTACATAATTTTCAAGTCTGAACATAAGAACATAAAAGCAAGTATCTTATTTTGTTAACCCTATATTTCAGTCTCCCAGTATACTAATCAGAAAGAGCAAACAGTATCTTGTTATTAGTCTGCTACTTGGCGGAGTTTGACTGAGCAGTCAAGATGTCAACAGGTGCTATATTATATGTGTTAATTTGTACAACAATCATTAAGTCTGCAAGACTTAGTTTGTTTACAAAATTGTGATCTCAAGGATGGACTTGTTTTGATCAAGACTGTTTATCAAAGATTTCAAAAATGTTTTGCACTAGTCAGAAATCCACAGAAAAGTAGCAAATTCCTTCTCTTTAATCTATCATGGCATTGGACGGTCATTCTGGGGGAGAGAGATTTGGTGGGGTTGTGACCCGCCAAATGAAAGTCAGTTGGTAGCTAGGCCAGCTGATACATATATCATAAATAAATAAGCTGATACAACAAAATATACAATAATCTGTAAGTTTGCCCAATGATAACCTCTTACTGTGACCTATGGTAACAGTTCGTTTGATGATTTTTGTTTATTATTGGCTGTAAAAAAAACTTTGTGTCACTACTTTAGAATGAGCTTGTAATAGTTAAGTACCTGTAAAATAACTTTGGGTCACTACTTTACAATGAGCTTGTAATAGTTAAGTATTTGTAAAATAACTTTGTGTCACTACTTTACAATGAGTTTGTAATATTTAAGTATCTGTAAAATAACTTTGTGTCACTACTTTACAATGAACTTGTAACAGTTAAGTACCTGTAAAATAACTTTGTGTCACTACTTTAGAATGAGCTTGTAATAGTTAAGGACCTGTAAAATACCTTTGTGTCACTACTTTACAATGAGTTTGTAATAGTTAAGTACCTGTAAAATAACTTAGTGTCACTACTTTACAATGAGCTTGTAATAGTTAAGTACCTGTAATGAGTTCCAGAGGTCCTGTAGTTCTTTCTGTCTCTGGTCAACATAATCCTTTTCATCTGGATAAGATGCTCTCACACTGTAAAATAAAATTATACCCTGACATCAACTGCATCCGACTCTGAATATTGTTAAACTGTTTTCCGAACTTTGACAAAAACTTACGAATCAGCCAAGAAGTTCATTCTTTTCATCTTATCCTCCACTGGCACCAATTCTCTTTCTAAATTCTGAAAATGTGTACAAATAGATATTTATTAAGTCTTCTACATTGTATTCTATAGTGTATATAATACAGTTGAACTTCGGTATCTCTGATATCTTGAATACCATGGATATGTCAAAGTGATTTGGAAGTCCCAAATGCTTTTCTTTAAGTATTTTACACTCAATATTTTGAATCCTCAGATATGTTGAATTTTTTTCTCTGTCCAATTGAGATAACAAGGTTTGAAACAAGGTTTGACTGTATCTAGGTTAAAAAAATTTCTCATCAAGAACAAATTGCGTACACATTTCTCTTCTTCTTCAAAAAAAAAAAAAAAAAAAAAAAAAAAAAAAAAAAAAAAAAAGCAATCAAAGAAAAATCTATTTTCTTCACATGCAACAAACTTCCATGACCTTCTCGAGGAAGAAATTTGGAAAATTAATCAAAAACTATTTTAAAATAATTACTAGCAAAATATGCAAGACTGGAACAATTTTTATCCCTATGATATTTTATTTTCATAAAGAGGATAAAAAGGACTAAAAAAATGACCTCATACATGCAGTTGATGCATTTTTAAAAATAATTTGCAGACAGCTTTAGTAGAGTAAGTCATATATGTAGCAAGTCCAATTCAAGTTTTTTCTGTTTAGCATCCCCCTAACTTAAGGAACCTATTAGTACTCATCTATTCACAAGAAACACAAGCCAAAAAACAAAACACAAACTTTATTGTCATAAAAACATTTGAACAGATTTTTGATTTTGTTTAATTTGATTATTCAATTTTTCTTATACAAAGATCTATTCCTTTGCAAATGAAGGAAGTATATACCAAGTATTTACTAGTTTCACATTCTCAAAAAAAATATAGAAAGAAATTGACAGAAATCAGAGAAAATTATCAACTTTTGACCTTCTGAGTGTTTTTTTTTTCTGATCTGAAGTGTCAAAAACCAAGGTGCTCGCAGATGCTAAACATATGAAAAACTTGAAATGACCTATTAAATGGTAAAAAAACTTGAGGGATTGGCTAAAATAGCTTTGTTATATGGTCAATTTGTTATGTAAGGCTAAAATGCGATTTACTTCTTTTGCTACATTGCACAATGGCAAAATATGACTGTTACAGGTCTGAATTCATTGTGTGATTGCTAATGTGTTTTTTTCTGCAATCCCCATTCATTTCATGGAAGTATTTTTCCTACATAGTTATATTCCTTTACAGATTTAATAGATGAAAATTGTGAAATTTGCTGGAAAGGCAAAATGGCCAAAGTAGCCACTGTTGAAATAATGTAATCATGGTACTAACTGTGTGTCTCCGTAGGGCTGCCTCGATTCCTTTCATGTCTTTTCCAATATCATCCGAGGACAACGTATTATCCTTTTCCTTTATCCAATCAGCAAGCTCGTTACATGTGGACTGGAACATCTCAATGCTGAAAACATTTAAGCAGTGAATGATCAGAATTTGCACTGAACTATGTCATATCTCAAAGAAAGTGTTTAATTTTCAAGTAAAATGATTTGGCTTTTTTTTCCATTCTGAATGCTTACAATAATTACTGTCGATTTCTTATTTTATGCGAGTACTTTATATCGCGAAATGGCCCCTAGATGTCAAATCACGAGAACAATAATTTGCAATTTGATGTTTGATCTAGAAATTTTACATGCATTAAGCACCATAAAAAATAAAAGAAAGTAATTTTACTTCGCAAATGGTGCTTCATACAAAATTATATAATAATTAATTCCTCGCGTATGTTTGGGAATGTAAAGTATACAGTGAAAACTGTCTAATCTGTCCCCTGTACAATCCATTTCACTGTGGATTTCGACCTTTATTTTCATTCCCATTTTACTATTTTCCATGCTCTTTACGTATTATCTGACACCCTATCTATTCCGACACAAAATTTTTCTCCCAATTCATGGGATTTGACAGGTTTCACTGTATATATTTTTACCATTTAATACTTTATCTTTTAAATCTATATTTTAACCTTTCTGACAATCATTTGTTAGTTTATCATTAGAAATCAAACTTATTTTGTCTATATGCAAATTATATCTTAGGTCTGTTTAAGATTGTAGCAGCTACATAGGACTGAGTAGATCAATATTGAAAAATATGCTAGCCAGGCCTCTACATAAAGATAACAAGTATTCATTGTTCAATAGACCTAGATATCTAGCCTATCAGCTAGACTAACTGCTACATTCTTGCACACAGCCTTTTTCTTTTTCTCTAAAAGTAAAATCTTACACATCATAATGTTCTCTTACCTTGAAGCTCCCTGTAAGTTTTTCTCTTTCTCCATTTTTAATTTCATCAAACGATTCCATCTGGAATAATAAATAGAGATCTAAGATCACCTATATATCTTTTTTTGCTGGAAATTGATAATGCATAAATGTCTTGATAATGTAATTGTTTCTTCAAATTTTCTCTAAATCCCCGAGATACTTTAAAGGTGCATAGACACAGATTTGAAGTTTATATTTTCTCAAATTTTCTGTATAATATCACAACTTATATGTTGCTATAGCATTTCACACGAAAATAAAATTAAAAACTTATTTAATCTGGAAATTATTACAACTACGAATTTCGGGAGGCGTTTGATTAACACATCCTTGCACTTCCACAATTTTTAACTTTATCCTTAATACCTAAAAAAAGTAGCAATATTGTTGTGTATTAATAAATAATATTACATCTATAATCCAGAAAAACCCACTCACTTAAGTATTGTCAGCCCGTGCTAAGTGTTGTGTAGTTGTGTACAGAGTTTAACAAATTGAATACACCCGTGAAACGTAAACTGTTTTTGTTAACAGGGCACGAGCTCTGTTGTTGTTAATGTTTACATTTCACCGGGTGTGTTCAATTGTTAAACTCTGCACACACCACTGAGCACGGACTGACAATACTGGTGAGAGGATTTTGCTTTCTACATTTCTACTCTGAAATTTCTGCATTATAGTTTTAATATTTCTCATTAATAAACAACAAAATTGCTACTTTTCTAAAGTAATAAGGATAAAGTTAAAATTTGTGAAAGTGCAAGGATGTGTCTATCAAACGCGTCCAGAAATTCAAAGTTTCAATAACTTCCAGACAAAATAAGACTTTTATCAAATTTTCGTATGAAATGCTATAGCAACATATAAGTCATAAAATTATACAGAAAATTTGAGTAAATATTAACTTCAAATCTGTGTCCAAGCACCTTTAAACTTAATTGTAGAGAACTATAAATAAAATCATAGATTTTAGATATTTAAGTATTTTTAAGCATCTCATCTTATATGGGGGAATAGGACATGCTTTTAATCATAAATATGGCATGAAATTGTAACCAAGAAGGTAGATCATGAAAACAGCTTCAGGAAAATAAAGCTCTCGCAGATAAAAAGTGATCTACAGAATAATCTTAACTATCAATTTTCAGTAGTGAAGCCTATAGCCACTTAAAACAAATATTGACATAAAAGTTGTTTGCAATTTGACCTTCTGATAACCGGACCTCAAATATTTCATGTTTTCTTAAAAAATTGTACTTTCAAGATATATTGGGTCTGTGCTAGCTAGCCTAAAGCTTTAATATTAAATTCATGTGTGGAAATAATCAATTGTATTTTCTGTAGTGTAAGCTTGCTATTTCATACATAAATATATTCAATACTTATGAGATTGCAGCATATTGTATAGATTCTGTTAGGAATACTGTGTATATGTATGTTGATGTGAACTGATATGTCAAAGAAAATTTTGTTATAGTTATCTCAACTATGTAATTTTTAACATTCTGAATTGTTTATCTTTCCTGCCATATTCACTTAAGGACAGGTAATTGTCACACAAATATGGACAAACTTAAGTCACATGCCAAAATTTATTTAGTTATAAATAGTGGTAATATTTTTTCATTATCTACAGCAGTCTGTTCTAGTCTGTGTTTGGAATGACCCCTGACCTGTCGTTGATTTCTTTCTGCCGGACTTGGACCTGTTTGCTCTGACCACTTCCAGACTTGACAATCTCATCAGCCAAACCATTAATTTCATCCAGACGCCCCTTGTTCCCAGCAAGATTGGTCAGTAAATTCTTTTATAAATGAACAGAAAGATAAATATTAATATAATTTTTTTATATTCATTTAAGACTTTACTAATACGTATAATATTATACTTATCCAAGTGGATATGACTGAACAGTTTCTTTAAAATCCACCATTTTCTTGTACACTTTTGATGATGTGTGGAAAATAATGCTACAGTATCTTGTTATAAATTTTTGCAATATATTTACCTCAAACTTCTTTTTGACGGCTTCCACATTATCAGACAAACTTTCCTTACTGGTAAGGAGGACTTCCTGAAAATTTTTTTTTTACAATTTCAAATACTTTTTACACACGACATCTGTCAATGACACCCAAAAATCCTGTGTTAATTTTGTTTATTAGAATTTATTTCAGATCCTCACTTTCATAAATTTATTATACAGCAATAGGAACCTATGCCGGGGTTCTACGGTACCGGTGTACTTATTGATGAAGGTTGAAAACAAAACTATAAATACTTAGAATTGTAAACAATAACATCAACAGTAAATTTTTCCTAATTAAGAAACTCTTAATTAAAAGAACACCCTTTCATCTCCTGTACTTTACAGCAGAGTAATAAATGGGAAATAACTCTTTTCCAATTTAACATGAAGTAATCATTCTTGGCTCCTTTGGCTCCCACAGTCTATATACACATCATCATCATTTCCAGTTTTTAAATGTTAAATTTCACCATAATCAATACAAATTGCACACCATTTCACTTTTCAATATAATTTTTTAATGTTACTGATCTACTCTCATTTAGGATTTGCTCCATAATTTTTGTTGTTTTTTTTTTTAACTTGGAGGTAAAGCTCTTGATGCTGAATTTTCATTTGTTGCTTGATACTCCTTTAAAAGTAGCATTGTATGCCTTTTTTGAATTTTCAGATTTTGCCTATTGTATTTTATTTTAATTCTTTTGATTTCCTTAAAACATTTTACTATCAATTAAAAAATTAAAAAAAAAAAAAAACAATTGGAAGAAAAGTTAGGCCAAAAAATATTCATGCTTATTTGCAGTCATATAAAAATATTTATTTTTTACGCTTTCGCTGGGTTAAATAATTCTTGCTGAAACTGTGTTCCATTTATAATTTTTCACAGCAGTCACATGACATATGGCCTCATTCTTAATGTAAATAAACCAGACGACAACAGATATGCCAATCAGTTGTAAAATGCATCTATAAATTCACAGTTTTTGACATTTTTACAATATAGGGTTTGAAGACTGTTACAGGTAAAGTTTAAAAATGTGACCATTTAATGTTGCTTTTGATAACTTACCAGACTTTGCAACATTTTAAGATCTAAAGCGATAGTAATGACAACAAGGTATCACCAATATTTTTCTAAAAATATCTGACCGCTAGGTGTTGCCAACAGCAAGCAAATTTATAAATATAGGGATACCCCGGTACCGTAGAACCACTGGTATCGTAGGAATGGAGTATACATGTAATTAATAATGAATATTAGTCTCTGATAACATTAATCATGGTTAATGCTGAGAAAACAGCTGTCCTGGTCAACACCATAATAGGTTTTAATGAAGCAAAAGAACGCAATTTGACACCAACAGTTTTAAAGAGTTATATATAAACCTTCATTAGAGCCTGCTGGTGTGAAATCAGGTTCCTTTGAAACCAAAATGGGTTAATATTCTGGCTCTCTATAACTGTTCTAAAGAACTAGATATTTATCTTGCAGCTACTGGCTACTCACGTAAGGTTTTAATAAATTTAAGAAACCCAATCTGACACCAGCAGGTGACTATCAATGGGTTAATATCTGGGCCTTTACTTTCTTCCTAATTAATTATCAACACCCTTTAGTTTAAATGAGTCACTGTATGTGCTGCGTAAAAACATGTCATTTCTTGTTTTCCTTCCTCTTGAATTTCATATTAAAAAATATTTTTCATATTAAACATGATACTAAAAAAGAAGCAAAATATTATTAACTTCCTTTTAGAAAGAACAGCTGCTGATTTTCATTATTTATATCAGACCAGAGTACGAAATGAAACTCCAAAATAGAAACAGGGAACACATTTCTTATCATTCCTTTAATTCTAAATAATGCTCAGTGACTAATCTCAACATTTCAAAAAATTATTCGAAATTGTAATATCACATGTACAGGCAGTTTGAATTGAATAATATCTCAGGGTTTATTGTTTCCCTTTGAATTTTTTCTAATCCTGGTTTCAAAGGTTGCAACGTGGAAATGCAATCTTTATTGATAAATAAACACCAACTATATAAAGCTTCACACATGAGGAAAAAGACAGCTATTATGGAACATACGCTGTGCTGCATGGTTCTTAAATCCACTGGGATTAGAACAACACTGCTGGAGATGAATAAAGACCTTCATTCACTTTCTTTATTATTTATTTCAATCAATTTAAGAAAAAGATAATTACCTTTTCCTTCATCCAACTTTCAAATTCATCACATTCTCTGAAGAATTTAAATAATCTCATGGCATCTTCTAATGCTATGCGTCGTGCCTGTATAAAAATTGAAAACACAATTTTCATTAATTCACAATACAATTAGTAAATTATTCACTAATTTACAATATTAAATGAAATTAAAACGGATTTTTATAACATTATCCATACAATTACAAAAATTTTACATGAATAATGTACCCAATATGCAGATCAACTTTACAATTACCTGAGCTAATTTAACAAGTTTATTGTAGGTAAGATTTATCTGTTTCTGCCGTTTGTCCACATTATCCTTGTCAAAATGCAGATTTGCCTTTGATCGCACTGAAAAGAAATCAATGAAATAAATCACTGAAGACCTTTTGAAAAAAAATCATGGACTGGACACATCAATTTATGGATGTTCTTTCCAGGAACAATATCTATTGAAAATATCATTTATTTGAATAAGTCTAAAAATGAAGTTTGAAATTGAAATCTTTCCATACAACAATTTTCACTTTTCATTTTATGTTTCTTTGGGTTAATATGATCCAAAGTAGAAATGAAACAGTCTTGAAAATCTTAAATATGTGTTCCCTATAAAAGGGCAAACATTAACATCTTTAGAAAAATCAAATTTCTTTTAAATTGGTTTTTATGCCAATGCTTATCAGTATGAAATTAATTTGAAAGTGATCTGCCATATCTTGCAATGATATCACATGCTAATTACATGACACAATATATATAAGAATTGAAATTCAAAACAACATAAGTATAAACGCATGCAATTTTTTCAAATGCTGGGATACTTACCCAGTAGTGTTTTTTTGTTTGTTTTGTTTTTTTAATCCCGAAATTAATTTATCGATCAATTTTAACTAGAAAATGCATTATTTATGATTTTATTTACATTTCCTAAAAATAAATATTTCAGATTTTATCTAAATGTTAAGATTAATCATAATGATGAACTGCCAAGGAAATTACTTTGTGAATTCAATAACATTTTGTGAGCATTTCAGTTGATTTGCTGATTTTTATGAGGGTGGACAATCTTAAGCCTCTAAGACAGACATGAAAATCAATCTTAATTCAAAATCATAAGAAAACAATATTACAAGATGACGAAGCAGAAATGGTTGATACTGGCCCCAACAAAGACACCAATATAAACAGCAGTGACACCCAATGTGACCTTGATCTGTCAAAACTGAATCCTACCAGGCTATAATCAAAATCCTAGTGGCTACATAGCTCTACAATAGAGCTTTGATCTTGAATGACATGCTAATGATGCTAGCCTACTCATGATGTAGGAAAAAATTGCAAAAAATATTTCATGCTAGTTACCAAAATGAAGATGTCAACATTAGTAACTGCTTCACATCAAATGATACTATATAAATAGTAGTTGAGAATAATGTACCTAACTTGACAATGGTTTTCTTGGGATGAAAATTTTCAATGATACCACCATATTTATTATATGAATCTTTTATACAAACAAATATAACATTAAGTGTCACACTTTTTGGAATATCACATATATCATGAAGCAATATTGATTGTTGCTACATCATGGCTTCATCATTAAGAGGGATAATATTGTTTTTTAACAAATGTTCCTCGATGAATCAAATTCAACTTATTTACATGAAAGTATAGTACCCTTACATTGGTGTGGTTTTCTCTATTTATGGAATTAGATATGCGTTCATACACTCTCAGTAAACTTCATCTTCGATCAGAAAATTAATTTTGACTAGCTAGTTGTATCCTAGAAACTGACAACTGGTGGCTAGCTAAGCCATGTGTTCAAAAGAACAGAAATCAAGCACTTCATGGGTAGGTTAGCTGCTTCAATCTTGCATGCATTCTTGCTTTTAAGGTTGTTATTTTATGACCTTTAAGTGGACAAGTATTTTTTACAGGATGACATATAACCATTACAGATTTTTTTTTCATATTTTTAGGGGGTGGGTTGTGGATGAGGTTTTAATTATGAAGGGAGACTTTTATATTTTATGGCGACTTAACAGTTAACCTAAATATCATGATGCTTTAATAGTTTTTTTTTTAGGTTTGAGGGTATATAATTTACCAAAAAATGTATTTTCAAAAAAACATTTTGATCAAGGCTAAACATCTTACCTGAGGGAGCTCTTCTTAATTTGCTAGGTTTTTCTTTTTTCCTTTGAACAACCTCCTTTTTCATTACAGTTTTCTTGACTAGGACCTTCTCTGGGACTTTGGTTGGACGGCGGACAACCTTCTGGGTCACTTTTGGTTCTACTTCTTTGACATAATTTGCTGGTACAAATCCTTCTGTTCCATCCATTTTTCTGATTTGCCACCAGTCTGAATTTGTTCTCTGAACTAAGAGAAGAACCTGCAAATAAATATAAATATTACTGCATTGTATTTATTAATTTTTCTTTTATTTAAACAAGTAGGATGAGAAAATTTACTCAGCCATACTTTCTCATGATACATTTTTTAAATCAAATTAAAGACATGCAGTGCTATTAATAAAAAATGTTTTTGCTCCTTTTCTCATGCATTTGGGTAGTTACTGAGAATCAGTTGGTCTCTTCTATATTTTATACTATATAACATGTAATGCAAGATGAATATAGCTGGTCTCAAAAGCAGGTAAGCCTAGATTTTATTTTGAGGCCAAATATAAACAAAAACACAAAAAAATAATAACAAACAAGAGGTATATCCACTAATCATGGTAAAATATGATGAAAGGTAATTTTCTCATTTTTTTTCATATATACGAACTAAAACCTTTAATACAATTAGTTCCTTTTGTAGAATGATATGTAGTGTTGATTCATCCTATCTATTTAAGAGCTAAGTGAGGTGTCATTGTTTTAAGCTCATTCTCTTGTATGTCTTAGTTGATATGGTGGAGATTCTCTCACAGAGATTTATCTGTGTATGGAGTAATATGAAGTAATACTTTATGGAATTCAAATAAGATATCTAAGAGCAAAATGAGGAAAATAAAAAAAGTACTGGTCAAAGGCAAGGTCAAGGTCAGAAAATAATGTAAAATTTGAATTGCTCTCACCAATATTTATATTTGTAGGAAGTTTGATTCAAAACCTTGAAAAGTGAAGTTCAAGGCCAAAAAGAAGGTCAAAGTCAGAAAATTACGATGGTCAATTGCTCTCACATCATACAAATGTATGAAGTTTGATTATAATACTGAACAGTTTCTTTGAAAACTAAGGTAAACAAAAAAAGGATTAGAGAGGTCAAGGTCATAGTGAAGACAAGATCAGAAAATTATGACACAAATGAATAGCTCTCATCAGTTTATATCAGTGTATGGAGTTTTAAGAAAATATCTTCAAAAGTTACCATATTTGAAATTAATGTTAATGCAAAATAAGGAATAAGGCTTGAAGTTCACTGGAATGAGACTACTTCAAACACTTTGACCTGGTTACTCATCTGGAAAATGTAGGTCAAATCTAGCATCCAAAACTGGTATTATGCATCCATTGATGCTTCATCCATGTAAGTTTGGTTCAGGTAGGTAATAGTTTCTTGGAATTGGACATGCTCCAAAATCTAAAACGATACGTTACCGATCGGATTTAGTTGGTTTGTTTGACATTATAAAAAACTGTTTAAAGAAAGCAAGTGCAAAAATTAAACAACAATGAGTAGATTTTAATGATTGCTTACTTTATTAAAATTAAGCAAAACACTTCTTATTTCTTGGTCATTTTATCAAAGCACTAACTATTTGTTCTCACATTTTCTAAATGACAAATTCTCAATCTGTATTTATAAGTCAGTGATAGTTGTGAACAAACAATGCACACACTTGCATAACAAATCCCACAAAGTATTTAAATCATTCTCTTTATTTTTTCAACAACCTAAGATTTATGGGTACACAGATAGGGTACTAGGTTTAGTTCGGGGGGAATTCAGCAATACGATGCGCAAGGTCTTGACCTTTCAGCAATTCATGAGCTCTTTTGGAATGTCATTAATAAGCAGAAACAGCCATCCTCGCTCGCTACGTCCAGGCTTACAGGCTCAATCTTTGACGTTGTGGGGATGCGACACAGCATTAAATTCCCGTAAACAAAATTGAACAGTTATGAATCATTTACTTGAAAAATGTGAATTATATGCTGTGGGCACATAATATTTTTCTACGTTTGTCAATTTGACATTTATCTAAGTTTTTTTTTAATTTTTCATTTCCCCCACACTTGTTTTAATGTTGAAACAAAATCAGGTCTATAGAATTACTAACACGTGCGCTTTATGGAATGATTCATGGGTTCAGGCCCTTACCATGCACATCTATAAATTCCATATTTTAGTTTCAGTTTTTTTTTATTTAATAATTTCATTTTCTTTATTTAATAATTTTGTTTTCTTTATTTAATAATTTTGTTTTCTTTATTTAATAACTTCATTTTCTTTATTTAATAATTTCATTTGTTTTCTATTTAATAATTTCGTTTTCTTTATTGAATAATTTCGTTTTTATTTTTTAATTTTTTTGGTTTGCACTATTGGGCTGCCGTAATAAACTGCAAAACACTGCAGCCTGTTTTTATGCATTGTTACAACCTTAACATAATGAGCCTCCCCTATCCATTTGTGTAGTGATTTTACAGCCAATGAACCCTATTTAACACTTGTTTTGTGTCCACTGACAGAAATCAACTATAATTCACACCTCATTGTAACAATGTATAGTATTTAGTAAAAGCCCATTGCATAACTTCCATGATTACAAAATCACCACAAAACAAAGCAGAAGTATCGACAGCCTAATTAGCATGCCTCTCATAATTTAACACAATCAACACAAAAACTAACATCTTTATAGGAAATCTAGCTGCAATAATGTAGCCCTCTCAATTTTTTTAAATCTGATATTTTCAGGAGAGGGCCCTCTCCCCCCCCCCCCCCCCCCCGCCCCAAAAAAAAAAAAAAAAAATCGGACAGGGCTACATTATTGCTTGAAAGTATTCACTATGACTGATACAATGCTGTGTTGAGTGATGATACAATTGGAATTGATGATGGAACAATTTGAATCATAGGTTACATTCTACATAAAATGTGCACTTTAACTGGTCAATTAGGGCCCACCCACTCTGGTAACCGAGCATGATTATGCAATTATATATAGCTGGAAAGCTATTTAGTGGCCTAGCCATCTAAGATGGTTGTAGCCCACTCAATCAATTTTGCTGGAAATTTTTGATTAAAAGGCACCTTATTTACTAACACACCAGTAAGTTTCAGGTGTTAAATCCAATAGGAGCTTATGAAGATTTTTCTGCATAGTTTTGGCCATATAAAACTTGGGGAAAAAAACCCAACACTTTTCCTGATTTGTATGTTGTGCACTCCAAAAATTCAATTATATTGCTATTGATTGAGATAATCTGAGAAAGAGGCAAATCTTTCTATTTTTTCTCTTGGTCTTCCACCAAAATACCAGGTATTAAACTAATGTCAAAGACTATCTTCAGTCTAAATTTATAGATTTATGTTAGGGAGCTGCCCCCCCCCCCCCCAATAAGCTGGTGGATCAAACGGTTGGGGTATCAACTAACTTTACCAACCGATATTGAACATTTATAAACCTCCTTCATTTGAGATTTGATCTGATTATCTTGCACTAGACTAAGATCACAAATCACAACCATCCAGTTCTTTATCAAGAGAAAATCAAGAGAAAGATAGATTTTTAATACAAAATGAAAAAATTTGAAAAATGCATCAGTATATTTTAATATAAATTTTACATTTAGATAACAGTCATGACAGTAATATGAAATGGAATATTGAGGGAATTAACTGAACATTATAATAATTATATAAATTTTTATATGATTTAGTTAAAGTTTAACAAAGAAATGCCTTTACTAATTATGTAAAATAGAAATTATGTGAGTACTTTATATATACTAATCTCTATTTGTATTAACTTTAAAAAATTGGGGGAAAATCTATATTTGTTCATTTTGAGTCTACTGTAATAATTTTAAGAAAATCAGCACTTTAATTTACATACATGTGTACTTTTCAAATCAATTTTTGTGATTTCTTTCCATATCCTTGTTGAAGAGAACTAATACAAGTATATACATAAACCAAATTATTTTTCAACATTTTTTTCCCCTTAGGATCAAATTTATTGTATATTATCAAGACCGAGCTGATGTGAAAAATGTGTTCTTGGGGACTTTACAATGCTGAAAAATTGTGAAATATTAAATGTTGAAGTATTCCATTTACATGCATACGCAACTTTCTCTTAATAACCTTTTTTCTTTTTCTTCTTTCTTTCTTTCTTTTTTAACCAAAAACAAAGGGGTGAGGGTTTCAACCCCCATAACCCCCTTCTAAATCTACTACCAATTTAGACATGTTCTATATTTTTTGAGGGATTTTTATTTTTTGAATATTTTTTTTTAATTTGACATTATAAATGTAAAAAAGCTTAAAATACATTGAAGACAACATTTTCTTAGAACAGCAATCAGAAGTATCTGATATAAAATAATTACTCAAAAGCAGAAGCAATTAAATGGCAAATTCAGGTGACATAGGATTACATACTCAGTACATGCAAATGTCATTCCTCATCAGCAGTATAATCAATAAGATGCAAAAATCGCTACTGAATTAGAATAATTACACAGTTTTATAATATCCTGCAAAATTGGATAACAACTGCAGGAGCTGACTTCCTTTGCAAATTTAGTCTGTATGCCGAGAAATCAATTCTAGAATTTCAGAAACTGTAAAGATATCAAAAGAGCAAAATGATTGGACAATCAAATGAAGACAATGTAAATAAGGTATCGGTAATGGAAGAACAAACTGTTACAAGAGCACAATTAAGAGAAACAATGAAAAGCAATTACCAATGAGAGACCAAAGTACATTCTTCTACTTAAAAAGAGAAAAAAAAGAAGATACCATTTCAGTAATACCAATTGCTTTTCAGCCAAATTACTTTATCACTTTTTAATTCACATAAGATTTATGTGCGTTCTATCTTGTGAATATCATGTACATATAGTAATGATATGGTAAATCAGTCTTTCCCAATTTTCTCTCTATATAGAAAAGGTTAAAAGTCCATCCAAACTTCATCAATTTTCCCAGAAAGATGTTTCAAAAGACAGAAAAAAAAATTTCAAATTCAAAAGACTCCCAAAGCTTGGAGCTAGATTTTTACAAAAAAGTGAATGTTTCAAATCTACAGAGCTCATCATTAATCCTTGTATTTCAAAGAATGCATCATAAGAATAAAACTGTAAGGAAGTGGTATTTATTTCATTGAACATGCTTGTGATGAGACAAGTACACTGTTGAATAAATTGTAATGTATGTCCTGTTGGTATTTGTATTATTTACCGATTGTCAATCAGGAAATTTAGAGCATACCTACACAAACTAGCTGTGATTGACAAGTCACGTGATCAATGAATATTCATTCCTATATAAAAACTTTACAGCCAATTAGGGGATCTCCAATTCACATGTGAGAGAGAGTCAGTATACTGATGAGCAGATCTCAGAAAGATCATACCTATATAATCACCAGGCAATGAGACACAAAACATGACAATGATACAGGGTGACTTCTAATACAGACAATGAACAGCAGTAATGAGAGTTTTCCTACAGAGTTTGTCAGAAGGAATGATATTGAGAATGTTTTTCTAGCACTAGCATTAATGATTGTGATGTTGTTTTCTGTATTTGGAAATATTGCTGTGATACTTGCCATATTCATGAGCCGAGCTCTGAGAGAAGAGATGTCAAACCGACTGACAATGAACCTTGCCATAACTGACCTCTCCAATGGTCTGATTGTCATGTTCAGTAGCCTTTTTTCTGTTATTAACGACACGTGGAAACTTGGATCAGTGTACTGTGACTTGATCTGTGCCATAAACTACTGTCTTATCATCACCTCTATGTTGACTCTATGTTTTATAAGCTGTGACAGGTTCCAGGCTATTGCTCATCCCCTTCACTACCTCAGCAGAATCAAACCCAAACACATGTACATGATGATTACCTATTCTTGGTTCCAAGGCATTGTTTTCTCTGTGGTACCCCCAGCACTGCAGTGGGTGGAGTACGACTACTGGGAAGCTATATGTGCCATACAGTGGCACCGAGAGAGACAACAGGCAGTGTACTATGTTGTGATAGCATTCCTCCTCTGTTTCCTTCTCCCAGGACTCATTCTCATCATAAATTACTACAAAATCATCAAACAGGTCCAGTCTAAGGTATCGTGTCCTGGTGCTCCTACGACAGCCAAAAACTACAGCACCAGTTCCAAGGCCATTAGAAGCCTCCTCATTGTTGTGATCGCGTATTTTGTGTGTATGACTCCCTTCAGCGTGACAAAGTTAATGAAGGTTGTTATTGCACAAGAGACAGTACTTAACAGTCAAATCAACTCTGTGGCAAGTGTTGTAGCTTTCATTTCTAGTGCTGTTAATCCATTAATCTACGGAATTTTTCGTAAAGACTTCCGACGTGCCTATAAGAGAATATTTCTATCCTTTATAGGTAGAGACAAAGTTCACAACATTCAATCTTCTTTACAAGACTATTCCTCATAATGGCAATGTTTGTTAAATACTGAGAAATTAAAGCATGATACGTAATATACAATTACAGTGAAATGTGTTCATTTTGTCCAAAACATTAAAACTTGGCTCAAATTTGCTGGTGTCTTTTGCTATTTGAATCTAAGCAAAATCAACAATTTCGCTAAGCCACTGATTAAAGCCTAAAATATAAGGAAAGGAAAAGGGAGGTTACAATTAGAATTTTCTGTTTTATATATATATATATATATATATATATATATATATATATATATATATATATATATATATATATATATATATATATATATATATATATAATTTATATATATATATAAAGCACTAAAAACCAACAACACTGTATATCCTAAGTGTCGGATATACTAAGCAGATACAAGGTCACAGATGGAAATTTATATAAAGCACTAAAAATGACCAACGACACGAACAATAAAAATTGTCAAATTTTCGGGACAACCTGTCCCTTCCTCAGGACAAAGAAAAAAGTTAAGAAGTCATAAAAACAAAGGAAACAGAGAAACAAAAACAACTATCACTACTACTAAAAAACTACCAAATACTAAATATTTACAGTTTTATATGTTTTTGAAGTTTATAAACAGTTGTGAAGAAAGAAATACGGAGTGCTATGAATTGCGTCCGGTCTATCGGGTGTACTCTGGTGCAGTGCGATTTACATAATTGAACAAATTAATTATCGCTAATTAATTACGACCATACACTGTCTTATTCTCTCAAAATAGCGTAACTATACATGATAAAAAGAAACTAAAGAAAGATAATATGGTTTAACAGCCTCGTTACAGGCGCAGCTACAAAATACTAGGGAATTTGTCCTGTCAAACAGACAACTGCATTTATCTCATCAGTTGCAAATACTAAATATACATTTTAAGTGTACATTAAGACTGTAAAATATAAAACTCATCAGCATATATAATCTCTGATTAGATCTATTCATTCTTTGTGATGTTGGCTAGAGCCAATATTTTATATCAGATACTTAATTCTGCATGGCTAGATTTTTAATTACCAGATAGTTCATACCATGTATTTTAAAATAAATGGGAAGATTTTCCATAATCTTTGGGTATTTGAAGTTGAAAATTCTTTTTGTTAATGCAGGGTTCAACATTCATGCTCGTCACCTTGTCTTTTCCATCCTTAGATGATTTTAGATGACCTGACTGTTAACCTAGTTCGCCCAAATGGCAACCTGGTGATAAGTTTGATTTGTCAATATTATTTGTATAAATTTAATTAAAAACTTTAAGATTAGCATATTAAGTAAAAATTTACAGGAATAAATGTGTTATAATATGTACTTTTGTTCTGATCATGATAATGGAAGTCATCTTTCAGCAATTTCTTAAAATGTTCAGTTTACATTTTATCATAAAAGAGCATCACATTCCTGCTAAAAAAAAACATGTGGCTTTCTCCAGCTTCTGTCAAAATCTAAAAGAATTTATGAAAAAAATTGAAAAGCAAGGTCTTTCAAAACCTCTTGGACATAAGGGCATTCAAGAAAAAAGTTCTTAGAGTGTATACAAAAAATCAGAAATGTTCATAAAAAATGTTTTGTAAACTGGAAGATAATTAGAAGTAATAACTCCTTTATTAGAAAATGGTTGAGTATTTATTTTTTTTTTTATAATACTAGATGAAATCCCGCGCAAGCGCGGGGAATTGAATTTATACCACTACCGACAGAAAATATATTGTAGTTCTCTACTGACAGCCTACAGGCTTATAGTAGGAACAAATACTTTGTTCAAATCCCGCAGGAAGTAGATTTACCTATCCACCCCAACCCCCGTTTTTGTGTTTGTTTTATTTTATTATTATTTTTTTTAACTTGAAAATCAATAATTGACGTTTATTGTGAAACCTGTTATACTATGTTATGGATATTGTACTTCAGATGCTCTTATTTCATTTCCGTCAAGGATAAAAGCAACGAATATGCACATTTTTATAATAAATTGATTGGGGGGGGGGGGGGGGGTTTAAAAATTCACAGGTACTTGGATCTTAGTTTATAAATATGTTTGTACCTTATTGATATGTAAAAATGTATTTTACTTTTTTACCTATCAATAATAGGTACATTGTACATACATATTTATAAACCAAGTACCTGTGTAAAAATTAGCTTTTAACGTCCTATGAATAGGCTGAGTATTTGATACAAAAGACTAAGCTGCAATAATGTAGCTCTCTACGATTTTTATTTATTTTTTTTTTTTTAATTTTTTATTATTTTTTTTTTTTTGATCTGATATTTTCTGGCTTCTCTCTCTCTCTCTGCCCCCCCCCCCCCTTTCAAAAAAGGAGAGGGCTACATTATTGCAGCTATAAAAGATTGTATTCAGAAATTAACTGTGCATTGATTAAAGCGGAAAATATTACATCTTTAATTGTATTTGAACAATACCTTTTTCATTAATTTTCTCTTTTCATGTAAGCAAGTTTATTACGAAGAACAAATTGTACTTCGGGTTCGTTGCCACGATGCTCTCAGTAAGGAATATACACAAATTTTTAGGAAAACCTACTACATACATGTATATGTAATAGTCTTTCGACATATAATCATATTCACAACTTATAGTGTTATCAGTGATTTACCATTATTTCAATTATGACCATTTACACAAAAGCTTTTTTATGGTCAAGTAGCTATAATCGCCTCGTTTTTTTCTTAACATCGGGCTCGATGCTATATGATGTTCTAGAAGCTTCCGTCAATATAAAGATCGGTGAATGACAAAAATATTTTGCACATTTCCCTTTTTAATCGGTTATCACAGCTTATTTCTTTTATATAATTTAAATCGAGTTTTGATTGAATAATTCAGTGATGACGTTTTCTGTAATAAATAAACGATTGCTTGTTGTCAGTTTCATTAAAAATTGCCAGTAACTTAGATCCGCCAACCGGAAACGCCACCTTACTCACGTTTTAGCTATTTCATGGCTGTTTATAGAAAATGAAAGTAGACTTTTAATTTAATGTACGATACTTACTATGCGAGTGAAATCTAAATATAGTTTACGGACATCAGCTTGTATCTAGTGTATTGTTAGAGGAGTAAGTAAGAACTCTGGTGCACCCGTTTCGGAGTTTATTTGCAAAATTTATTAATTTATAAGTATAGATCATTTTCCACTTTCAAACAGTTCTGATGAGCCAGTTGGCTTAAGGAAATAAAAGAAACTTGAAACTAAAAAGAAACTTAGAAACAGTTGTTAAAGTGTTTAAATATAATTATAATGTGTTGTTTCACTACACGTTATGAGTGTTTATAAATATTTGTTGGAGACAAAAAATGTAAAATTCCTGATTATTTAATAAAACGTTATTGGCTTTTGAATTCAGTCTACTCGTGACTATAAGACCTGGTAAGATATTGGTTAACCTGATTAACCTTCGGCCTCGATCAACCGATACCTGACCAGGTCCGTATAGTCACGAGTAGACATCATCAAAAATCAGTAATTGTATATACAAGTTGAAGTGATACATGGAATCTCTGTGTTTGAGGTAAATTAATTACTACATTGTCACTCACTTATTGCACCCGAGGCATTATTATTCTAATAATTTCACCCCCAAGAGCCACCAACATGATCTGTCCTTTATTTTATCAATAATTTAACATTCTCAACTCTGTGCTTAGTGGAATGATAGTGGATTATGACAAGTATCCTGTGGATGACATGGCAATCCTGCAGAAATTACTCACCATCCATCACCAAGACTAACCATAGGACCTAATTAAGTTGATACAGACTGGTCTTCTCTGGACACCACTGGCCTTCAAAGAGTGTTCAGCTTACTGAACATTATAATGAAAGCACAGAAATTATAAGACTTCTCTGTTATTTGTGATGAAGTGTTGAATGTTTGTGATGGACTTCCAAACTGCTATTAGAACCAGAAGTCTCTGACTAGACTGTAGCTCTACTGCATTTTATTTAATTAACAAAAGTAGAACTTAGACCTGAAACTATGGCAACAGCAATAAATTAATAAAATAATGATCTTTGGTTTAGTCTCTTTCTGAGTCAGTTTTAATTGCTATTGGACAAAAACTGTAGTAGGAGTAGCATTTTGAAAAAAATTTCACAGAAATTTCTATTTATAGTAACTATGACAACACCATTCATTGAAATAAAAACCGATGCACAGGATTGTGTATCTTTATGTAGTCTACCTGTGTGCCAAGTTATACTGAAATCGGACTAAAACTGTATGAGGAGTAGTGTTTTAAAAGAATTTTATAGAAATTCCTATTTTAGTAACCATGGCAACACCATTCATTGAAATCAAAAACCAATAAAGAGAATTATGTATCTTACAATAGTCCACTTATGAACCAAGTTATATTGATATTGGACCAAAACTGTAAGAGGATTAGCATTTTGTATAATTGTTTAGAGACAGACAGATGAATGGAGACAGACACCTTACTATTGCATAAGCTTTTCTGGTCTTTGACTAAAAAAAAGAGAGGACAAAACTAACAATAAAATGTGCAAAATAAAACTGAATGCATGAAAGTCTTCTTCATTTAATGTCTAATTTTAAATAAAAAAATCTGAAATTTAAATGAGTATTGGTAACTGGTTCAAATTTGAAGTCAAGATCAAAGGAAAGGTCAAGGTCAAAGATGTTGATGAATTTGAAAAGCTCCAACCAATAAATATCAGCATATAAGGTTTGATAAAAATATCTTGAATTGTTTCTTTCATACTGAGCTTAATACCATTTTAAGAAACCTTAGGTCAAGGTCAAAATATGTTGATGCAGTTGAACAGCTCTTATATGCTGATACATATTGATGAGAGGTATTCAAACCTCTTTATCAACATTTTTTGACTGAAATTAAGTATATATTTAAGGATTCATAAAAATATCTTAAGTTCATTTGAAATTGAGATAATCACTAATTTAAGATGAGGTCAAGGTCAAGTGAAGGGTCAAAGTCAAAAAATGTTTATAAAGAGGTTTGAATACCTCTCATCAGTATGTATCAGCATATGAAATTTGATAAAAATATCTT